GGTCTCTCAATAAACATTAACAAAACGAAAATAATAGTATTCAAAAAAAGGGGGTAAAAATGCTAAATGTGAAAAAATGGCATATTGGTGATAGTCAATTAGAGGTTGTACCATACTAAAAGTGTCTAGAAATTGTGTTCTCTTGTAGAAATATTTTCTCAAAAGCCTGTGACACACTTGCAATGCAAGCAGAAAGAGCACTACACGTTGTGGAGCGTTTTGTTTGTAAATATACTCATGCCAATAATGGTTGTCACACCCCTCCCCACACCACCACCCAACACACCTCACACCCCCACCACACACCCCCTCTCCAATTAAAAAAATTGAAGGGGGTGACAATCATTATTGGCATGAGAATATAAGAATTTTCCCATTGAGTCTTCACTCAAATTGTTTGACGGAAAAATCCAGCCAATTCTTTTATATGGATCGGAAGTTTGGGGGATTAAAAGTAACAAGAATATAGAAAAAGTTCATACTAAATCCTGTAAATTCATTTTGAAAAGTGGACATAAAGCTGCTAATAAAATTATACTAGCAGAGAGTGGACGCTTCCCTCTAGTCATCAATGCTCGTTGTCCAGATTGATTGATAAGATTGATCAGACAGCCTCTTAACAGAATAGCCAGAAGCAGTTATGAACTTCTAAAGAAATTAAATGGTACGGGAGATATAAACTGGGTCTCATCTGTACGTGAATTATTGTTTCAATGTGGATTTGGCCATGTATGGATCGCACAAGATGTTGGCGACAGGGATTCTTTTGTGAAAAAGTTTAATAAACGATGTAAAGATATATACCAGCAGGAATGGTTCCATGACGTCCGTTCTTCAAGTACTATTAGTTATTATGCTGAGTTTAAATCCTTTATCAAACCTGAATTATATCTACCGTCTCTAACATCTGTCCATCTACGCAGAATTGTAACTGTAACTATGTTCAGATGTAATGGCCATGATCTTAAGATAAAAGCTGCAAGGTTTTCTAAGCACCCGTATGATCAAATTACCACTTGCGATCATTGTAACCTCACAGAGGATGGATACCATATACTTTTAGAATGTCCTCAATATTCATGTTTAAGATATAAATACTTACCTTTATATCTATGTAGACAACCATCAAAAGGAAAAGTTTATCGCTGTTTTAAAAACGAATGACGTGCAACTATTGTACAAGTTAGCTTTATTACTATACCCTATAAATCGCAATAGATCAAATCAGCAATAACTGTGTACGTCACTTAACATTGCCTATGTATGGTATTCTATTTACGCCGTATTGGATGGTAGCGCTGTCACTGTGTACATTACAATATATATACATTGTACTGTTGGCCTCCGGGCCATATATACCAATACAATCTGTCTGTCTGAATCACTCTTGTGGAGACACAAGTGATCTGACAGGTTATCACGTGATCTCATGACGTTTCATGCACGCGATCATCCGACCGCCAGACAGTCAAGACGACTAAGTTGACCAACACCTTCTGATAGACATCACCCGGTGTTTCAGGTGAGTAATTTTATACCATTTATTAAAAGCTATTGGAATTGGTGCGTTTGTATATTCACACTTAAGGGACGGGTTAAATAGTAGGCTATTACTGCAAGGTTACGGTTTCTTGTAAGTTTCACAACAGATGTTGTATGAATGGGAGGACATTGACTGTACACATTCCTTAGCAGAATGCACACTTAAAGATGTGTTAAAAATATTTCCTTAACTCTATAGTTTAAACCATCAAAAAATAGCCTTGACTAATATAAGTGTTGTTATGAAATAACTCAAGTTGCATGCGCATGATGGTGTTTGAAAAATCGGTATAAAATGAGCTGGCAAAAATACAATTTTCACAATGTATACGTCTCGCTTGACTTAAGCCTCCCTCGGTATGTAGAAGCTGCTTTCATGACGTTTGCTCCTGACCTACTTTCCGATCCCCTCCTCTCCTCATACAAAGTTTATGCACAAATATTTTCCTTTCACTTTCTCTGAACAGTAACTGACTTGACGAAACGAGAATCAGAATGAAGTCCTCAACTAGTGCGTGAGTGAGTGAGTTTAGTTTTACGCCGCACTCAGCAATATTCAAGCTTTATGGCGGCGGTTTGTAAATATTCGAGTCTGGAACAGACACTCGAGTGATCAACAGCATGAGCATCGATCTAAGCAATTGGGGTACGATGACCTGTGTCAACCAAGACAGTGAGCCTGACCACCCGATACCGTTAGTTGCCTCTTACGACAAGCATGGGTTACTAAAGATCAATTCTAACCCGCATCTTCACGGGTCAGGTCCCGAACTAAACTATTAACCATATCAAGCTGCTATTAAGACAATGTTATCATCAAAGTTTATATGTACAAAAAATGCCACTTTTCCTGTTTCTAAGTCAATTTAGGTCCAAATATTATATGATGTGGGAAGTCATTGCGGTAGGTTGGTTAACCACGTTATAACGTTTGGGAATAACGTAATAGGTTTGCTGGACGCTTCTCATAGGAAAACTGCTTATAATAGCACATGCATTTGAAAATATACGGCGGGAAGACATATTGCCATAGTATGTTATGGCATGCTTAGCTTAAAACAACCAAAATACACGTGTGGCCCAATCTGGGAGTTTCTTGCAGTAACAGACACGATGACGAGGGAAAAGACTCACATCAGCATCGTTGTGATCGGCCACGTGGACTCGGGGAAGTCAACAACTACTGGTCATCTCATCTACAAGTGTGGAGGAATTGACAAAAGGACAATTGAGAAGTTTGAGAAGGAAGCCCAAGAGGTAGGGTTGCCTCGCCCATAAATAAGAAAACAGGGCAAGTAAGTAAGTGAATTTAGTTTTACGCCGTACTCAGCGATATTCCAGCTATATGACGGCGGTTTGTAAATAATCTGGACCAGATAATCCAGTGGTCAGTATCATGAACATCGATCTACGCAATGGGGATACGATGACTTCTACGTGATTGCCCTGAATAGTTGCAATGAAAAGGATTATAAAATTAAGTTAATCAGATACGTTACAACCAGATACGTTACCATGTTTGGAAAAGTAACTGCTGCGCCTGCCTAACTTCAGAAGCATTTTAATTGGATGATAACATTGTCTGTTAGTCCACTTTCGGCTGTCATGAGAGCAGAGGAACCCGTCTTGTCATCGTTTGGTATGTATCCACTTAAATCACACAATTGTTCAATAAATCGTTAAATTTTATCATAAGTAAAGTCAACAAAACACCTTTTTTGAACCTTTTGTGTTAATTTTGAATGTAATTTGAAATATTTTGTTAGTAAACTATCAATGTTTATATAGAAGTCAGTTGAAGGGAATATAACGGTAACGTATCTGATTTTATTGGTCACGTATCTGGTAAATATTGTAACGTATTTGGTTGAGTTAGAATAACGTAAAAAGTATAATGTTTCATATCAAAATGATAAATACCATAATGTAATACGACACATTATGTATTTCAATCGCATTGACATAGGTACATATGATGGTTATTACAAATTTGAAGGTAACGTATTTGGTATTTCACAGTAACATATCTGGTAAAATATAAATTTCAAGTTTAATGTAATCATTCTAATAATTCGGAATGATTTCATTGTCAATAAAGAATAGTTGCGTTTTGAATTTCGAAAATACTTAGACATAGTTATAGTAACACAGTAATTATGAGAAATCAATGGTAACGTATCTGGTTTTGTGGTAACGTATCTGGTTTTATGGAATTATTGTTGGTTGAATCAAATGAAAAGCTATCAATCAGCCAGAACTAATTACATTATATTGTATTATTATATTCCAGGGAGGGCCATAATGGGCAAGACACGTGCTGAAATTCAGCGTGCCTACAGAGAAAGAAAAAGAGAATATACTGTAATGATTCCTGGAATGCTGTCAAGAAAAGTTGAATAGACAGTTCCTGTCGAAATGCTGTCAAGATCAAAGTTGAAAAGACGAATTTGTTTCGATATTGATAAAGAATGCTCTTCAAAGTACATATTCGATAAAAAGCAATGCTAGGAACGCATTGTTTTTCTATACATTATTTGTTTCGATGTTAGTGTTTTAAATGTCAGAAATGCTTTGTTCATAACCAGATACGTTACCATATTCGATAACAATGTTGATTATGCAAGGGCATCAGTTAAAACGATATACATGTGACATTTTAAGAAAGTTTATGATTACAATATGAAAGATATAACTGTGACATTTGATTTTTAAAACTCTTTTTGTTTGGGTGTATTGTTTTTAATATCGAGCTAGATTTTGTTCTTCATACAAAACAGTTTTAAAGAAAAGTTAACAACAACAATTTAACATGTTTTCAAGAAGCTATGTTTCAAAATCACTAGGTAACGTATCTGGTTGGTCTCAAATGGGGGCGGTCACCTTTGTAATGTTGTAACTTTGAACATATCAAACCTAGCAATCATTTATTTTGGTTTTATGAACTTCGTTTGTGTAATAAAACCGATATATTCCTAAAATATTGTTTGTTCATTTTAATCTCAAATATCCCAGTTTAGTGGAGAATGAACCTGAAGGATAAATGAGCTGTGCACATACAGTCAGAGAAATTACAAGCTTGTTAAATTGAATCCCAAAACGGAAGTTGTGTCTGCATGTTTACATGTGTCATACTGATTTAATCAAAGTAACAATACCGACTTGGAAACGTGAATGCGGAGGCATCATTTTATTGGAAATGAATGGATGACGTTCTCACACACACACACACCACACGCCCAACTCCTACACTCCCTCACATCCCACCCTCTACACACAGAGAGCCACACACAGAGTCATTCACCCATCTAAACACGTTATCAAGAATCACAAACCAAACAATGCCATAAATGACATTTATCGTGTACCACAGCTTTGACTGTTGCGATGGTAGAACATTAAAGCCGAGTTATAACATATTTCACTCAATACAACTTATATTTCCATCTATTAAACTAAAAGGATTTCACAATATTATGCACCAAACTAGTAGAATTCTGAATTCTGCTGTAGCTTCTTCCTACCCCCCTGCCACAGATGGGAAGGGGTCCTTCAAGTACGCCTGGGTCATTGACAAACTGAAGGCCGAGAGAGAAAGGGGCGTCACTATCGATATTGCTCTCTGGAAGTTTGAGACAAGAAAGTTCTCTATTACTATAATTGACGCCCCAGGCCACAGAGACTTCATCAAGAACATGATTACTGGAACCTCCCAGGTGAGTAGGTCATGGGCGGTAACTCATTGCATTAACCAAAGTGGGCTGTTCATAAGAGTTGAGTATATAGTATATATTGGGTGAGTGGGTTCGATCACTGACTTGTGTGCTGGTGATTAGATGTCTGACTCGGAGAGTGTGGATTCTGATCCTGATAGTATTCAACCCTAAGTGTTAGAATCGGTACAAGTATAACGAGCGTTCATCATCACACGTTTGGCTTTTGTGTGCAGGTACATCTCATGCAGCTGTGCAGTTTCAAAGTGAGCAAATTTAATTTTGCGCCAATTTTAACAATATTCCAGCAATATCACGGCAGGGGATACCAGCAATGGGCTTCAGACATATAGGGAATCGAACCTGGGTCTTCGGCGGGACGACCGATAGCCAATTAGGCGACACAACTGTCCCAGTTTCATTTTGATTAGATGTGTTCAGATGCAACCCCATTGTAGCCACGATCAAATAATTATTTCCCTCTTTTCTGTCAGTTCCTATGTTTTTCACCTGGATGAGATCAGAAATATAATTTGTATATTACAATGCATTCATATAAGAAATCGCTTGTCTCTCTTTGACACTTTATTCATTGAAGACACTTTCGTCAAATGTATTTTTACTATCTCTGACATTTCTCGGTTACCCTTTACCTCTTTTACTAACTGAAGTCACATCAATCCCATGTCCAAGGCACTCTAAGATCGCGTGTCGAAGGTACAAAGTACCTGACTTAAGTCACCTTGGTCACAAGTCCAAGGTATTCCTTACCTGAGTGAAGTCACTTTGATCACATGTCCAAGGTATTCTTTACCTGACTGAAGTCACCTTGATCACATGTCCAATGCATTCCTTATCTGAGTGAAGTCACCTTCATCACAAGTCCAAGGTATTCCTTACCTGACTGAACTCACCTTGAACACATATCCAATGCATTCCTTACCTGAATGAAGTCACCTTGATCAAATGTTCAATGCATTCCTTACCTGAGTGAAGTCACCTTGATCACATGTCCAAGGTATTCTTTACCTGACTGAAGTCACCTTGGTCACATGTCCAATGCATTCCTTACCTGACTGAAGTCACCTTGATCCCTGACAAGTCCAAGGTATTCCTTACCTGACTGAAGTCACCTTGATCACATGTCCAAGGTACTCTTTACCTGACTGAAGTCACCTTGGTCACATGTCCAATGCATTCCTTACCTGACTGAAGTCACCTTGATCACATGTCCAAGGTATTCCTTACCTGACTGAAGTCACCTTGATCACATGTCCAATGCATTCCTTACCTGACTGAAGTCACCTTGATCAAATGTTTAAATGCATTCCTTACCTGACTGAAGTCAGCTCGGTCACTTGTCAGCTTGGTCAAGTAGTCTCCACCAGACTGAAGTCACCTTGAACATGTCCAATGTATTCCCTACCTTACTGAAGTCAAAACTTCATCAAATGTCGAATACATCCCTTACCTGACGGAAGTCACCTTGATCACAAGTCCAAGGTATTCCTTACCTGACTGAAGTCACCTTGATCACATGTCCAATGTATTTCTTACCTGACTGAAGTCACTTTGATCACATGTCCAAGGTATTCCCTACCTGACTGAAGTCACCTTGAACATGTCCAATGTATTTCTTACCTGACTGAAGTCACCTTGGTCACCTGTCCAAGACATTCCTTACCTGACTGAAGTCACCTTGATCACATATATAAGACATCCCTTACCTGACTGAAGTCACCTTGATCACATGTCCAATGCATTCCTTACCTGAGTGAAGTCACTTTGATCACATGTCCAAGGTATTCTTTACCTGACTGAAGTCACTTTGATCACATGTCGAATGCTCTCCATGCAATGACCATGTTTCCAGGTTATCCGTTGCGTGTCATCCTTGGCCTTCATCTCGCCCTGGTCATCTTAGGTCATTTGACCCTTGTTCATTAGTTACCATTGTTCTTCTTGAATCTGATACCATCATCTAACCACTTCATCAGCTTGTTCCCTGTCTCTCATGACATTCTCTTTGCAGGCCGACTGTGTTGTACTCATAGTGACAGCGAGCACCGGGGAGTTTGAAGCTGGAATATCCAAAAATGGCCAAACAAGGGAACATGCTCTGCTTGCCTATAATATACCAATACCGATAATATATGCCCTTGAACATTAACATTTAGATTTCATTGCCATAAGAGTTTGCCTGAGTTGGAAGTATTTAAATTGGAACCCTTAATAAATCTCTCAAATACGTTTTGATTATTATTGTTTTCTTTCGTTTAGGAATTGGAACGGTACCAGTGGGCAGAGTGGAGACAGGAGTCCTGAAGCCAGGACTGATCGTTACATTTGTACCTGCCAACATCACCACAGAGGTAACACGTATTTAGGGCTTCTTGAAAATCTATTTATGATGTTAAATTGGTGTTTTTATGACAAATTCGTAAATGATTGGTTTAATCTGTGGTGTCATTTCAGGTAAAGACAGTGGAGATGCACCATGAATCACTTTCTGAAGCCTTGCCTGGAGACAACGTTGGCTTCAAAGTCAAGAACATCTCCGTCAAGGAGATACGACGAGGGAACGTAACAGGAAACAGCCAGGACAACCCACCATTCGAAGTGCAGTGTTTCGATGCTCAGGTAATGGCTATTATATAAACAACAATAGATTTGCTTTCTGAATATTATTCTGTAGTTTTTGAAAAGCAAAACCAGTCAGTCTTGATGTACCCACTCCATCCCAGGTTGCGCTGCACTGAACATCTCCACAGTAATGTATGCTTTGCCATATAGAACATCACGCCACATTACATATAACCTCACCCCACAACACTATCCCCTCACCACACCACACCACACTATCGACTCACCACGCCACACCACACTATCACCACACCACACTATCACCTCACCACACCACACCACACCACACCACACCACACTATCGACTCACCACGCCACACCACACTATCACCACACCACAATATCATCTCACCACACCACGCCACACCACACCACACTATCACCTCACCACACCACACTATCACCTCACCACACCACACTATCACCTCACCACACCACACTATCACCTCACCACACCACACTATCACCTCGCCTCGCCTCGCCTCACCTCACCTCGCAAGTTAAACTAGGCAACATGTCCACTGTCTTTTCTATGTAATCACATAAAACAATTCCTGTTGTCAGGTGATTATCCTGAATCACCCGGGTCAGATCGCTGCTGGATACGCTCCAGTCTTGGATTGTCACACAGCACACATCGCATGTAAGTTCGCGGAACTCAAAGAGAAAGTGGACCGTAGGAATGGCAAGAAGCTGGAAGACAATCCCAAGTTCTTGAAGTCTGGGGACGCTGGCATCATAAATCTGATACCAACTAAACCAATGTGTGTAGAGCCATTTGCCGAGTTTGCTCCACTCGGAAGATTTGCAGTCCGCGACATGCGACAGACGATGGCCGTCGGGATCATCAAGGAGGTCACCAAGAAGATAGCAAGTACGGGCAAAGTGACCAAAGCTGCCAAGAAAGCTCTTTAACCTGTACCGTTCTCAAAGCTAATCAGTAGATTTACACTTAAATAATATTACATCCTTTCACTATAGCGTGTCTTATATATGAAGACGCAAAGAACTACGACTGACAAATATTTCTTGTTGCGTAGTTATGTTTCATATCTGTCCGTTATAATCCACGTGGCTCCTTCAGTAGTTGTTTATGTATTTTGAGGAATAATGCTATAAAGAGGCAAAGAATATCTGAAAACGAGGGACTTCTCCGAAAAGAAGTATTATCATTATTTTAGGATATTTATATAGCGCACATATCTAGGCAACTAGCGCATGCTCAAGGCGCTGGTACTTTTCCCTCGATCATTGGATCGGTCACAGGTGGGCTCGATCCCGGCACCTCAACCTCGCTGGATCACTAGCCTGGCGTCTTAGCCAGCTCGCCCACCCCGCCCACAGTGGATTTGTATTTCGCTTTTTCTATACTTGGATGTTATGCTCAAGCGCAATGTCAAAAGATTATCCTTAGACTTCTTACAAATAATAGAAATATATGTCTCCTTCCTATGCATTGATGAAAACAGTTTAGATTGCGTTCAGTGTTCCTACTGTTGCCTATAAGGCGTAACATTTCATCTGAGATCAATTTAAATAGGATTATATTATGAAAGACATATGCCATCCAGCTGTACACATGATCACATCAAGTAATGATGTTGGAATAAAGATACCAGTAATCTTTATAGAATTGGTTTTTTATTTGATTTATCGCTTCCTGTACAATTATTCATGCTGATTTCCAACTGATGGTCTTGCAATTTCAAATAATATTATTGTACCGTTTCTGCTGGCCAGATTAATAACGAGTGTCCCATGGATCTACATGTCATAGCTACCGCCTTTAGCACAACGCGTTTAAAGGAACATTAATTCATTTCGGAATATATAAAATATGTTCATCCACTGTTTGTTTTGTTTTTTTTGTTGTTTTTTGTTGTTTTTTTTGTCTCCCTTAAAGCATCATCGTTGAGGAGATTGCGTATAACGAGTATAAATGGGATTATACAAAACCCGCGTTCCTAAAATCAGTTACAATTTATCAAGTTTTAGATTATTAAAATACTTGTTCGCGGAACAGATTTTAATGACACAATGTTTGTCAGCTTGTATGGATTCAGTTGTGGAATTTAGCATCAGAAGTTACTGAAATGTTCTGGGGTTGTGCAACTGTACTGGGTACCATTCAACATTTCTAATCAAAGTTATCCTATCTGAAATGCCATTTTCGTTTCTAAAGCCCTATCTGCCTTAAATGTGTAGTTTCATTATATACTCTTCAAAACGTAGGGGATACTTTTTTTTCCAAAATTGTAACAGCTATTAGTTAAGAGTAATTATATGACAATCGAAACTACTTTGGAACACATTACAACCGGCAGTAACCGCCAACGATCTTCGAGACCGATAAGGGATAAGATGGGAAATTTTAAAGTTGTCCTTTTGGAGATACGAGCTGACAAACATTGATTCATTTGATGAGTCATACAGCGCTGAGTCCCAGTGGTGATTTGAGGGAGTCTGTCCCGCTCCTCTTGAAGCGCCTGGTCAACTTCCGCTAACGTAGTCAGCGGTATATGACGTGAACGCACACATTTCCCATTCATGTCGAGAGCTTTTCAACGGGGGAAGTTTTGGTCTCATTGTTGGTCATGGCATTCTATTGATGACATAGAGAATACTAAACGATGTCCCATGTAACACCATATTTATGAAACGGGTGAATGGTTTGGTACCAATACCATTCACGCGTTTCGTGAAGCCTGCTTTCGGGTCTATCGATCCTGTACTGTTTTCGTTGACCTGGGACGCCCTATTCTGTGAAATGTAGTCTGGAGAATCTGTCTATGAAACCAAGGGGATGTAACAACACATTTAACATTTTGCATCCCGAACGATTATTTTATACCCGTACAATAAACCGAAGCCAGTCGCGATCTTAAAAATCAGTATTCTGCATTTGACTTGTAAATGGTGATCGGTGGAAGAAACACAGGGTAACATTTCTGGACGCAAGGAGAGAGTGTGTGAGTGAGTTTAGTTTTACGCCGCACTCAGCAATATTCCAGCTATATGGGCGCGGTCTTGTAAATAATCGAGTCTGGACCATACAATCCAGTGATCAACAGCAGGAGTATCGATCTACGCAATTGGGATACGATAACATGAGTCAACAAGTCAGCGAGCCTGACCACCCGATCCCGTTAGTCGCCTCTTACGACAAGCATGGGTTACTGAAGGTCAATTCTAACTCGGATCTTCACGGGTCCGCAAGGAAAGAAAACACATCTTAACAATACATTCACATACACGGTCAGCGCCTTTGGATATAACTGGGGTGCTGCTTCATCTATTTAACTACGGCGCTTTGCTATGAGCTTATTTAACCTCAATCTAAAAGTACAAAGACCAAACTACAAATGGCATGTGAAGAAACGGGTAGGGAGCAAAGGTCATCTTCATTTTAACAGTACGATTTCAGACATTTCACTCAATGGCATTGCCAGCCAAATTCAGAATACACGAAAGTGATAGTACCAATGAATTCGTTATATACTGAACATCATTGAAAACGCACCAGTCTAAACTTGTCCATATTTTCATCAAGTTGGATTTCAGCATGACAATGATCAATGAATATAACTAACATGAAGTCGAAGGGCATGTCCAGTTGAAGCTTTGGAAACAAATTCCTGTCCACAGTATGACTCTTAATTCCAAAATGCATCAACATGCAGCCACGCCATGAAAAAAGCGCAAATTTCATTCTGAAATCATACTGACTGTGACATTAAAAGCAGGTGTATGAGAACCGATTCTCATTGCTTCACTAACGATTGTGAAACGAGGACAGAGATTCCGAGGTTAACACCTCACGAAAGAGAACGTGCACTAGGCATGATTCAGGTTGGCACCAGCAGCAGGGATATTGCTCAACAACTTTGACTTGGCCACTCCACCGTCGTTAGGCTTCATAGACGACATCAGTAGACAGGCAGCACCCGTGACCTTCAATGACCTTGGCAACAACGTGTTACGACGCTCCATCAGGATCGCCATATTGACCATGTCCATATCAGTGATTGAACACTGCCGACTGCCAGGACTGCTGCACTAGTTCAAGGTTGACGTGGAGGTCATCGGCGCTGACTCCATGCGACTCCGTCTACACGCTACAGGGCTCAATGCTCGACGTCCTTACGTTGGACCAATTCTGACTGACAGACACCGTAATGAGCGTATACAATGGACTAGCAGGCATTTTCAGTAAAGGTTACAACAATGTTATGGTGTGGTAGTCACTGACGAATCACGTCTTCATCTACGTAATGCTGACGGCCGATTACGTGTTTGGCGTAGACGTCGTGCACGTTATGCTGATGAGTGTGTGGTTCAGACAGATCTTTGGGTGGTGGAAGTGTCATGGTCTAGGGTGGAATTAATTAATTGCGGCGACAACAGATGCGAAACATCCGGGCACTTGAGGCTGCACTACTGCAGAAGTGGAATGCCATCCTCAAGAACTCTATTCGGACGCTTATTGACTCAATGAGGAGACGTTGAACTGCATGTGTCAATGCAAATGGCGGTCACACGCGATATTGACTTTTCGATTAGATCCATTCTGACTGTGGAACATTTCAATGAATGAGCGTCTTTTCTGTGTTGTTGTTTTTGTTAGTCGTCCATCTGTTATTATCCACTCAAAAAATATCAATTCCTTACACGTGCTTCTAATAATCTGAACTTTTATAAGTGGTGCGTTTTCAATGATGTTCAGTATATATGGAGCGGATCAGTCGAAATTGGTTTATAGTCATGACAAGCCCTACCACCTGACACACACCATGAATATATTACATGACTATAGGACGAGTGTGGAATACATTTAATGATATCAGATGATGGGTTATTTATGAACCTATGTGCACAAATTGGGCAGAGAGGATGTGTTACTGCAAGTTTTAGTTCTTATACAAATACCATAGGTTTTCGTTTACACATTGATCGATTTGGATACTTTCCCGATCATGGTTGATTATGGTGTTGATGTCACGGTCAGTGAAACACTGCATAGTTGGTTACAGTATTCATTTATCAATTATCATTTCTATTCATTAGCAAAACTGTAAGATTAGACATCTTATATTCATTGGTTGTATACATATAATAGGATTCGTGATGAAATATTCAACTGATAAAACTGCCACAATTAGCTGGTGTGTGCGTTTATTCGAGTTATAGGACGACCGTAACATAGCAGGTGCTTGAGACGATTTCTATGAGAGTTTGCACAACGTTTCAGGGAGTATCATTCTGAAGCCATTTGAGGTAAGCTCCGTAATTCATTTATTAAATAGATTTTGTGATATAAAAAACAAATGCAACATAATAATTTAAAAAGGGGAAGAGATAATAGCAAATAAAAGATCGACAAGTTTAATTTCTGTGGTACCTTATAACATGGTAATTTTAAAAGAATACCACCTCACTTGGACGTTTCTTGCAGTAACAGACACGATGCCGAAGGACAAAACTCACATCAGTATCGTTGTGATCGGCCATGTGGACTCTGGGAAGTCAACAACTACTGGTCATCTCATCTACAAGTGTGGAGGGATTGACCAAAGGACAATAGAGAAGTATGAGAAGGAGGCCCAAGAGGTAAAGATGACAGACATACCGACAGCCAAAGATGGCGGTACTCGACGAAGAGTATTGATGAAAATAAAATTGGTTTGGTCTGTCGAGATAGTATTGTTCCAGGTTGAGATTTTCCAAAACACATTTCTCTATTTACACAAAAACGAACGCCTATGCTATGTGGTCTTAGTTGTTCGCAGTGATGATGGCACACAATCATTATACTTCCTGGTACGAAATTATAGACTGAAATTTAGTTGTGCTAAAGGCATCTGTAACGTATGTTTGGTATTAGACGTTCTGATATAAATTCTTCAAAGGGATTTAGTAGTTGGTGTAGTAATACAAGACAAATCTTATGGATAACAACTTCTCTATTTTGTTTTCCACTAGTTCTTGCCCTGGACTAGTTCTTGCCCCTTCTTCAGGTGGATAATGACCATAGTGAACAGTACAGTGTGTGTGTGTGTGTGTGTGTGTGTGTGTGTGTGTGTGTGTGTGTGTGTGTGTGTGTGTGTGTGTGTGTGTGTGTGTGTGTGTGTGTGTGTGTGTGTGTGTGTGTGTGTGTGTGTGTGTGTGTGTGTGTGTGTGTGTGTGTGTGTGTGTGTGTGTGTGTTTTGATGTACAGGAAGTCAGAGGTGTAATTAAGTATATATAAGCACAAAGGGAGAAAGAGATATAATTCAGTATGTGCAAACAATAAAGTAGTGAGATGAAAGGGAAGAATACAATGAATAGGTATGTTTTTAAATAAGGACAGGTTCTGGTACTTTTCAGGGTTGAGTTCCATGTAGAACCCATCCGAATGGGACTCAAGCCAACGAAAGTACTATAATTTGTCAACAAACATGTCACTAGCATTAGAATCCTACAATCTGTCACAGATGGGCAAGGGGTCCTTCAAGTACGCCTGGGTGCTGGACAAACTGAAGGCCGAGAGAGAAAGGGGCATCACTATCGATATTGCTCTCTGGAAGTTTGAGACAAAGAAGTTCTATATTACCATTATTGACGCTCCAGGCCATAGAGACTTCATCAAGAACATGATCACTGGAACCTCCCAGGTGAGTAGGCCACGCAACCATCATACTTTCAGATCTACAGATATATGTATAAATGAATCCATAGGTATCTGATGAGAAGAGTTCAGAGTAGTTCGCTTGATATACTACCTGTGTAATAAAGCAATGACACCACACTGGTATTTTCTCCCTCTACTCATTTTGATTATTTCTTTCTTGATTACGTCCTTCGGCTGGCCGAAGTAAATATTTTTATTTAACATTTAATGCCTTCACCTAACACTGATCCATGTTACCATAGGAACACACGTTACCGATGTCACCTTGCTTACTTTGACCTTCACCTCAATGACGTCACCATTGTATATTGTCATGATTGCTTATTGTCTTCAACCTCACTTGATTACCCTGATCCCTTGTGATGTTGTCGTCACTCAGAAGGCACCATGGAATCTCAATGAATGTCTTTTTCCTTCTTGAATCAACCTGGAATTTCTTACTGATCCCACGGATCCCACGTCCTTCACCTTGCTCCCGTCTAGAGTCCCCGTTCTCCTAGAGTCATCTGTGTTCATATTTACATCATGACATTCTCTTTGCAGGCCGACTGCGCTGTACTCATAGTAGCATCGGGCACAGGGGAGTTCGAAACTGGAATATCCAAAAATGGCCAAACAAGAGAACATGCCCTGCTTGCCTACACATTGGGTGTCAAGCAAATTATTGTTGGCGTTAACAAAATTGACACGACGGAACCGCCCTATTCTGAAAAGAGGTTCCTGGAAATTGTCACCGAAGTTAAAACCTACTTGAAGAAGGTTGGCTTTGATCCTAAATCTGTGGCATTTGTTCCTATCTCTGGTTGGCATGGGGACAACATGCTTGAAGAAAGTCCAAGCATGCCTTGGTATAAGGGTTGGTCAACTGTAAAGAAGATTGATGAGGAACATATAAAAGCTTCAGGAAAAACACTTTTCGACGCACTTGATAGCATCGTACCTCCCACTAGACCAGTTAAAAAGCCTCTGCGTCTCCCCCTTCAAGACGTCTATAAAATAGGAGGTGAGTGTGTCCTGGATTTTGATTGGTTGAAGAAATTGGTAGGTAGGAGTATATTTATAATACTTGGAATATAAACGTTGGAATTTGACGCTTAAATGTGGAGTTCCATTAGAACTGTAAGAAAGCAGTCAATAGATGTTACCATCCATTGATTGAGATGCTGGTTCATTCCCAATTGAAAATTATTATAATGTTTAACAGATTTAAATAAACTAATGCAGCAAAGAGGGTCCGAATGATCCGGGCACAGCTAGGCTGGTTCATCATCAGCTCAGAGCCCTTACCACTGAAAACGAATGGGACGCTGCCTAGTCGAACCAACCAAGAAAGTTTCGGAAATATGTAGATTTTCCAATACTGCAGCCTTCTGCATTACCCAGAGTGTCACTGTGATTCCAGTGGAGAACACGGACACACTCTTGATCTACGTTAAGAGATTAGGAGGTACCAAACCCAAGGCACAGCGATAAAAGTCAGACACCTTGGTACTTGCCATTTCCCCCCTCAATCTTGTCAATCACGTTACTGTCAAAAGGGACAGACAATTACATGATATAAATAATTTAATTTGTTTTATCAATTAGGACAGGATCAGGTTTGCTGGCTTGTTATATGTATGTTTTCTTTTATTATTTTTATTATTAGTATTATATGTTTCATTCACCATGAAAACATAAATCCAGGGCCTCTACATTTTATTTTTTCGGTTAGGAATTGGAACGGTACCAGTGGGCAGAGTGGAGACAGGAGTCCTGAAGCCAGGAATGATCGTTACATTTGTCCCTGCCAATATTACCACAGAGGTAGCATATTCACAGATTTATGGTTTCTATATTAAACAAAATTTGTTGATAAAGACGTTACCCATGAAGTTTGTTCAATATTGTACGTCCCAACTTCTAAATAGCCACTCGAAGAAGTTCATGGTTTCTAACGAAAACTCAATTAAAAGGTTCCGCGTGATTCAATATTCTTCGAGCTTGCATTCGTCTTAGAAACATACATACTCATGAGCGTAATGATTCTGTCATGCATCTCTCAGGTCAAATCAGTAGAGATGCATCACGAATCACTGTCTGAGGCCTTACCTGGGGACAACGTGGGCTTCAACGTCAAGAACATCTCCGTCAAGGACATACGTCGAGGAAACGTAACGGGTGACAGCAAAAACGACCCACCATGTACAACAAAATCATTTATTGCTCAGGTAAACAATTCATCTAATCAACAACCCATACTTGTTTTAAGAGGCAACTAACAGTATCGGGTGGTCGGACTCGCTGACTTGGGTGTAAGCGTATTCCAGTTGCATACACTGATGCTAATGACGTCAAACACTGGATTATCTGGTCCAGACTCAATTATTTACAGATCGCCGTCATATAGCTCGAATACTGCTGAGTGCGGCGTAAAAACAAACAAACAGTAATTTAATACTCGCTATAGAACTACGATTTTCTCTCACCTAATTACACGTCTGATATCTATGGTTGTTGGCAGTGGGGTAGCCTAGTGGTTAAAGCGTTCGCTCGTCACGCCGAAGACCTGGATTCGATTCCCCACATGGGTACAATGTGTGAAACCCATTTCTGGTGTTTCCCCGCCGCAATATTGCTGGAATATTTCTGAAAGCGGCGTAAAACCATTTTCACTCACTCAATGGTTGTTGCTACAAGAGGATACATAACTTGTAGCCATAACATATGCATCCTTTCCATTTTTATCAGATATCTCTCAGACTGCAGATAGAGTTGATTGTACAATTGCTACTGCTATCAAATAGTGATACTACCAGGAATTCGCAATCAATCACTTCAAATTAAACCAGCCTATGCACCTTCATCCTACTCATACACACTCCAAATATAATGGACACCAATGGTGTTTTCAGGTGATTGTTCTGAACCACCCGGGTCAGATCGCTGCAGGGTACGCTCCAGTTCTGGATTGCCACACAGCACACATTGCATGTAAGTTTGCGGAACTCAAAGAGAAAGTGGACCGTAGGAATGGCAAGAAGTTGGAAGAGAATCCCAAGTTTTTGAAGTCTGGAGACGCTGGCATCATAAATCTGATACCATCAAAACCAATGTGCGTGGAGACATTTGCCAAATATGCCCCACTTGGGAGATTTGCCTGTCGCGACATGCGACAGACGGTGGCCGTCGGGATCATCAAGGAGGTCACCAAGAAGAAAGTAAGCACGGGAAAAGTGACCAAATCTGCCAAGAAAGGTCAATAACCATTTCACCGAGCTTATATCACTATCTTAGACTGAACTATTTTCAACTCAACCTATCATTTTACTACAGGCACATGTGTGTTCTTAAGCAATGTCAAAGATTGCCACATGCCATGAACAGCCAAGTGGCAAAGTGTCAATGTAGTATGTTGTCATATTGATATGCTTCTGTTTCCTCTTTATGTATTTGACAGTTAGGACAATTGTTGTGATCTCCATTAATCATTGAGTCACACATGTCATATCTCGTTTCATCTGTGGCATTCTGTGCTTGATGGTAAGTCAGAACACACGTTCATGGTATAGAAGGAACAGCACAATGGAGATTTATTGCGGATCTGGAAAGGGTTTTGTCGCTTTTATTTCTAGCACAACTAAGGGCTACGATTCGGAGGGGTTCGTTTTGTGGGTTCTCATACGCACTCCAACCAAGACACTTTATACAAAGTATGGGCACGTTTAGCTAAGATACATAGCGTTCACTGTTCATGTCAGTGAACGCTATGTATCTTAGCTAGGGCACGTTATACAAGTATGATGACCGAGAGGGACTTTACTTTCTCTGATTTACTGCTGAGTTCGGCGTAAATCTAAACTCACTCACTTTCTCGCTTTCATTTACGGCCGCAAGAACGCGATATTTGTACATCGGTTTCTCATGACGTGCTATCGCTTTCTCGCGGCCGTTTTCGAAGGAAAGAAAGATATGTCCCCTCTAGGCCACCATACATAAGTGACACATATATAAAGATGTATACACACAAGTGAATCAATATATACAGATATTCTTTTCGTGAAATTCGATTACATGTATTTGACTGCATTTTGTAACACAGCACTTTCATGGTATGACAAGGAACAGTTGCTTTGCTTTCACATCTGTGACTCGTCCTCTATCTTTCATGGTCTATCTGTTAGAAGTATAGTCATCTTGTTATACTGCGAGTTACAATCATGGATTACAAAACTTTATCACTGATTTCACTGTACGTTATGATGTTTCGTCAAAGTGGATATATCAGTCAATGTTGGTTTAAATAAATGTGTAGACCCTGTTTCCTGGTTTGTTTTATATCTATGTAATGTCCTTTTTACTACATATTTATAGACATATTCAATTCAGTTGTATATTCCAGTATATCCCATGTACACAAGTATATAGTTTTTTTAGCGAGATTAAACATCAAGGATTGTCTTTCTTTTAAGAAGTGCTAGTTTTATAAAATGTGCAAAGTTTTAAAGAATAGTACTATTTGTACAGGAGAATAATTTATAGTAAACAGAAATGTATGGAATCCGAGAAGGGACATTGTTGCTATGTCGCATTGTCGCCCTCTCAAAAACAAGTAAAGTGAGGCAAAATAAACCAAAACGCGACACTCGACAATGCGACAAATGGGCGAAATGTCGAGTTGTCGCGATGTCGCGATGTCGCGTGTCGCGTTTTGGTTAATTTTGCCTCATTTTGCTTGTATTTGAGAGGGCGACAACGCGACAATGTCCCTTCCAGGATTCCATAGAAATGTTACCATTTGCAAGACAGTGTTTTGGTAGATGTAAAGGTCTTAAAGTGTCATAAGCTGGGCAAATAGGACAGAAATGGTATTCGTCTTGAACGCTATATGGTAACATTAATGCATAGGAATGTGGGCAGGCACTTCTTTTCTTCCCATCACGTCACCTCCAAAACTTACCTTGAAGAGTTGAACATGTTATGTTTAAAGCGACTTGACATGATGAAACCTTTAGTAGTTGCGCACTACAAATGTAAGTTGTGGTTACGAAAGCGCCTAAGATTGATGGATCACGTGAAACGTTTTACACTGTCTCTTGATTCCTGCTTTTAGTGTTGCTGCATTAGAATTACCTCCGACCTGTGAAGGTCCGGGTTAGAATTGATTTTATATAACCCATGAGGCGACTAACGGAATCAGGTGGTCAGGCTCTCTTGCCACGTGGCATCGTATCCCATTTGCGTAGATCGATGCTCATGCTGTTTATCACTGGATTGTCTGGTCCTGACTCGATTATTTACAGACCGCCGCCATATAGCTGGAATATTGCTGAGTGCGGCGTTAAACAACAAACCAACCAACATATATACGTCAACGAACACTTCCCATCTGGTGTATATATGTATGAAAAGTTTGACCAAAGAACAATTGAAAAATGTGAGAAGGAACGTTTAACCCAGGGGTTAGGGATTACACATTTATCATATATATAATTCACTGTGAAAGATAGTGTTTTAAGTTGAGAAGCATTATATTTTTATGTCAATGAACATAACACGTGATATTTCACGGCAATGAACGTAGCGCTTTGATAGGAGTATTTTCTTACCTTCCCCCCAATTATCTGCCCATAATTGTAAGCGTCTCTTGTGACAAAGTCTTTTTGACTTCCTGTTTTGTAATTACACTCTGGAACGATGAAAATGATATCATATGATTTGTTATGGAATTGATATATGAAGAATATTCTGAGTGTCCAGTGAAATATGATATATCCCTCGTCAAATGACGTGGAAAAGGATTATTTAATGTATATATATCATTAAAACAAATCTTTTGCGGAATCCTGAACAATCGAATACATAGCGGTGGTCATAAATTAAAAAGAAGGTATTTAAAATCACATTGCTCTTTTTGTATTGAAAGCCACCTTTATATTTATGCCTTAGGAATCCAATGAAGATAATAGGCAGATGAAGCACACGAAATAATGATTTCATTCAATGGTATCAGGACTGATCCGTTCAGTGCAAGAGAAAGTGAGTGCGTTTGTGAAGTTATCAGCACCGTTACAGAAACATCGCATTTCGCATGATTTTAATTAAAGAGTGAGTGAGTGAGTTTAGTTTTACGCCGCTTTTAGCAATATTCCAGCACTATCACGGCGGGGGACACCAGAAATGGGCAACACATTGTACCCACGTGGGGAATCGAACCTGGGTCTTCGGCGTGACGAGCGAACGCTTTAACCACTAGGCTACCCCACCGCCCCTTTTAATTAAAGAGGTTATTATAATAACAAGTCCTTAAGCATGTCGTTGCCGAACAGAACAAATCGTTCAGATTAACAGATGTCCGTATTAACGGGATATTGAGGTAGTAGGCGTCCTTAAACACGATCCTCCGGAAATACATATATATTGCTTGTCACGACAGATACGCTACTAAAGCAATCATTGTCAAAGCGACGGAAGGAACCAATAGAGCTATATCAAACAGGCCCGAGGGGGTGTGAGTGTCAGTACTGGCTGGGCGGAAAGGAATACTATGGAATACGACATACTTCACACCATACTGCACCGACAAGCATTGTAACGCCACTATACATAGACTGATGTCCGGACGGGAATACCGTTATTGATACATATAACATGATGACTTATCGCCGAGGTATTTAGTTCCGAGTCATCATTTGCTATCTCACAGAGAGCGATCAAGGGTAGGTGCAATATGTATTATTCTGTATGCATGAAGGTTAAATTACATAGTAATTCAGCTAGTTAATACTCAACAGTAATCGAGGGAGAGACAATGCGTCATATTTGTATCTGTTATTGAAGAGTATTGGGAAACAACATGCTTCAAGTGCCTGAGCTCGTCAGATTAGTCGTCCTCAGATTAACACACTGCTAATGTACACATAGTTATATATAGATATTTGGCGAGATAGGTGTGGGTAAAAGACGTTGGCAGATAGGTACTATACATGTACGATTGAGTGAGTTTAGTTTTACGCCGCTTTTAGCAATATCACGGCGGGGGACACCAAAAAGGGCTTCACACATTGTACCCATGTGGGGAATCGAACCCGGGCCTTCGGCGTGACGAGCGAATGCTTTAACCACCGGGCTATCCCACCGCCCCATACATGTATGAAGGTAGAGGACAGATAAGGTGTTATGTGCTATAAAGTGTTAGTATCGGTGTAAATATGAAAGTAGGTAGAACGTAGGTATAGGTGTGTTTGTAAGAATACAATGTATATTGTGTATAGGCAGAAGTTTTGGTACATGTTTTGTGTAGGCAGAGAGTAAAGTGTAAAAGATGGATTGATAGGCATGTGTAGGTAACAAAAGGTCGGTAGAAGGGCAAATGCATGATACATACATACATACAAACATTTGTATAACGCCGATATCCAGTACAACTGCTTATGTTAGTATAGGTATGTAGAAAGGGATAGATGGTAGATATGTAGCAGATAGTCATTTTTCTTTAATTAGAGAATAATCATGTTTATATAGGTAGAACAAAGACATGTTGACTGGACGGAGGCTTGGTGTACTTAGGTAAAAGACAGTCCTGTTTATGTAGATAGAACCTGGGCGCGTTTATGTAGATAGAAGAGAGGCGTGTTTATATGGGTGGAAGGTGGGTATGTGTACTTAAACATGTGGTCGACAAGTAGTATCTTTTCTATGAAGTAAGCCCCAATAGTTAACGTCAAGGTACACAGAAAACTTGGCAGCATTCTCTGGCTGGTTCCTATGCGAACGTCACCGACAGCTACAGCGTCGTCTGGCACTCCCACGATTAGTAATTCAATTTGTATGGATTGGGACACAGGGCGACTTTCGTAATAATCCCATGTATACCCTGCACACGAACAACTTACTACCATAGACTTGTGTCACGCTACAGACACGGGACAATTAAATATCTAAAACGCTATTGTACGATGGACAACTTGTAGTAAACGCCATTGACAAATAATCTTCCTTACAGCTTATGAACGTGAAACAATTCGCTAAACAATCTAATGTCATGGTGAAATCATGGTGTTGGTTACATGAGTGAGTGAGTGAGTTTTTACGTCACTGTACACATACGTAGCGTGTTAAGTTGATGCGAGGGTGAAAAGCTAGAGCGCTGCAGACCCAAGACGTGAAACGTTCTAGCGGTGAAACCCTGATCCTGACAGACCAAAAACATGGATTCGAACCCACGTTCTTCATTTACTGGATGCCCAGGGGACGCTACTTTGCATAGCTAATTGCGGCGCCTTAGACCTTGGCCCGTTCCCCTTGGTGTATTGTAACAGCAGCTGTGATTGTTATTATTATCATGACATACATAGAAATATAACCAGGGCAAATCGGTGATTTGAATTAAACATCATAGGTTTCTTCTACGCCAAAGAGACACATCTCAGCAAAGAGAATTGCGGCGCCTTAAATGTCCGAGATACAATACTGTCGCCTTTCCTGCTGTCACGGTTCTCAGTACTTTATAACACGACCCGTGAAGATCCGAGTAAGAATGGGCTTTCAGGAACCCACGCTTGTCATAAGAGGTGACTAACCGGATCGGGCGGTCAGACATGTCATGATATCCCAATTGCATAGATCGATGCTCAGGCTGTTGATCACTGGATCGTCTGGTCCAGATTCGATTATTTACATACCGCCGCCATATAGCTGGACAAACAAACAAATAACAAACATATAAAACAAAACTCTGTCACACAAATATTGGCATATTGATCTCATTGAGTATAGAGGGCAATTTGCAAAGGTTCGCACAAATACCGCAGAGTTAGAAGTGTAACTCGAGATTAAACAAGAAAAATCTTACCCGCTAATCGTACTTCTACGAGGAGAATAACTACAAATTAAGTTAGATATGTGCCATGCATGCCATCTCTTTCTATTGTGCTATTGTATTCCTTCGGGAGACATTTTTGTACAACCCAACAAATTGAAAGCACGTGACGTCTAGCTGCGACAGACACTCGTGATTATGCATCATCATGTACAGCCCGTGTGTTGTGACTGTCTGTATTGTCATTATGTGTTATTATCTGATTCATCAGTGCATCACAGAACCTATTAAAGAACTCTTGGTGAACGTCACTTCAAAACACTTTACACTATGACCGAGAAACCACATCAGGTTGAGTCGGGGCGACCGAGAAACCATGTCAGTTCGAATCAGTGCGACTGAGAGACCACGTCAACTTGTCTCGGGGCCACCGGGAAACCAGGTCAGTTTGAGTCGGGGCGACCGAGAAACCATGTCAGTTCGACTCAGGGTGACTGAGAGAACACGTCAACTTGTCTCGGGGCCACCGGGAAACCAGGTCAGTTCGACTCGGGGCGACTGAGAGACCATGTCAGTTCAAACCGAGGCGATCGACAAAACCACGTGAGCTCTAGTCGGGGTCACCGACAAGCGATGTCTGTTCGAGTCGGGGCGACCTAGAAACCACCTCAGTTCGAATCAGTGCAACCGAGAAACCACGTCAGTTCGAGTCGGGGCGACCGAGACCCCAGACCAGTTTGAGTCGGGGCGACCGAAACACCGCGTCAGTTCGAGTCGGGGCGACCGAGAAACCATGTCAGTTCCAGTCGGGGCGACCGAGAAACCACGTCAGTTTGAGTCGGGGCGACCAGAACACCACGTCAGTTCGAGTCGGGGCGACCGAAAACCACGTCAGTTCGAGTCGGGGCGACTGAGAAACCATTTCAACTCCACCAAAGGACAGCTGGAAGTGGACGTAAACCTGAAACGCTGTCTTGGATGAAAGAGTAGTGAGATGTAGCATCTACAACCAGATTTCTTGGGACCAGGATCATTTGCAAACAAGATCTAACGCGAAGCAACGTGGGTGAAGGCCCACATGGAAAATCATCTAAACCCAGAGTGTTATGGTAAAGGACCGCTTGGAAGGTCATCTGAACCAAAGCAACACTGGTGAAGGACCTGTTTGAAGAGCCTCTAAACCCATGAATATAAAAACATACAGGTGATATCACTGTGAACGGAAACGTTCATATTAAAGCGAATTAATTGTATATTACACACTGCCTACTTCAAAGGTAACTCATCCTATCGAGAGATATTAGCTGTAAAGGTTCCCCGCGAGGGAAACAAGCTTATATAGAAAGCTTTTAATCGAAACGTTACGAGCAAACAGCGTTATACAAACCCTTAGAGTAACTGGTCGGACACGTTCTATTGTGTCTGTTATTGCATAAAAAAGTGTTGACTGTTAGCTGGATGCAATGCAGTGACACCTTGCAAGGATGTAACCATTTCCAACAGTATGTGGTTTTGGCATAACTCCCAGCTGTTCCACGAACTATGGTTTTTACAACAGAAGTGTTTTGTTGATGCGTGTTTTTGATTTTTAGTAAAAAGTAACGCCAATCTCGGATTCACTTAAAGATCACCAAGACTGTTTAACAAAACACTCAGAAGAGTAAAGGAATAGTGGAAACTAACAGCGTGATTATATCACCGGTGTAAGCTCAAAGTATTAATTCCCGATTCAAGTGTTTATTATTTCCGAGTCTTGCGCTCATCAAATGTATGCTGTACTGACGGAATCATGGCTTCTTGGATTAGCCTGACCTATTGTAGGTCACCAGCACGTTGTTAGGGCTACACAGTACGCGTATACCACAGGTGGGAAATACAGGCGGCATGACACTACTAGTTCTGTCTTATAAGAAAGATTCCTTTGTTTCCATGATTTCGCCTACTGATGCATAAAGTTATTGGAATGTGATATTCTTTATTCGTAGTCCTTTTTTCCAACAGGTGCTTTACTCCTTGATATTGTAAATTAATGCATTTGTATAATCATCATTTGCTAATAAGAATCTTCAACATATGATTATTATATTATTATAGGATATTTATATAGCGCACATATCCACGCAACTAGTGCATGCTCAAGGCGCTGACTATGATTATTATCATCATATATATTAATTTTTATCTTCATCATATACATATAATATATATATGTATATTTTGATTATCGTTATTATTAACGCTATCATCATTATTATCATTAATATTATTTTCAGCTGTAGTAGAAGTTGTAGTAGTAGTAGTAGTAGTATTTGTATACTAGTATTTTGATTATCGTTATTATTAACGATATCATCATTATTATCATTAATATAATTTTCAGCTGTAGTAGAAGTTGTTGTAGTAGTAGTAGTATTTGTATTTTAATTAGTATTTGCATTATCGACCTATCATCGTCATTCTTGCAGTCGTAAGTATTACACTATAAACATGATATTTCGCTACAGTATCCACTGAGTTACCCTTGGCACTAGGCTTTGGTCAGGTGTTCCAAAACCCGTGTAGATCCCGCCGCCAAGTTTGTTACCGAAACTTTTTTCGCCTCTTGCCAAAACAACAATGTCTGCACCGAATCAAGACAGGCGTTACAGACCCTGGCTATCACATTGTCTCATATCCAGGATTATTTAGGAATTGATTTACCACGCTGTGGATTTTATACAGGTAGGCTATTGTTGTAAACTGTTTATTCCATACCAGGTGCAGTATCGGTATTTAATACCAGGTGCAGTTATCATCGGTACTTTCTGTCCTACACGGCATCACCCGTACAGGAGAGTGTATATTCATGGCATACAAAGTGTTATATCATTTGTATTGTACCTGTGAAGATAAAGGGATGTTGTATAACACGAGAAGAAACTGATGAAGAACGTAATGGTGATGTGTTTAAAATAGTTAACTTTATTTCTTAAAGTCACCCTTTGCAGTGAATGCAGTTCGTGGCACACGATCGTAAGTACGACTGAATCTATGGTATTAATATATATTTTTAATGGTTCACTTTCATAAACTCACATCATTGAAAACAGGGTTTCGTTAAAATAATGAATACATTCACTGAATACATTCATTGCGTTACGTACTTGAAAGCAATGTTTGATTGGCTCTTCTGGGGAACATAGTTCTTGTATAATATCTTATCAGTATTTTCATTCTTTTTGTCAGTGTACTCAAATCTGAGCTAGATGACATAGGTAAGCATGGGTGAAGCATTTGTTTGAAGAAACCTAAATACACGCGTCACCTTTTACACATTTATATATGTACGATATAAATATGCACCGAGTTATTTCCATAACAAGGCTTCACGTGATGAGCAGTGATCGTGTGTAGGCAACAATATCTAGTACAATGTGTCCTTCGGTTGAATATACTACTCAAAATTTGCTAAGGACTGGTCTGTGATAATATGAAAAATATCATCGAACAAATACAGATTTAAACATTGCGGCACAAAATCATTTGGTAACCCGTACAGGACTTCACATTTTGGGATTAACGGACATATATGCAGTTGAGGATAGGGTCATCGACATGCTTGAAAACATGTGTTTGGATGTATCCAGGAGCAGAACATGTGCACCTGAGGATTGCAAAAACAGAATGTGCTAATGTCACCTCAGCGTCAAAGGCGTCGTTTGCCGAATTAGAATTAGGTAGATGCAACGGCAGGCATGCAAACAGGGTCAACACAAAGTCGCGATGAAAACGTCGTCGGTGTCAGCCAAAGTGTGATCAGTAAGGCATGGAATCAATACTGGACGTTTGTATCATGTCCCCAGCATGTGGTCGATAGCGTTCAGCCATGCCGCAGAAGAGAGGTTCCTCCTGACTATTAAAGCAAGACGGAATCACTTTGTGACTGCAACAACGCTCAGAAATGAGCGGCGGAACTTCAGTGGTGTTAACATATGTCACAGCCCGTAAGGCTGGTTTCACCGTGGGCGAGCATTTGCATCCCACAGACACGACATCACAGGCATAAATGTATGGAGTGGACTGAAGATCACGTCAGCTGTACCGACAAGGACTGGGTTCCGTGACTTTTCACCAATTAATCGACATACTCTCTAAGCTTTAGAGAACGTCTACTGTTCGTAGACAAGAGGTTTCAAGATTCCACGAAGCTGAACATGACCGCTATGGATGGGGATAAATCACAATTTGAGGCTGGATTAGCACAGCTGGATGACCGATCTCCATGTCCTTCAGCAGTCCAACAGGGATGACAATCTGCATGTGTACGTGCGACCGTATGCTAGAAAATCTGACAGAACTTCATCCTCATTATCAAAATCGCACATCATTGAGTAAGGGACTTGAGTAGGAATTCGACCATTGTCTGAATGAAGTAGCCTCCCCGGTCACCAGGCCTCAGCCATGCTGAACACATGTGGAACTAACAACTGATCGCCTTCTCACGATGACCTGTCGTCCGGGCTATTCTACTAGAATCCGGCAATGCTCTTACTGAAGAGTGAACTTGTTGACGTTTCAGTTTTGGACTGTAATCTTATTTGACGTGTGATTTGACTGACTTTTGCTCACATGGTGTTTGTTGACATTGTTTGTCACGTGACAATGATGTTTCTTTAAACATGTCTTCAGGCAATATTGTCCATGGCCATTTCAAGAGATGCATGCATTTGACGTATTACCTTTATAGTGGCGATCCTCAGTAAACTCTGAGTGGTATATATAGATACGGTGAATATAGTCTCAGACTAAACAACAAACATGCCATGCTACTACTAACAATACAGATACAGAGTGTAAAGGCTATTTCTGGTGTCCCCCGCCTTGATATTGCTGGAATATTGCTAAAAGCGGCGTAAAACCATACTCACTCACTCACATATACAGAACGTCAACGCCAGATGATAACCAGTCTCCACCTCAAATGGAGCCATTAAGGGTAAATAACAAATCATCAGCGAAAGTAATATGAATAGACCACAGAAAATCAACGATGATCCAAGACAATAATACTGTTTCCTATACTGAAAAAAAACTAAGGCTTATTATAAATTCGAAAAAAATATAAACATAATATTGATAAGAAGATGAAAACCAAGAAACCATTTTATCATCAACTCCTAGAAGACCTTTGTTGAACCCAATGTGTGTTTATAGGGCACTGTTCTATACAAACATGTAGTGGATGGCATCACGTGAATTAGTTCTTCTGTTGCTGGTTCCGCCACACGGCAACGTTTCCGATGCAGACGCCATGTGTTATTTCTCCAAATAAACCCCAAAACAAACCTGCCCATCTGGCCGTCACATTGGCGTGGTTCATCAACACAGTTCGTGGCGAGAAGTCTGTACACTTTCTCTCAAGATACTGGATCGTTATGTTATATTGATCGGAATGATCGAAATGACACAGTAAAGAGATTGGCAAACCACACAAAGATTAATGTATGCGACATTACATGTATTTTGTGGTATTTCTTCGGTGCATTGGTTCTCAGCAACATGGAGGCTATTTTAAGCATGGAAACAAGTTGTTGACCTTCCTGAGTGTTTTGATGAAATGGCGTTTGATAAAGGCTGTTTACGTCCTCAATATTACGTCTTTACATCAGCCAGAAGGCCCGTGTTCCGCACGAAGCACATACGCTGTTGATAACGTTATTTTCTTCTTGTTTTAAATAACTTCCCCAATCTAGAGGTTCCAATTTCTAGTTTAACCTTTTTCGATGGGGTATAACTCTGTGTTACTTGCAGGCGATTTACAAACTGAACACTTGTCGTGACAGGTCAAATCTTTCCTCATCAAACAGTTTCCTGGATACCAGATCCTTTGTTGCCCTGTTCTGTACTCTATCATTGCAACATACAAAGTGACAGCTCGTTCTCCTTCCAGTTCCCGACTGAGATGCGTCAACTCATGTGCCGGGTTGTCATGGCACTTGTTGTCATGGTCATGATGGTGGACGCCACAAGGATCAGAAACAGAAGTAAGAAATACTGACTCTCCGTCCAGAACTACTGTCTTCCCGTCCACGGACACTAGCTCTCCATCCACATACACTATCTCCACATCCGGAGATATTGCCTCACTGTCTAAAGTTACTACATCCCCATCCAGAGATACTGCCTCCCCATCCACAGATGCAGCCTTTCTGTCAAGAGATACTACCTCCCTGTCAGGAGGTTTTACCTCCCCATACTGATATAGTACCTCCCACTAATCTCACCTTGTCCATGTTCAATTCTGATTATGCTTCGTTCCTGATCCTTATCGCCAGGTAATGCGTTGTCCCTTAACTCCAGGTAAAGCCGTGTCCCTTAACGCCGTGTTGTGCCTTGTCCGTTGACGCCATGTTGTGCCTTCTCCCTTGACGCCATGTTGTGCCTTGTCCCTTGACGCCATGTTGTGCCCTGTCCCTTAATGCCGTGTTGTGCCTTGTCCCTTGACGCCATGTTGTCCCTTGTCCCTTGACGCCATGTTGTGCCTTGTCCCTTGACGCCATGTTGTGCCCTGTCCCTTAATGCCGTGTTGTGCCTTTTCCCTTGACGCCATGTTGTGCCCTGTCCCTTAATGCCGTGTTGTGCCTTGTCCCTTGACGCCATGTTGTGCCTTGTCCCTTGACACCATGTTGTGCCTTGTCCCTTGACGCCATGTTGTGCCCTGTCCCTTAATGCCATGTTGTGCCTTGTCCCTTGACACCATGTTGTGCCATGTCCCTTGACGCCATGTTGTGCCCTGTCCCTTGACGCCATGTTGTGCCTTGTCCCTTGACGCCATGTTGTGCCTTGTCCCTTGACGCCATGTTGTGCCCTGTCCCTTGACGCCGTGTTGTGCCCAGTCCCTAGACGCCATGTTGTGCCTTGTCCCTTGACGCCATGTTGTGCCTTGTCCCTTGACGCCGTGTTGTGCCCTGTCCCTTGACGCCATGTTGTGCCTTGTCCCTTGACGCCATGTTGTGCCCTGTCCCTTGAAGCAATGTTGTGCCTTGTCCCTAGACGCCATGTTGTGCCTTGTCCCTTCACGCCATGTTGTGCCCTGTCCCTTGACGCCATGTTGTGCCTTGTCCCTTGACGCCATGTTGTGCCTTGTCCTTTGACGCCGTGTTGTGCCTTGTCCCTTGACGCCATGTTGTGCCTTGTCCCTTGACGCCATGTTGTGCCTTGTCCGTTGACGCCATGTTGTGCCTTGTCCTTTGACTCCATGTTGTGCCTTGTCCCTTAATGCCGTGTTGTGCCTTGTCCTTTGACGCCATGTTGTGCCTTGTCCCTTGACGCCATGTTGTGCCTTGTCCCTTGACGCCATGTTGTGCCTTGTCCCTTGACGCCATGTTGTGCCTTGTCCCTTGACGCCGTGTTGTGCCCTGTCCCTTAATGCCGTGTTGTGCCTTGTCCCTTGACGCCATGTTGTGCCTTGTCCCTTGACGCCATGTTGTGCCTTGTCCCTTGACGCCGTGTTGTGCCTTGTCCCTTGACGCCATGTTGTGCCTTGTCCCTTGACGCCATGATGTGCCTTGTCCCTTGACGCCATGTTGTGCCTTGTCCCTTAAAGCCGTGTTGTGCCTTGTCCCTTGACGCCATGTTGTGCCCTGTCCCTTGACGCCATGTTGTGCCTTGTCCCTTGACGCCATGATGTGCCCTGTCCCTTAAAGCCGTGTTGTGCCCTGTCCCTTGACGCCATGTTGTGCCCTGTCCCTTGAAGCAATGTTGTGCCCTGTCCCTTGACGCCATGTTGTGCCTTGTCCCTTGACGCCATGATGTGCCCTGTCCCCTGACGCCATGATGTGCCTTGTCCCTTGACGCCATGTTGTGCCTTGTCCCTTGACGCCATGTTGTGCCTTGTCCCTTGACGCCGTGTTGTGCCTTGTCCCTTGACGCCGTGTTGTGCCCTGTCCCTTGAAGCAATGTTGTGCCTTGTCCCTTGACGCCATGTTGTGCCTTGTCCCTTGACGCCATGTTGTGCCTTGTCCCTTGACGCCATGGTGTGCCTTGTCCCTTAATGCCATGCTAAGCCCTTGTCACTTAACACCATGATGTGGCTTGTCCCTAACGTTATGTTGTTCCTTGTCCCTTAACACCATTGTCCCTTAACGCCATGTTGTGGCTTGTCCCTTAACACCATTGTCCCTTAACGCCATGTTGTGGCTAGTCCCTCAACACCATTGTCCCTTAACGCCATGTTGTGGCTTGTCATTCAACACCATTGTTCCTTAACGACATGTTGTGGCTTGTCCCTTAACGCCATGGTGTGTCTTGTCCCTTGACGCCATGGTGTGCCTTGTCCCTTGACGCCATGCTGTGCCTTGTCCCTTAATGCCATGTTAAGCCCTTAACACCATGATGTGGCTTGTCCCTTAACGTTATGTTGTTCCTTGTCCCTCAACACCATTGTCCCTTAACGCCATGTTGTGGCTTGTCCCTCAACACCATTTTCCCTAAACGCCATGTTGTGGCTTGTCCCTCAACACCATTGTCCCTTAACGCCATGTTGTGGCTTGTCCCTCAACACCATTGTCCCTTAACGCCATGTGAAGGCTTGTCCCTCAACACCATTGTCCCTTAACGCCATGTGAAGGCTTGTCCCTTAACACCATTGTCCCTTAACGACATATTGTGCCTTGTCCCTTAACACCATGTTAAGCCTTGTCCCCTAACGCCATGTTGTGCGTTATCCCTTAACGACATGTTAAGCCTTGTCCCTTAACGCCAGGTTAAGCCTTGTTTTGCCTCGAGCTTGGACGCCATTTTGTGCCTTGTCCCTTAACGCCATGTTAAGTCTTGTCCCTTAACGCCATGTTAAGCCTTGTGGATTGTCACTGGACGCCATTTTGTGTCAACACACATAGGTTATGGTTGATATTTTTCCGTCTGTAGGTACAAGAGCAATTCTGAACGAGTTTAAAGTGAAGGAACGAGCGTGGAGGACAGCCTGTGAACGACACAACTGCACATCGTGAGTTGCACAGCATGTTTGATAGGAACTTGATTATCGCGAGATAGTTAAAATAGTTCTGCATCATTTCTGTATCTATACTAAGACGGAATGAAAACTATAACTAAACTGACCTTCACAGAAAATACACATTTAGTGTTTTGGGAATATCTTCGAAAAACTCCGTACATGTTTAAAGTGTTTGGATTATCACTTGTCATTAACCGGCCAACATTGACTGAAAAGTCTCTGTTGAGCGACTAACGTAAGACGCGGGCATTAGGGTAGAATATCTTTGGCGTTTCGGAAATGTATACGCAATGTTTGTGACTTTGCAAAGTTCCAACAAGAACTCTTTTCAAACTATTTACATTGTTTTGTAGGAAGGCAATTCTTTTGCACGTCAAACCATTAAACTATATCATGGATGCCTTTATATCGAGAGGCGGTGTGGTAGCCTAGTGGTTAAAGCGTTCGCTCGTCACGCCGAAGACCTGGGTTTGATTCCCCTCATGGGTACAATGTGTGAAGCCCATTTCGGAAAATATAGAAAGTATTTTAAAGAAAATACTGGGGTGTTTTTAATAAGTGTGCATAAGTAAGAGTAGTTTTTTTAATGATACCAAGGCATAAATATCCCACAACAAAATCGAGAATGTATATAATATTCAGGACAGGCGGTAGATGGGTAACACACGAATCATAACAAATACCTGATATATGTGAATGAGTTGAGGTTGGAGATGAATTACACATGAAAAACATATGAGCTGATCCCTGGTAATCTGTGGTGCCAACCACAGGCTCGTGTCATTGCGAGGATTAAATACTCTTTTGCTTGAAATGACCCCCAACTCGACATGCTTCACAGTACAATGACGTCATGATGACATCATTTTTAAAAAGATATGTATTGTACTGTGAAGCATTTCGAGTCGGGGGTCATCTCAAATTCTTTATATCTTTTTTTAAATTCTTTAATCTTCGAAGACACGAGGGCCTGTGCTCATGATATCAATCATCAGTTAATCGTTTATTTACAGGCCGCCGTCACACAGCTGGAAAAATGCAGCCATAAACAACAAACATGAGCTTTGTTTCTAACAGACTCTGATTTGAGCATAGATTCCCAGTGATTGTTGCTTTTATTATATACTGACCAAAAATGAAACCAATGATATGCATTGTGAAGCTGTGTATTCGCAGTGCACACAACAGGGCTGGCTAAAGAGATCGATAACGGGGAAATATCGTCGGTAGAAAAAATCTTGACTATTATCGATATGAAAATAGTGTCATCGATAATATCGAGAATAAAGTTGTAATTTACTCAAGCAATACAAAAGTGAGGTTTTTATTCATGGGCTGTTTCTAAATTATGTTCAGGCAGGTGTTTTGTTAGTTATTCATGCAGAAACGTTTCACCACGCACTGTTGGTTTGGACCGCCTCCGTGGTGTAGTGGTTAGAGCGTCCGCCCGGAGAGTGGAAGGTCGCGGGTTCGATCCCCGACCGCATCATACCAAAAGACGTTAAAATATGGTACTTGTTGGTCCCCTGCCTGGCGCTCGGTATTAATGGGTACAACAAGGACTGGTCGGCTCGGAGTCAGTATAATGTGTCTGAGTGGGGTATTCTTGCTTCACTGCGGCATGGTATCTCAGTGAGCTAGCACTATAAAACCAGCTTCAGTCTGGGCTAGTACAAGCAGCCGCACATACACATACACTCGCATGCACGTCGTCATATGAGCGAAATATTCTCAAGCACGACGTAAAACCCAATTTCACCTCACCTCACCTCACTGGTAGTTTGAAATATATTAAATTCTTTAGGACATTTTGACAATATGACGCAACGTTACTTCACCGATATTTATCGATAATCGATCTAAATCATCTACATCGATAACCAACCCTAATTAATGATGCACTTTTATGCAACAAAATTGTGTCACTTTCCTGAAGAATTGTTTCCTCTCAATAACTGAGACTATCATCCATTTGCAGGAAGAACCAATGTCCATATTCGAATGGTTGGCACATTCTCGGGTCTGATCCCGGCTGCTGCGGAAACTATGGCGGCTGTTGCCAGCTCGCGTCGATCGTCTGCTGGGTCCACGACCTCTTCTGTAGGTGCTGCGACTTCGGAGTCTTCATCTGTGGTCCACTGTGTGAAAAAGACCCGGATTGTCCCGTGGAAGAAGGCAGTGGAGAAATCGACATAAAGGAGAATATGACTGGAATGTGAAGAACAGACGCATACAGTAAAACGTAGTACGCTAAATGTCAGCGAAGTCCTGTACAGCCGTTCGAACTAGCTTGCCTCGCAGTCCCTGAACCACATTATTTTCCCCTACTGCCTAGCCCTCCCTGCAATGCTAAAGCCCTAAATGCAGCAAGTCTAGATTTCCTCAGGTTCTGAATTTCCCATCTCACTGTGGCTCCTTTTAAATTTAAATGTGTTCATTTGTTACTATTATATATTCAGAGACTAAGTGTTACTTTTCCGTACGAGCCTGAACCCAATGACGTAAATACACGCGGTTAGCAGATTGTTTCCTTTCCGTATCTGGGCGGTGGGGTAGCCTAGTGGTTAAAACGTTGGCTCGTCACGCCGAAGACCCGGGTTCGATTCTCAACATGGGTACAATGTGTGAAGCCCATTTCTGGTGTCCCCCCGCCGTGATCTTGCTGGAATATTGCTAAAAGCAGTGTAAAACTAAACACTCATTTTCAGTTTCTTTTAATGGGGACGATTAGAATAAGTGTGTGACATGTTAGTACTCACAGCGTTTGACATACATGAATAGTTAAAACAGCAACCCCTTTAATCCGGAACCTCTCTATTACGGCTGTTCATATGACCATCCATGACATTTTCAGATAGATTACGTAACAGCAGTTAAGGAACACCCGATTATATTCATAAGCCCATAGTTTGACTGTCGGTGCTGCTATTGCAACACAGAGCCTTCCAGTTGTGGGTGTTCCTTTAACTTGTTTTAATTAGGATATGTTGATCTGAGCGACACTTCTGTGAAGGGCATCAGATCAAGGTCTCGAATGACTGAGTTTCGAAACATCTTTGATAACGATGTATTTACCAACGATATATGAATAATTGTTGGTGGTGTATTTGAAAACTATTTAACTAAAATGAATAAATTATTACGAACCAGCATCAGTTTGTCGTCTAGAGTGGTGTTCCATATATTGTATTCACATAAGGTGCGTTTACTGGGAACGTCAGTGTTACATTGATGCAACCGAACACAAGCAGTGCGAAATAGCCACTGGCCCGCTAGCCCGTGGCTAGTAAAAATCCAGTCGGGCCAGTAAATCGCCATAGTCACTGGCCCGACTGGCTAGTGAATTTTCATGGGGTCATGTTGTAGATATGTCACTCTCTCCGACTTGTTAAGTTATAACATACTATTAAATCATGCAAGATTGTTCTTCATATTAGCAGCTTAAAGATGAAACCCGTGTCTACATTCAAATTGCGGGCTTGTGAATTATTTTGTGGGCTAGTAACTTTCAGGCAAAGCTAGAGCGACTGGCTAGCAAAATTTAGAAACTATTTCGCACACTGAACACAAGTCTTTGCCTAGAAACTGATCTTGTCAAAGAAGAGGTCTACTGTATGTCATCCTTCAAAGAGGTACCCAGATCAAAGGCAATATATAAAGGGGGGGGAGGGGGTGGTAGGCGTTTGCATGAGGGGTAGTATCATTCGGGATCTATTTTGGATTTCTAAATGAGGGAATGGGGTCAATCCCAGTCATCTTAATCCCCACACGCCGCGACAGCCGATAACCGTATCATCATCAAATGGGATCCGCCATTCTGCTAATAGAATGGTGTACCATGTATATGGATACACATTGCGAACCAGGGCCCCATTCCTCAAAGCGATCGTAGCGCTACAACAGTCGTAAGTCTATGTTAAAGTATTGGAGTTACGATCACCTTAGCGCTACGATCGCTTTGAGGAACGGGGCCCTGCTCGTAGCATGTCATCTTCTTCATGTCGAACGTCTTCAAATGTGCGATCATCTGAATTTGGACAGCTTCAGGTTTACTTTGTGAAGCACGCATGTCCCTGTTATCATGAAACTATCTTTACGTGTTTTTGCTGACTGTACGGATTACAGGATCAGTCTGTGGCTGATGTTTGAACTTCGGCAACATCGTCTGGTAACGGTGTCCCACCAAAAGACTCACCCTGCCAACTGACTACTAACAAAATCCAAAGAGTGATGCGACGCTATTCAACCCTATTCCAGAGCAGTCTCTGACATTTCAACTCGACCACTGTACCTTCCTGCCACAATGTTATACTATCGTTAGTAAAAGCAATGCGTTGTTGTCCATCAGTGGTCAGGAATTCGGCAACCATGGACAGAAATCCTAGCCAGTACAGTATCCATAGAATCTCCTCAACCCACAATAGGGACTTCTCGATCACTGTTCCATTTCTCCAGGAAGGTAGATTTGATTCGTAATCAATAAGACAGGTCAGCTCTTTAACCACCTATAATCTCTTGCCCTGAATGGATGCTCATCAACAACGTCTGGTGCCGCTGTCCAGTCCAGTAACAAATCCATAATTGGTGTGTGTGGAACTTTAGTATTGACTCCTGTTAATTTGTGTCGTGGGTTATTACTAGACTTGCAGACAAGCTCGGATGTACAATCGAAACCAATTAGACCGTCTGCGTAACAAAGGCTTGCATTCTCAGCCAGTTGACCTTGACATCCTGAGCACGTACGGCATGTAGGACTGTCTGGATGAGTTGGACTGACCAAGGCAACGAGACCTTGAGTAACGTTTGTGTTTGAACAACATCGGTCTGATGAGACGAACCATACAGTTAGATGAAGCTCAAGTCAATTGGCAGTCTAGAGTTCATTCAAGTCTTCGACAGACACTTTACTTGTCTGCTAAATCAAATTTAATGATGTATACCAATCTGGTAGTTAATAATTGTCAGACAATGTTAATGTCCCCACTTCTCAAGTTGTATCAACTGTGTTGTCTAGACACAGTAGGGAAATGAGCAGCAGACCTCTGTGAATAGTCTCTGATTAATACAACCGCGTGGCCTACTGCTAAAACGGAAGAACTAGTGTTTACTCAGTTCTGTAACATACACATGAGCATTAATATAGCACCACCCGAAACCAGGGGCAATTTATACAATTTTGGTGTAAACAACCGATCGTACCCTAGCGTACTGGAATGTTTATGTAACATATCAAAAGCTATGGGTGGCATGTTCACGCGCTGCAAAGGCACCAAGCACACTAGCACCAAAATGAACTTATATCAAAAGCTATGGGTGGCATGTTCACGCGCTGCAAAGGCACCAAGCACACTAGCACCAAAATGAACTTTTCGTGACACTAGACGCAGACTTTTGGAAAATACACGTTTGCAAGTCAGTGGAAACATGTCCTGTGGCAACACTGGTGCTAACTTGAACATAAACAACAATAACCACATGAACCATTAGGGATGGGACGATTCATCGATACATCGTGATACATTCAAGTTTGATACAGCCGATATCGTCGACTGGTGTATCGATACGATACACCTTTTCTTCAAAACAGTTTTATCTCAAACATGTTAAAGTACTTATTTTGAGAAAAATACTCACATATGATAGAGTTACTCATTTTAAATCATTAATACTGTGCCATTCTTTCAAGGTGTATGTATCGTGATATGTATCGTATCGCAGATAAAATATCGTATCGTGACATAGTGTATCACCCAAGCCCTATTAACCATTAGTCGACTTGAGAAAACACACATGACCACCGAGTAAGTGAACTATCGTCCACAAACTGGAAGACCGCAAAAGACCACTGACCATGATGACCAAGCCCTAATTCTTCTGGCAAGACGAACTCCCATGCCCTATGCCTCATGCCAATAACTGCGCTGGCAGTGTAGAGAGGGAGCCCAAAAAGATAATATCATTAGGTGTTTGTGGAATCCGTTCCAAAGTGAAAGTTTACTTAATCCACTTGTAAGAAACCAGAAAGCACCATCAGGCTGTGGTGCAATGGGAACTTAAAAGAAGATCCGGAGACTGCGGAACTGGATCCCATACCCATTGGGTCACAGCAGTTAACTAACTTTAGTGCCAAGACTACAAATGAAGATTATATCAATAATAGCTGTAAAATTGGATAATTATTTGGAAATGACTATTCAGCAGTAAAGAGTTACAGGTGGCCTGTCACTGGGAGAATGGCTGGTGGGTGAGGCTGTGGACTTGAAGCTTCTCCTATACAGGTACAAATAGTTTAATTATCAAATACATCATCATAGTATTTGAACATAATTCCAGTTATATGATAGTGTATCAACACATGGGAGGACAGCCTGATACAGGCGTGATACAGGTCTCAGACATTTACCCCTTTTGTAAAAAGACTATTATGCTTCTGGCGTTGCCATGGAATGCAACAGTACCAATGTTTTCTTCAAAAATAAATGTATGAAATCACAACCCTTTGAAGTAGGTTCACTGGGCGACCTTTGATTTAAAATTTCGAAATCAGGTTGTGGCACTATGGATCTACAGAAACTGAAATTCATATCCTGAACTTTGCTGCTGTATGAGGTATCAAGGCTCCAGCTACCCTGAAGGGGACTAACATTTCCACTTTGAATACTTTGAATACTGTTGAATATTATGCCAGTATTGTCAAGGTATGACAGTTACATGTGGAACACTGGCCACAGTTGCAACCTCAATCAACCCTACACATATGGGTAATGCTCTGTCGGATCTTGGATCATATTTGGGATCCCACACAGCATCCTGACTTGACTAAGGGACTAAACTCTGCAGCACAAGTTACAGTGCCTTCAATCAATAGAGACCACAGGGTCACAATACCACATCAGAAAACAGACTTGTTGAAGCTCACATGTGCAACAATTCAAAAGATTTCAACATGAAGCTTCAGCTCTTTATTCAATGCAATGTACAGTATTCTCCACTTGGAGGCATTCCTCCTTCATAGATGTGAATTAAATACTTCCACAAAATTTACATAAGTACACTCCATATTGCACATATGATATTTACATCACACAAACATAACAATAACTTAACAATTCGTCTTGAAATGTTTACAACTGCATACAAGATACTAAGGCTTAACAAATATTCATGTAAAATATTTTGTAGATGTTTCAGTCTTTGTGCAATATTTGTTAATTTCTCAATAAAGCACATACACATAAGCACAACTGCTAACCCTCAGCTTAATTTTTTTAAACATTAGACTGAACATCGATGTCACTAAATCACATGGCATATTTCTTAAACATGTGAAAACCATTTTAGTCTAAGCAATCTCCACACGTTTAGATTCCTAAAACTAACGCATCAGAAACAATGAAGAACTCACATTCAAAGTCTATCACTTAAATGCAAGCCATGAGCATGATCCTGGAGACAGAATGACAAAGATGTGCCTCACAAAAACTGAACTGGAGGGGTCTGCTTCCCAGGGACACGGCTTCACACGGCTGTAGTCAGTATGTTACACTGTGGCTGTTACACCAGTTGTGAAAGTGTGGAGTGTAACAATTGTTCTTTTTTCAGGCTGCCCTGGGGCTCCTTTCACGAAACAACCTTTACTAAGGTTAACCTGAACTCCCATCTTTAACATTGCACTAAGGCTACCTTAGTGACTTACGATCACCTTAGTGCTTTGTGAATGGAGGCCCATGTCAACAAATACAACATATTCAGGAGAAGCTGTAGCACTGTGGAAGTCCATAATGTTTACAATAAAGATAACCATTCCTTGCTCTGCCACCTTTCCACACTTGACTGTGCTCAGTGACACCTGGGAAGAATCATGCAATATTTCTCACATAGAGATCTCTCACCTTAACACCTTTTAAAAATTACTAAAGTTATATGCTTTTAGATATCCTTTAAATATTGACTTCTGTGTAGATGATATTTCTCCAATCATCACTGGACGTCACTGGACGTCACCAGACATCACCAAGCATTACTAGACATGACCTGTCATCACCAAACATTGCAAGTTATTACCTGACATCAACAGACATCACCAAGCATCACCAGACATCACCAAGCATCACCAGACATCACCAAGCATTACTAGACATGACCTGTCATCACCAAACATTGCAAGTTATTACCTGACATCAACAGACATCACCAAGCATCACCAGACATCACCAAGCATCACCAGACATCTCCAAGCATTACTAGACATGACCTGTCATCACCAAACATTGCAAGTTATTACCTGACATCAACAGACATCACCAAGCATCACCAGACATCACCAAGCATCACCAGACATCACCAAGCATTACTAGACATGACCTGTCATCACCAAACAGTGCAAGTTATTACCTGACATCAACAATCATCACCAAACATTACTAAAGTCACAAATCATTATCAGACCACACCTTGCATCATTCACCATCACCAGACATTGCAAGTCATTGCCAGACATCATCACCAGGCTTCACTTAGCATCGCCAGGCTTCACTTAGCATTGCCAGGCTTCACTGAGCATCGCCAGGCTTCACTTAGCATCGCCAGGCTTCACTTAGCATCGCAAGGCTTCACTTAACATCACTTAGCATCGACAGGCTTCGCTTAGCATCGCCAGGCTTCACTTAGCATCGCCAGGCTTCACTTAGCATCGCCAGGCTTCACTTAGCATCGCCAGGCTTCACTTAACATCACTTAGCATCGACAGGCTTCGCTTAGCATCGCCAGGCTTCACTTAGCATCGCCAGGCTTCACTTAAGATCACTTAGCATCGACAGGCACGCCAGGCAGCAGCATCAGCCAGGCTTCACTTAGCATCACCAGGCTTCACTTAGCACGCCAGGCTTCGCTTAGCATCGCCAGGCTTCAAACTTAGCATCGCCAGGCTTCACTTAACATCACTTAGCATCGACAGGCTTCGCTTAGCATCGCCAGGCTTCACTTAGCATCACCAGGCTTCACTTAGCATCACCATGCTTCACTTAGCATCACCAGGCTTCACTTAGCATCACCAGGCTTCACTTAGCATCGCCAGGCTAGCTTCACTTAGCATCACCAGGTTTCACTTAGCATCACCAGGCTTCACTTAGCATCACCAGGCTTCACTTAGCATCGCCAGGCTTCACTTAGAATCAACAGGCTAGCTTCACTTAGCATCACCAGGCTTCACTTAGCATCACCAGGCTAGCTTCACTTAGCATCACCACGCTTCACTTAGCATCGCCAGGCTTCACTTAGCATCGCCAGGCTTCACTTAGCATCGCCAGGCTTCACTTAGCATCACCAGGCTTCACTTAGCACCACCAGGCTTCACAAGTCATAACTATGCATCCTCAATCATCACCAGCCACTACCAGGCACCTGGCATCACATTAACTGTTACTTTTCACTCCAAAACAGGTGAACTACATGTACAAAACTTGTTACAACCATTGTTTTTCTGTAACATGGTTTCTGACAATCACTCTCTGTGGCAATATTAATGACAAACATGGAGAAAACAGTTTCAGCACAGACATGTTTAATGCTGGTTTAGACATAAGGTATTTTGACTTGTTGTGTTGACCACATGTCTATGGCCTAGGGTATTCTGGAGGAGAGACTCCCTTGAGGAGTCCGTTGGTGGGTAGGGGAGTCTGTGATTAATGTCACCTGAAATAACAAATGGGAAACATATATATATCGTTGTTATATATCAACCCTTGGGCTGTTGATTCAAGCAAAGCAACATAAATACAGGTGATTCCCAATGGAAGAGTTGGCACAGGTGACAGTCATAAAAAGAGAAACAATAAAATGTAATTGCTGTTACATTTGATACAAACACGTGCTGAGACTACTTCAGACTTCACAATTACCTTGTTAAACACTCCTCGACCAAAATAATCTGCAACAACAGAGAAGCCATCTTGTGCCCTCTCCAACTGAAAAACAAAGCAAACTTTCCATGTAATTGTGTAAATGTTTACACCTGAGGCAAACAGCATATCTACAGCACATCTACAGGCATAAAGTCACAAGTCATTATTGATTACTTCAACACTTCACTGCCTCCTTGGTCTTGTTGATACCAATCTGAAGGTAGGTGGTTCGTTCCCCAGCCAAGTCACACTAAAAGATGTTAACAGACATTCTACCATGACATTTAAGTATGTTCGTTTTTGATTGGCTGTTACTAAAAACTTAGAAGTGAAAATTTTTCAATAACCACTTCTGAGAGCCGGTTCACTGCGCGTAGGAATATTTTGCACTCATTAACCGTTACAAAGGTAAACAAACATGTCGTCTGAAACTGTTATGTTTGACCTCGGCGATTTCTTTGATGTGTTTGGATCGGATATGGAGGAAAATATTGACCCAGCCTGGTTCCAACATGAAATGACTGAACAATCACCCAAAGTAACTCTAAGTACCGAAGGTATGAGTATGTAAATGTTGTAATGTCCAGTTTCTAAGTGTCGTAGTCTAGGCCTGTCAAAACACTACGCAAGGGTAATGAGTGCATATTTAAAACAGTGTTTTATTCATGGTGCATATGTCATGGTAGAATGGAGATAATCCTATTGTGTTCACATTTTGGAAGTGATTATAGTTGGTTGAACGCTGCTAAATGTTTCATTTAAAACCTCACGCTAACGCTTATCTCCTAAGTACATGTTGTTGCCCTGCCTGGTGTCTGACATTAAGGGGATGAAACAACGACTGGTCAGCGTAGAGTCTGTATATTTTGTCTGAGTGGAGTATCCATATTAAACTGCCACATGGAACTTCAGTAAGCTTCCACCATACAATGTTTTACAGATGTGCAATAATCTTAAACAATATGTTAATACTACAATTCACCTCACCTCGCAAACAATAGACGTAACGTTTACCTGATTGTGAAAATGTTCATGAATGTCCTTTGTTTGTTCCTGAGCTTGTATGATATCCATAATTTTCCTGAAAAAGTGAGAAACACGGGTAACCAAATGTTTCAAAGCAAATATCAACAACAGCTTCCTGCCATACACTCAGAAGAAAGGTGAACATGACCCAAACCACCACACACTTGTATCTTGTTCTGTCAAGCAAGTCCTATATTCCTGAGAATGTACAAGTCTAATATCTGATTGGCTGATCAGGAAAATCATCTGATGTTGTCATTGTGAGTGAGTGAGTGAGTATGGTTTTACACCGCTTTTAGCAATATTCCAGCAACATCACGGCGGTGGACACCATAAATGGGCTTCACACATTGTACCCATGTGGGGAATCGAACCCGGGTCTTCAGCGTGACGAGCGAACGCTTTAACCACTAGGCTACCCCACCGCCATTGTCATTGTCATCTCACCTTCCTAAAGTATTGTATCAAAGTGAAAGATCTGTCTTTAATCACGATCATGAAATTTAAACATTCCCAAGTAATTTAACCTGCACTGATACAATGACAGCTATGTTACAACATATTTCCATTTTAATGCACCATTTTCTGGAACAGTGCAACAAACATTAACTACCGAATGAAAGAACACACTAAACTTCCACAGTACTATACTTGACAGTATTATAATTAAGTGAGAGTGAGTATAATACATTGTTCCTGCCAGGCGACCCACCTGTTTTCTGCAGCACATACTGGGCACTCTGTGTCAGTCTCAGCATTAGCTCTCAAAACAGCTGCAGATAGAAACACATGCAGATCACAACACTACCAATGTTTTGTGATGAGTGGAAGTTCTGAGGTGGTGTAGGTAAATATGTTCAAGATGCAGTCAGCAGTTATCGCCAATATACCAGCGAGTGAGTGAGTATGGTTTTACGCCGCTTTTAGCAATAATCCAGCAATATCATGAAGGGGGACACCAGAAATGTGGGGAATCAAACCTAGGTCTTCGACATGACAAGCGGACGCTTTAACCACTAGGCTATCCCACTGCCCCACCCCCCATGACACTGAAGTGGTTGTTGCAGAGTACTACAAAATTATACCTCAGGTAAAGCAATACTAAATAAAACCACTCACTTTACAAGATATTCAATCACATATTGTATTGTGAAAACATGAAGTTGTGCAGAATCCCACTTAAACAAGACTATTTGATATTATAACAGGCTAGAGACTTTGCGTGTAGGAATGTGGGCTACTCACTGTTGGTGATAGGAATGTGGTTCACACAGGAAGTGTACTGATGGCAGCTCCAGGGGATGGTTACAGATGTTACACTTGGAGGCCTGGAATATCTTGGCTCTGAAAACGGAAATTTTGCGTTCTGATGAATTATAAAAAAATGAGATCAAACAAACAGAGACCTTATAGATCTTTAACAGTGTGCATTTTATCTTGGTCCAAAGTAGGAAAAACATGGCTTTGCCTTGCCATTTCAGATTCATCCAAACATGTCTGACAGACAAAAAATTCATGTGTTTCATAATTCTCTTAATTCTGTCAAAAAAGAACCAAGAAAACTGGAAACACACATCTATGCTGCAATCCTTGCAACTTCACAAAAATATCTTGAATCATCTTATAAATGGGTTGCTTTCTGTTGCATGCATAATAAAATTAAACAAATGTTGAATGTCAAGTTGTATAAATATGTTAACTGGCATGATAGGTAAATGACTGACTGATTGAGTTTGGTTTTACGCCGCTTTTAGCAATATTCCAGCAACATCACAGCAGGGGACACCAGAAATGGGCTTCACACATTGTACCCATGTGGGGATTCGAACCCGGGTCTTCGGGGTAACGAGCCAACGCTTTAACCACTAGGCTACCCCACCTCCCCTGATAGGTAAATGAAAACTCTAAGGTGTAAGTGAGTATTCAAAATTAACAAAAGACGGTCTGTTTCAAAACTGAACATTTCCATGCACGACAAATACTAACGATGTTTTGAGTTCTTCTATCTGTTGCCTCTTCCTCTCCGTGTCCTCTCTGTACTGTTTAATCAGTCTCTCATCCTCCGCGATCTGGTCGTTTTCCAACTGAAGTCGTCTGATGATGTAATCCTGCAGGGTATCATACAATCAGGTCTCTACACCCACCAACAGACGTCATCAACAGACGTCATCAACAGTAACAGCAAAACCACAAACTGATTAAGCACTTTTGGAAAAAGAAGGCAGGGATCCAGGATTCCTTGGCAGACAGTTTGCAAACAATCTTAATTTTGCTCAGTTTGGTCAGTGAAACACTTAAGACCTCTTCAAAGCCAGAACACGGGTACACATATATATTGGCAAATGCTGATACCTATTTGGGAAGGTTTACTGACATCTGAGGAAGTCCTGGGGTGGATATCTGGATCTGAGCAGGTATATAAATACTTGGACGGGGTGCAGTTTCTGCACAGCAATTTGTGTCATTTAGTTTTGTCAAATCCTTATCGCTAAATGAGTTAATCCTTATCGCTAAATGAGTTAATAATAATGTTGTAATGAGTTTACACTCAGAATATGCAACCATAGATTACTGCCCTGAATGTATTTTCACAAAGTTTAAGAACACTACAAATAGGTCATACTGCATCCATCTGGATCAGCATATGAAGAGTATTTATCCTGGATGAAACACAACAAAGACCATCTCTGAAGAAACTCAAACAGATCTCCAGCATCAGCAACAATCACTTCTCACAGTAAGATCCTTACCTTGACGACAGACAGGGTGGCGGTGGAGTTGTGAGCCAGAGTTTGTATCACCAGCAGAGGGGGAAGCAGATTCTTCTTGTCGATATCTCACGCATTAAGGAAATTCATGTTAACAAGAACTCAAGAGGCCACTTTCATGAAGACAGATTTAGTTTCACACTGCTTTGAACAGCCCAATACAGGAAAGCTCCAATATTTTGACATACCAAAGATGATAAAACATGTAATTTTTAGAGTAAAATTGATATTTTATACTTATCCTGACTCATGCTCTTTTGCTTGTCTTCTTCTTCTTGCGAACATAGTGGAACACTTGTATCTCCCTAATTGAAGTTCCCTTCAATAAAGAAATTACTAATTAGTACACCACGATTTACCTCCCTTCCACAAGCGCGTGAACGAGGGCGCCACCTCCACCCATGTGCCTCACTCTCTCCTCATATACTGAGCCCAACATTTGAATTTTCAGGGAAATCCAAAGTGTTATGTGGGGAGGATGGGAGGGCTTACCTCATGAGTCAGGATAAGTATAAAATATCAATTTTACTCTAAAAATTACATATTTTTCCTTATCCTGACTCATGCTCTTTTGCTTGTAGTATCCTACGGAAAAGGAGGTGGGAATATATAATACTTTGGATTTTAATAATTAGTGATTTGAACTGTGATGATTGTAATAACCCTATGGGAACTTCATCAAGGCACTGAACTGATGAATTCCTGCTGCTAACTTATCAGCTGCCATATAAAGGTTATTACAATTTACTTATTATGAAAAAGTATATATAACATTAATACAATGCTTAAGACTAATAGACTTAAGCTTGTTAATATGATAGTATAAACTCCTTAGAGTTTGTTAGCTAAAATACTTTATGACATAAACATAGTACTGAGCTTAAGATATGATTAAACTTAAGCTATAGTTTGGCATGAAATGCATGTGGACCCGTTTTTTTGTAAATACCTCTTCATCCAATGACCCAATCGATCTCAAACTGTGCAAGTGGATGTTTTGTCAGACAACCTAATCACATTGTAAATCACCGATTTTATGCATTTGTATTAAAGAATCTGTCTATGTAACTGTCATCAAAATAAACAGCAGAACGCAGAAGGCTTGCAGAGGGAGGGAGCCATTGACCTGTAACAGCGGTAGTGTTGGGTCATAAAGGTCAACGATCGTCAATGTAGGTCAGCTATGCTGATGACCCTGATGTCAAAAGAATCTAACTTTGGATGCCTACCTTTTTGTACAAGGTTTTGTTTATTGGTTGTTGGTTTATTTTTCACAATTGTTAGCACGATGTTCTTTTTCATGCCAAGAGCAAAAGTTTCATGATGACAGCTAGAAGTAGTCAATGTGAATGATCCAAACGGTCTATCACTGTGCAGTGCACAGGTAACTATCATGAACTGCACGTGCATTTACCTTTATGACCCAACACTACCGCTGTTACAGGTCATTGGCTCCTTTCCCTCTGCAAGCCTTCTGCGTTCTGCTGTTGATTTTGTTGACAGTTACATAGACAGATTCTTTAATACAAACGCATAAAATCGGTGATTTACAATGTGATTAGGTTGTCTGACAAAACATCCACTTGCACAGTTTGAGATCGATTGGGTCATTGGATGAAGAGATATTTACAAAAAAACGGGTCCACATGCATTTCATGCCAAACTATAAATATATAATAGCAAAAAACTCCTTAGAGTTTATTAGCTAATATACTTTTATGATATAAACATAGTACTGAGCTTAAGATATGATTAAACTTAAGCTATATATATAATAGCAAAACTCAGTAGAGTTTGTTAGCTAATACATTTTATAATGTGAAACCATAATGCTTAAGATATGATGAAACTTAAGCTAAATATATAATAAAAAAAACCTTTAGAGTTTGTTAGCTAATATACTTATATGATATAAACATAGTACTGAGCTTAAGATATGAAAGAAAACTTAAGCTACATATATAATAGCAAAAACTCCGTAGAGTTTGTTAGCTAATACATGTTATAATGTAACCATAATGCTTAAGATATGATGAAACTTAAGCCAAATATATAATAGCAAAAAACTCTTTAGAGTTTGTTAGCTAATATACTTATATGATATAAACATAGTACTGAGCTTAAGATATGAAAGAAAACTTAAGCTACATATATAATAGCAAAACTCCGTGAGAGTTTGTTAGCTAATACATGTTATAATGTAACCATAATGCTTAAGATATGATGAAACTTAAGCCAAATATATAATAGCAAAAACTCTTTAGAGTTTGTTAGCTAATATACTTATATGATATAAACATAGTACTGAGCTTAAGATATGAATAAGCTTAAGCTACATATATAATAGCAAAAACTCAAGTTTGTTAGCTAATATATTTTTACGATATGAGTATAGTACTGTGCTTAAGATATAATTAACTTAAGCTACATATATAATAGCCAAAAACTCTGTAGAGTTTGTTAGCTAATACATTTATAATGTAAAACCATAGTACTGAGCTTTTAAGATATGATTAACTTAAGGTAAATATATAATAACAAACTCCCGTAGAGTTGTTAACTATATATTGTATGATATAATAACCATAGTACTGAGCTTAAGATAATAAAGAACTTAAGCAAAATATATATAGCATGTAGCTATTTAGTACTGTTATAAGATAAGTAGAAATCTGTAAGATTGACTTATCTTCTCCGAGGAACTGTCAACTGTTGTGCGAGGACCATGGGACCGTAATTGGTGGATACCTGAGACGTCCTCGGTGGTGATATCTCTCAGATAGTGGTTGGCAAACACCATATCGGATCTCCAGAAATAACCTCCATTATTTCAATAGCACTTGTGTAGAGCAATTGTAGATGTTTAGCGCTCTAATATCATGAGGATTAGAAGCTCATGGAGGGTCGAAGTCCTGCAGTCTTGTAGGCACGTAGTATGACAGTTCTGATCCAAAAGGAGATAGTAGTATGCGTGAGACTTCAGTCTGCGTGAGCTTGGATGATAGAGGAAATAAACTCTTGCATTTTTCCCTCCTGTTTGGCTCGGTGGAGATATATTTACAGTGCTCTTACTGGCCATCGTGATAGATTCATCGTATCATGGGGTCCAAGTATATCATCAAAGCGTGTTCATAAACCTCACTTGTGTTGGAGCACTATATTCAGATCCTAAGTTGGAGCGTGAAACTTCCGTTTTAATCCTCCAATCAGAAAGCTCGTAGCAAGGCGAGTAACTGGGTTTAGGTTAACTTGACGCCCGTTCTCAGTTATGATAGAGCTATTGCTTCAAGATAGGTGGACAAGTTGAGCCTTATAAAATCTTAGTCTGACGTATATAACATAAGTAGTCAGCCACTTGAGGATGAGTAGCATATCTAGCTGTAAATCCTTTCTTTGCAGCATAATTGACAAACTGTGCCAATTGTCATCGTATAAGTTGCAAGTTGAGTTACGCAGGGCAAGCTAGACTGCTTTGCCGCTCTGGTTGAATAACGTGTTATTTAGACACGCCTTGATACAATCTATACGTGAAGTTGGAATATTTCTGGCTTTCCGCTGATATATTGTTGTCACTTGCAACCTAAGTCTTGAACTGTGAACTATGATCGACCTCTGCGTAGGTCGTTGTCCATCGCGGTCCAATCAGAACAAGGCATTTTGATTCTGTAGAATACCCGCGCTGTGATGTCACCGGTGTAGCATGAAAAGGAACATTGTATAATATCGTGCCGTCGTTGATATTAGAACAATCGTCGGTCTTCACCGTAGCTACCCGAAGTTACCCGAGTGACCACGTGTTTCGAGGGTTAATGGTAAACGCTTGAAACCTCCGGTAGCGAAATACCTCTTCTGTAATATTAATGCTGGGTAGGTTATTTTCCTGGCTGTCGTGAAAGTAACTTCAGTCTTGAATATAATTCCGACTTCCTTATATAAAGGTACAATAAACTTGCAAGTTGTCAGCTTGTAGACTGTATACATGAATGTATCGTCCATAATTGTAGAATTAAAGCTGAACTTGTTGTACATATTTCTTCTCAGAAAAGGTTGACGATTATGAGTTATACTCGCTGTAACAAGGCTGCTGTTCAATTTCGATATTGAACTGTCTGCAGATCTGCGTAATGGTCACGCATGTAGATAATCGTATCGTAGTCCGGGATTGCATATCTAGCAATCTATACGGAAAAGTTGATTTCTGTGAAAATCTATGAAACGTTGTTGACTAATTAATACAGCGACGTTCTGTGTTGTAAATAGCCAGTGCAATTGTCTTCGCCGTAGGCTTGTAGGACGCATATGGCATACAGTTGATAGACAACTCATGCTATGTCTTGAACGGACTGGACGAGTGGCTATATATGACGAGTGGCTAGTATATGGAGACCTTGGAGGAGACTTCCTTGGCGAACGCCGGAGACTTCGCGAAGCTCTCGAAGTATCCCTTCTAGATCTTCTGGGTGAAGTAGACTTGAGCCACTTAGCCTTCGCACGACCTTCGCCGAAGGTATCGAGTCAGAGTCCGATCAATATATATGCGCTTGTTTTCGCAAACGACCTCTGTGTTCTACAGGGTGTGGGCTCGGCTAAGGCTTACTCCTCCTCGCTGACGTCCCTTGCAACTGGTGAGGGCTCTAGCTCTTCGCCGAGGCGCCTGGGACTTCCTTGGCGCTCTAGTGTCTAGAGTCCGATCAATATATGAGCGCTTGCTTCGCGAACGACCTCTGTGTTCTACAAGGTGTGGGCTCGGCGAAGCGCTCCTCCTCCGCGATGTCCCTCGCAACTGGAGAGGCTCTGGCTCCTTCGCGGAGGCGGCCTGGGACTTCCTTAGCGAAGTGTTCGCTATAGGCTGGGTTGCCCTTTGCGGAGGCTTTTCCCTGGATGACCTTCTGGACGAAGATGACTCGGAGCCTGTTACTGGTGCCCTTTGCCCTTCGCGAAGACCTTCGCGAAGCTTCATCTGAGTCCGGGCCAAGGAAGTGACGACTTGACCTTCGCGAAGGCCTTCGCGAAGGCTGGGCATCTGGGTCCTTCGTGGAGGTGGGCTGTGACGACCTTCGCGAAGGTGGCTTCCTCGACGATGGCTTCGTAGTAGTCGCTTCGCTGACGGGGGGTCCCTCTGATGTGACGCGCCTACGTTGGAGCCTTCAGCGAAGGCTCGAGGCTGGTTGCCTCTCCAGACAAGCGTCTACATCATCTCTTCATAATCTGCCGCATCAGGTCGGTGTGGGACGATCTGCAATGAAGTGCGTTGCTGCCCTATCTGCGCTTGGTAGCGTGACGGACCCTCAGGAAGATCATCGGACATCAGCGTTGGTACATCAGACTGCATGTTGATCTGGCGCTGACATCACTGTTGCCGACATCGGTCATTCTTTTGATGTACATCAGGTATGATGATCGGCTGATCATCATACAGGCCCAAACTGCGGCAGGGAACAATCTCGCTGAGAAAGTCCTAGTAGACTTAATTGATTTCCCCTCAGAGGTCGGCGCTGCCCTGGGGGTGCGGAATGTGCGTTGAGATGAAGTAGAAGCCCTCTAGTCTTCGGCTGCGACGACGGGATGTCTGGGGAAGCAGGAGGCTTCTTGGAGACGGCGGACTACGTCCCACGCCTCTCCACCACTCTAGCGAAACACCACACGGGAAGGGGGTCGACCAACAGCAGTAGACTGGCGAGGGTTACAGGTGTATCAGTCATGGCTAGACTCTGCTTACATGACCTATCTGCTGCGCGTCTCAAACGCAAAGTAAATATTTATTAAAGGCAGAATTGGATAAATAAGTACAGCAACTGCAACGTGAAGAAAATTAACATGGCGCAGTACAGCTAGGGCATATTAAATGCGGATCAGCAGCAGAAAAACGTAACCTGCAAACAGTACTGATTTTCATCAACGTAATCCACTGAACAAACACGGCGTCCCGTGAATAAACAGTAGAAATAATACCGACTAAATATCAATATATGATTGTTGAAGGATACTAGCTAAACCTCTATAGAAGCCTATCAGAGGTAACTAACTAAAAACAATTAGTAGATCCTGACACATCTAAGGGCTGCAACTCTACCGCTTGCAATCGTGGTAACTAACGACTTCCATTGAAGGGAACTTCCAGTTCCCATACAAGTGTTATATGTTCGCAACAGAAGACAAAAAAATCTTTATATGAAAATAACATAAAATTCTACCCACAATTAGTACATCTTCAATGCAATTCCTCAAGCAAAACCTACCTAAATATATACATGGACATTTAAAAAAATCATACCAATCTGAGGACTGACACTTCTAATCTCACCCAAATCCATTTAGATCAAGCTAACAGAGACAAGTGGGACTGATGTCTAAGTCACCCAAATCCATTACCATAGATACAATGGGACATGTCCGAATTTTGATATTACCAAAGATAAGCCGAAAAAAGCAGTCTGTAGAAGGGGGTCGGCAGTGATTGCTGTGAATCATGAGGACCGAAGTTATAATTATCGTAACTGCCAATTGTTTTGTGGTCTGAGTTTGCTGTGATTAGGACCCCATCACAGGGGGTTGGCTTATGTACGAAACATACCATTTTGATACTGATTTTAAGGGTCGAGTTTGGAGGTCAGCTTATCTATGAGATCGGCTTATCTACAGTAATATACGGTACGTTTGATAGATGCTTAACAATGCACTCAGCAATACTGAAATCTCAGATGACAGCATGTAATTAATTGAGTCTAAATTTGACAAACCAGTAATTGTTATGGTAATTGGGTTACAATAATACAAGTAAGTAACCAATTATCATGTTGTCCACTATTTGTATTGCAAGACAAGCGTTCCATATCTTTCAAACTGCCCTAGAGAACAGACCATCAAGGCCCTTGTTTCACTACTGCCATTACAGTCACAACCTCTACCCAAGGGCAGATCATTCAAAAGTAAAAGTCTGGGTTTCCGTGAACCGATTCTAACCCAGAATCCCCATGCAGGACATTTCTTGGTATTGGCAGAATTTTGTTATGAATCCAAGAAAATCATGCTGGTTGGGACTTCTGTTAATAAAAGCTAATCCAGGTAACCAGTGAATCTGTACAATGAGACTGGTCAAGGATACGAGACAGAACCTCCATCAGTTGAGCTTTACAGTTTTCTTCCTTCCGAGCGAAGAAAGACAGTGCTTGCACCCACAGACTTGGATCCTGTTGCCTGGAACAGTGATCAAATGTATTCTTGTAATACAGATATTCACACCTGTGACAACCAGAGGGTGATGGTCTGAGTGGATTGCAGCTACTCATTTCATGTGAGAGAGTTGTTTTCTGTTGCTAGTAACACTGAGAGACTGGTTTTTTATGCTGATTTCAGCAATATACCAGCAACATTGAAGCATTAACCAACCTCACAGCAATACAGCAGCAATAACACAACAGTATTCCACTTTTGAATAATACCAGTATTTGGGAACTCCACATTTATATTCCAATACAAGGTTGTGATCCTGAATGCCTGTTCTACTCTTTAAGCCTGACAATTTAACTACAATATATCCTTTCGTAATTCAACATAAAAAATAAATTATATCCACTGTGACTATATCATTAAATTACTGTCTTACATCGTGTTACCTAATCACTGCAATACATGTGGACTCACCCAAACTTCTTGCAAGCGTCGATGACGTGTACATATTCATCATGCTCCATGTGGTAGCGGAGAATCTGCTGATACCTGTAACAACATGAACGAGTCGGTCATAGCAAGGCATGTCTGCTTATAGTCCGTTTGGCTCAAAAGCGGACCGATGAATTGCAATCTAACTTGAGTCTTGAAAACTAATAAACATAAAATACTCAATGAAACGCTGATCATAATCATACCAACTCTGTGAGGTTTTTTGCAGAATTTTTGTCCTAAAAATAATAAAGTTGTTTAACAATCTATCATTAAAATATTGACACAGTTCACTATTTGTTACGAGGGAGGAGTGCAGAGAAAGGGAAAGCCAGGTGTTCGAGAATGGATGGAGAAGGCACAGCACAGGTTAATGAATAAATAACTTTGTCTGTGAGCGTGCTTCTCAAACACCTGGCTGTCCCTTTCTCTGCACTCCTCCCTCGTAACAAACAGTGAACTGTGTCAATATTTTAATGATAGTTTGTTAAACAACTTTATTATTTTTAGGACAAAAATTCTGCAAAAACCTCACAGAGTTGGTATGATGTTTTGATTATGATCAGCGTTTCATTGAGTATGTTATGTTTATTAGTTTTCGAGGTAGATTGCAATTCATCGGTCCGCTTTTGAGCCAAACGGACTATAGTTTGAGAGTAATACTGACACAGGTTTTACAACTGTAACACAGTTAACACTTTCAAGTGGGATCACAGACATGGTGAAGTGAGTCATTTTTACACTGTTTATATTAGTACCTCAGCTACATCACTGCATGACAACCCAAGGTGGGAGAAACACCAAAAGTGACAGGTGAAACTATTTCAGTAAAAAACCAGAGTGAGCATTTTGACTTACAGTGCTGATACAACTTTACATTTTTGTCTTACACTACAGTCATTGATAACAACTTTACATCTATATCACACAGTGCTTCATAAATAATTGAGTTTGGACCAGTCAAACCCATCCAATATCTTCGATGACACCAAGAATTCTGGACCAGATAAAGCAGAGATTGACATTTGATGAAACACAATCTGCCAAGGAACCAAATCACCCAATCCAATATAATCACCTCTTGCCACAAAAAAGACTAGAGTTTTAGGGCACCATGCTAACCTGAATCCCCACCGTCTAACAATAAACCAAACTTTGTAGGATTTATATGTGATGTTGACTAGTTTATGCAGTTTATGAATATGTAATGACTGAAACCTGATATCTGACTTACAGGTGAGCTTTCTCATACAGGTACAGGATGCCAGCCTTGAAGTTGTTCATCTGACACAGAATCAGGGCGTGGTCAATGTCATACCGAGCCTGCAATTATATGTTGAAAGAAAATATTGAGACAAATCCTTAATTGATGCACAAACAGTTAAACAGGGCTAACAATTCTTGAATACCAGGAGTCTTTTTAGTCACAGGATTTCACTAGTACTATTCTCAGAGTAAAAGAAAATCATTGAAACTGCCCCACTGAAGAACACATACATAGGATGTTTATATCCAACATTAGTTCAGCACAGGAGATGTATTTGCAGCTTCATTCAGGACTGAGGGGAAGGGAGATAACCCTAAAATGATGACAACCTATCAAGAAAATGTCACTGAGAAACCATTTATATTAACAGTTTCACAACATCCACATGTGACAAAGCACCAGTAATGATTATCAAACTACCATTTCTATCACAATCAAGATTATCTCCTATTAAAGTCCTTTTCAAGTCAAACATCCGAATTCCAGGCCTTACCATGCCCAAATGAACCTTGTACTTAATATCCCATTGTATGCAAACTCACATCAGGATTCTTTAACAGTTCCAGTGTCTTTCTTTCTCTGTCAACTCGAGGCTGTGAGAATGAGAAATTGGTTTACATTAAGCCATGAATTTAAGTACATACAGAGCTAAAGTTTTCATATTCAGCAGATATTATGGCCATGCAATTCCCTTAACAGTCACACCATTTCAGAAACAATTTAATTATTGCCTGTCAGGAGCTCCAATCATTGACAGTGTTTGTTGTTTCATCAGTAAAATCCAAGCTATATGGTGGCAGTCTTTAAATAACTGAAATTTGGACAGACAATCCAGTGATGAAAAACAGCACGAGCATCAATCTACACAATGGGGATACGATGACATGTGCCAACCAACTCAGCAAGCCTGACCACCTGATCTTGTTATTCGCCCCTTACAGCAAGCATGGGTTGCAGAAGACCAATTCTAACCCGGATCTTCACAGGTATCATTGGCAGAGCAAATACATCATACTCACTGCTATATCCTTCTCATGCATCATCTCATGGAGGTACAGCTCCAGCAGGGTGTTGTACACAAGGTTTGAGGAGTTGGGCTGAACCTGGAACAGTGGAAAGGAATGCCTTCATGCCATTGACAATTTGCCCAAACAATGTCCATATTTACAACTGACTACTGTCTTTGGAAGAAAAATCTCTTCAGAACATTCTCTATTTCAGGGAATAATCATGACAGTCACTCTTCTCATGTCATGTTCAAGCCAACCTAAATTTGATTAGCCAATTTATATTTTCCAAACTAAATATATTTACAAAACATTTTCAAATGATGAAAATGAACATATGCAGAGACTAAATGTCACCTCATCTGAAGTATAGTGTGTGGATGGGTCAGCACTTGTCAAAATGTTCGATTAGTTATTAATGAGTGAGTGAGTTGAGATCAGTGACTGTAACTGAAGCTTAACGTGATATGAAGGGTTATTGTCAAGTGAGACCAGACGTATCAATACCTCGACCATGTGTTCCAAGAACTCTGTCAGTTTACCAGAGTTGTTGACAAATATATGGATGAATTCTTCTGCATTGGCTTTCTGAATACGTTGTAAACCACCTACAACAACAAAATACACAACATCAGAGGTCTTTGCATATACATATTTGTAAAACGTATATAAAGAGTTCGCCATTTTATCCCTAGAAGATAGATGAATTTATATTTTCAAAACAGAAAAACTTGTAGAACACCTACCATCCATACTCAGCTGATCCACTAGAGGCTCTGAAAATGAAAATAGTTTCTTGGCATTAATCATGTTATAAGATGTTTACACTCATTAAATACATTGCAAGTGATTCTGTGGCCTTTGGATGGCTAATTAAGCAAATTGGAAATTTTAACTATAAATTGTATATTATATATACTTATCCTATCTCACGGTATGCACCTCTCCTCTTCTTCTATGACCATGTGTGGAAACCTGCTGTAGACTAAGTTGAATCAAATCTTACTGGCGTGCTGTCGGCCCTAAGTTGAATCAAAGTTTATTGGCGTCTGACCACCTGAGCTCTGCCCCCAGTCTGATATCAGCACATGTCAATCATCTCAATAAGCGTGCAGATCGCTCAGATGATCAAGTGACGTCCTGCGCCTGTCATTCTCATCTTTGAGCTTCCAGCAATCTGTGATGTGGGGCAGGTTGGGTGGGTATCTATCGCGTGAGATGCCTCCCCGCGATTTATCAGGTGACCCCAGTGAATTAAAGTCAAAGACCTTAATCTGGCCAGTCCCTGCTTCGAAACTACCCCCCATAGACACACGCTGGAAGGCGGTGAAAGAGGAAATAGCCCGGTTGCTCAACTAGTTTAACGTTCAGTGCCAATCCCCCTAACTTACCAAAGGTGAGAAAGGACTTAGGAGCGGAATGCTTCGAAAACCATGTAGGTAATCGGAAATCAACACTTCACTGACGTAATAGCTCAAAGAGTAGAGGTCAGTAAGCGGAGTGTCGACCATCTCTGTATGTAGCACAAGACTGGCCTCACAGTCTATCCAGTCATAGCTATGACAGTGCAGACACGCCCTAGTTCCCTGAGCCCAAACGAAAAAAGTACCAAGACATGGATTACATCGATATCTTTTATTATGTACAGAGCAAAACCGACAGAAAGAAGGATTGCTTTATCTGCGAACACGGGCCGATGACAACTGCTGCGCCAGGACCAAAGGGCCGAACTGATGTAGACCTTCCACATCTGTAACCGAGAGTTCCCGAAGGTAGTGTGAGGCGAACACAGTATCCAATTTCCAAAAGCTTCCCCCCATGATGGCCTGGAGGGAACAATTCCTGTGAAGCGCCATGGTGGAAGCGAGAGCCCGAGTCTCATGAGGCTTCGCCGTCGAAGGTGGAGGAAGGTCAGCAAAGGCATATGCACGTAGGATCATAGACCTCATCCAAAACGCCAAAGGTAGTGCGAGAGACTTCCTCAAACCAAGGAACACTTTAGCATGTCTAGACCTCTCAAAACGTACCTGAGAGACATCGAGAGCGTGCAAATCGGAAATACGCAGCTGTGGCCAAGGCCAAGAGACAAAAAGGTCTTAAAGGTGACATGCTCACTGTGAATAAGCGCCGAAACGGGTGCACTATAAGTAAGCGCTGAAACGGGAGCACTGTAAGTAAGCGCCGATCTGGGAGCAAGCGGTGCTCTGAACGAAAGCGCCAAACTGGGAACAAGTGGCGTCTGAACAAAAGCACTGAATCGGGACCAAGTGGCGCTCTGCAAACAGGAACCTGTCCCAATGTAAGCGGTTCTCCGGAGGTAAGCGACGCACTGGAATAAAGCGGTGGTCCGTTACCAAAGGGTACAGGATAAGGGATAGATGTGGAAAAAGTCGCACTGGAAATCAACGGCAAACTTGCAGACATCACCGGAGGATGAGAAAGCGCTGAACTGGAACTATCCACTGTACCAGAACAAATTGTCACATTAGACACAAGCATCGTATGGATAGTAGATGTAGAACCAACCACTGAAGTGGAAAGCGCCGAACTGAAAGCAAGCGTCGCTTAGGAGCTAATGTTAAGAACCACACCAAGCGCCGCATTAGAAACTTCCACCGAAGGAACATAGGGGCGCTGGGGAACAGTTACCACCGAAGACGGACGGGGCTGAACAGCAGATGTAGACAAAAACTACAACTCTAGGTGGTGAGGAGTCCTCTAATGTGATCGGGCTGGATGCATGTCGACGGAAAAGTCGACGCATATTTTCATTGAATCAGACGCCTCATCTAGGAAATCCTCATTGGGAGACGGGGACTTCGAATGTCAAACCGCTGTTTTCTTACGACATTCTGTCTTAGGACTTTTAGACGAAGACAGACCCTCAGATGTTTTACGCCGGTCCTATCTGACATGCGTCTACAAGCTACCCAGCGATATTCAGAGAAAGCATCGTCGTCGAGATCAGCACAAAAAGCGATGAGACCAATCACAACGACCTAAACAGTCTACACAAAATACATGTGGATCTGCCGCCGAGAAGTTACTGTTACAACTGTCACAATGTTTGCACTTCTTAGAAACATTACGATTCAATCTACCCATGTTGAAACACAATCAAACTCTCTTTGAGAAAAGCACACATCCACACGATGTAGCGACAAGAAAGAGAATGACAGGCACAGGACGTCATGTGATCATCTGAGCGATCTGCACGCTTATTGAGATGACTGACAGGTGCTGATATCGGAGTGGGGGCAGAGGTCAGGTGGTCAGAGGCCAGTAAGATTTGATTCAACTTAGCCTACAGCACGTTTCCACACATGGTCGTAGAAGAAGAGGAGAGGTGCATACCGTGAGATAGGATAAGTTTAAATATTTTGTTTCCACAGTCAGAGAATAAGCTATGTTACACCCACTACAATTACAGCGCTGAATGATGCCATTTCATAGTGAGTGAGTGAGTGAGTGATGAGTGAGTGATTGGGTGAGTGAGTGAGTGAGTGAGTGAGTGAGTGAGTGAGTGAGTGAGTGAGTGAGTGAGTGAGTGAGTGAGTGAGTGAGTGAGTGAGTGAGTGAGTGAGTGAGTGAGTGCAATACAATACATACTGTTCATGGGCTTGTAGTCGGTACAGAGCCGCTTCAGCAGCTGAGTGGTCTGTTGTGGCACTTCACTCATCAAGATCTTCCCATACTGTTTCAAGTTATTCTCTGCCTGAAACCAACATCACCATACATGAAATGCTTACATTACGTCTGTCTATATATGTACATTCCATGTAAAGTCAATACAACAGTGAGAGTGAGCTCAAATGGTTTTAAAAATCCAAATGATACTTCTGTTAATCCAAATTTAAACATAAAGAGACCAAATGAAATATTTTCATTGGTTTCCCAACATATGTAGACAGTAGAATTCGATAATCACTTTCTGATGACTTATTTCAAACAAAAACATAACCAACACGGACAAGGTAAAATCTTTCCATTTTACTTTCAGACACCAGTCGAGTATGTCCAGTGTACCCACTTGTCTGCACCTTGAATACATACCTCATCAAAGTCCAGCTTGCCGATGTACTCAAGGGCCTTGTGATAGTCTTTGATGTCTTCTAGCTGGATCTTCAGGTACCACTCATGTTTGGCATGTTTCTCCGCCAGCGACAGAGCGTGTTTGTGATATCCAGCCTGGCGACACACCTTGATGGCCGTCTCCACATCAAAATCTACTTCCCGATCTTTTGTCTGAAACAAGATATGTGAGATGTGTTTAGATGCAGTGAAGTTTCCAGATCTCTTGATTGGAGGTCTACTTTGAGCACACTGAGTGGACCCTTGGACTGAGTCACAAGTATCCATTTATCCTGAATTATTATTCTCATGAACATGGGTGATTCACGGCTTTTCAATGAGATAGGTTTTCATAGATTCACATTCATGAAATGAAATTAAAAAAGAAAACAGTCTACCAGCAACCAGTGGATCCTGGCACAGCAAAGAAATGTAACTCTCCATAATGAAATAATGCATCTTACATTGCTAGGTCTTTCTTGCCCCTTGTATAACTTAAATGCGATGTGCAAACGTTACAATTATGACTGTAACTTAGTTCTTATTCTCTTTAGAGTGAAAGATGATTCGAAATATTATGAGGAAATATTCATAACCATTTATGTTTGAAATTCGACTCAAAATATTTCACGGCAAACAGACAAAACCAGAAGGTGGTCAAAACATGAACCCATCCATCCCTTATTTCATACTGTGTGACATAGTGCTGCCTCTTACCATGATAAACTCATCCAGCTTGGAGACGTCCTTGAGCTTGGTGTAGCAGTTGAGGAGGAGTGTTGTGTGTTCCTCGGTGGCCATCTGAGCCTTGTGGAGGGCCTGTAGGTACTTGGTCAGGTTGTGGATGCGCTGGGCGTCTAGGAACTGGTAGGGGTAAAGTAATCACATGATTCAGTCTGAACACTACATCAGTCATACCATGGATTGAGTGAGTGAGTGAGTTTAGTTTTACGCCCCACTCAGCAATATTCCAGCTATATGGCGGCGGTCTGTAAATAATCAAGTCTGGACCAGACGATCCAGTGATCAACAGCATAAGCATCGATCTGCGCAATTGGAAACCGATGACATGTGTCAACCAAGTCAGCGAGCCTAACACACGACCCCGTTAGTTGCCTCTTACAACAAGCATGGGTTACTGAAGGCCAATATTCTAACCCGGACCTTCACGGGTTCATACCATGGAACATCAAGTGGGAGGAAAGCGCAATGGGATGGTGGTGATACCTCAGGCAGAGGAATGATGCTGACAAAACAAGGCACAAAGGCACATGAAAACACAATGCCATTGAGACAGTGGTCAAATGTGACATATGTTATATTAAGATTATACTTTCTCAGTAAAGTTCAGATTCTAAAACTTTTGGGGTTGAGTGAACTTGAGTCCCATTAGGAATTTGATCTAACTCCTACCAAAAGTCCTAAATAATCTATCCCATTCAAGAAATCCTCCAAATGTTTGAAATACTACATCCTAATCACCTACCTTCCTTATAACATAAGACGCTTCCAGTTTGCCGATGGTTTTGATATACTGGTCGATGGCGCCATCATGGTCACCCTTGCTGTACAGGTGGTCGCCATACTGAGTGAAGATGTCAATGAGGCCGTCAGCATCGTACTGCTGACTCTTAGCCAAACTGGATAAACAGACAAAGGGGAGGAGTTGAGAAATAGGCATCAGGATGACCTATATTACCAGGACTACAGGGACTACAAGACTAAACAGACAGACAATCAACAAGTTATAAACATGCTTGGGGATGCAGAGTATTATCTCTACTATCATGGCTACATGGATGACTTCCATTTACTTGCCCTGATTGGTATTTTGGGATAGTTTGCAGGAGCAGATACAGCTATTTGAGAAAGGGGTGATGCACACTTCATTTTCATGAGAGTTTCAATGGTCATTTAATAAATTTTCAGGACAAAAGTTGCACCCCCCTCTGGATCCGCCCATTGTTTGACGTTGAAGCACCTGGTATGTTGTAGCAAGTGGTTAGTAATAGTTCACATCCACATTGTGTTGGCCTGAGTTGGCTCACCTGATGGCCAGAGTGTAGTTATTTTTCTTGAAGAGCATCTCCAGCTTCGTCTGTGTGTCCTTCTCCTGAAGCTGGTATAGCTGAAGTCATGACAATACCGCGTCAGGGCATGAAATCACCATACATAGAACAATTAGGTACAAGTACAGAGGACAACATTACCATCTTCTAACCAGCACCTGATTTCCCCATGGAAAAGAATGGAAAACAATGTCAGTAAGTATCTGTCTGGCCCAGGTTTGTTTTTTGAATGCTCAGAAAAAGGCATGCAGTTGTACTGATGAGAATGATTAGCAAACCTTAATAAGCGATACAACATTAACATAAAACCTGACCCCTTCCTAAACCCAATCTTGATTTGCTATGTTTGCATACAATATTTTGTTCCTGACAAATGTACTGAATACCTTCTCACATGGACTGGTCATTGACTGTATTTGAACAGCATCACTTTTATGATGCATGCAAACAAAAACTTCTTCAGATCCATTTTAGTTTTAGATCACGCCCAACAGGTATTATAATTTTGTCTAACCCCTGATAACTTTTATGATGGTGAAAACCACATAATTTGGGATTTGTTTTTTTAATATCAAATGAGAAAGGAATGTTTCCTGAAGCACAACCTTGAGTCTCACTTTGAACTTTTCAAAATCAAGCAACAACTCCATGGTAACCTCTGATAAAGAGGGGGAGAAACAGTTAAGCATACCTTCCTATCTCCGGCCAACACGTAGAGAGACCCCCACTCACACATGACATCAATGACATCAGGGTATGGCGCGGAGTAGGCGATGAACTTATTCTGGATGTCGTACACTGTCACTGTGTTCATCTCCAGACCCTGGGTGCCTCTGCAAACCAAGGCAAACACTCAGGTTGCAGACTCTAAGCCAGATAATACCCCCTTGGGAAATAGTTAGCCAAGTATGTTAACATTGAGCCTTCAACACAATTTAAGTTCTTTCATATGGGTTCGTCTTGTTGGAAGTCAATGGAATGAAGTTTCTTTGTATATTGTTGAAAAACACTCAAAAATTTCAAGTTATATAATGGTTGCCTGTAGATACTTATCTAGGACAGACTAACTAGAGGTTGATATTATGAAAACATCCAACAATGGGGGACAATGAATTCTTACCGTCAAATCAATTAAGCATGTTAAACACAATCCAACAAGCATATGAAACTTAGAACCTAGAAATCCCATGGGGTTATGGATTCAATACCAGTATCATTCAACATGAAATAATTCTTGAATAACTGCTTCACATGAATCATCTACAATTAGACTCACAAGACAGGGGCACGTGGCATGTTCTTGTTGTCCTTCCCAACTACCACCAGGTAGCCTCGGAACCAGTGTAGCTGAAGCTTTTCCCCCTCAAACGCCAGACACGGACCACGCCCATCTGGCTGATAGAAGTACACAGCCTGGAACATAACAACCATGGCTGAACGACCATCAGAAGATGCCCTTAATCATGACAATGTACAGCTGAAAGAAATGTGAAAGTAGATACTCTCCTGCAAGGCATCTGGGTATAGAACTTGTCTTATACCAGTCAAATACAAACCTATCTTTTAACAATATTCATGGAAATAATGTCACACACTTAGAGCATGCCAGTCCTTGACATGAAAAAGATCCTTCAAAACGGCTAATATATGACCTATCTTTATCATGATTATCATTATTTTACTTGTTATTATCGCATGTCATAACATGCTCAGTACTGTAAACAAAACAGTGTTGATGTCAAACATGGTAAAAAGTAAATGTAAAAAACCTGTGTGCTGCTTTCAACAGTTGCATCTTAATGAAGGAGGATATTCTGAAGTGATGAAGGACATAGAGAATCTCACCCAAGTGTCTTCTGATATCAATTATATCAACACGAGTTGATAAAGTTACAAATATCCGAGGCCTGCCGAGGTTATTTTTTACTTTATCAACGAGTGTTGATATATTTGATATCAGAAGACACGAGGGTGAGATTCTATTTATCATCCAAAATCACTCTTCATTAATTTTCAATGAAAAATGTACATCTCTGAACATGGTGCTGCCATTAGACCTGCAGTGCAGCGATGTCATAGCATTGTGACGTCATCAAGTACATGACATCATAGCATTGTCAGGGCATTGTACAAAATCTACTGTCAAAACGATATCTCCTAGGAGATATCGTTTGATCACACACAAGCGATATCTCCTGTGGAACACAGTTTTGGATGATAAACCGATATCTTCCATCCACAGGTAAGATGGCAACACCACAGGTATGATGGTAACACCACGGGTATGATAGTAACACCATGGGCATGATGGAAACACCATGGGTATGATGATAACACTGCAGGTATGATGGTAACACCACGGGTATGATAACATCACAGTTATGATGGTAACACCATGCATATGATGGTAACACCATTGGTATGATGGTAACACAACAGGTATGATGGTAACACTGCAGGTATGATGGTAACACAACGGGTATGGTGGTAACACCATACTCCTGACATGCTCCTGACAGACCAAAAGGGTCTTGAACATACTTTTGGTAACATATGTTATACCCTCAGAGTCAGGCACCTAATCGCCAGCACACAAAGTCAGACGCCTAGAAATAGAATCTGTACTTTACTAAGAAAGTGTAATCCCAAATATAACATATGTTACATTTGACCACTTTCTAAATGACATTGTGTATTTTCATACTTTTGGTAGTTGAGCATGTGGAGTCTGGTACTTACATCCTGTCTGCCGATGACCAGCTGGTTGTCATGGCTGGCATCACTTGTCACTGTACAGCGGAGCTTTGTGCCAAACGACTCCAGAGTCTCCTGGGGAAATGAAAACAAAATCTTGAAAAAACTTTTTCTCCTTTTTCAGCTAACCACATATGCTAATCACAGTATCGAAAACAAATAGTACGTTCCACAAAAATAATAATCAAATCAGTACAATCCTTACCACTATCAAATCCTTTCAATAATATTTGTAAAGTACACATGCACCAACACTAGACAATGCTTCTGACAACAACCTTACACAGCAAGTTTCCAGGTTCACATATTAAATTATCCCACATCAAATGAACCTCTTTTTTTAACCATTCATCCTTTTACACCTCAAAATTCAGTTAACAACTGGAAGTCTTACTAGCAAAATATGGACCATTTATGAATCTGTTCAGATCTGACAGAGAAGTTCCTGCCACTTTCACATCAAAACTTTTCATAAACACAGCTTTCACCATTTATGCTTTCATCACGTTCACAGATGTTCATGGTTTCTGATAATGTAATCTTGTAACGCTAACCCTTTGATCCTTGGCAGTGAGGTTGAAGGCGTTGACAGCTATTTCAGTCACAACGAACAAGATGACGTCTCTACCAGATGTCTTGAAGGATAACCCTGTGATTGGCCGTTGGTTCTCAAACACGGTTCTAGACTTACTGTGCCTGAAAATGATAACATGTGAAGTCCTTAATGACATGCGACTGGCTAAACCCTTCAAGGGGAAATACATCCAGTCAAATTTCCACATGACAATCACGATAACAAGAATGATTATCAGACTGAAAACATAGTACTATTAACAAGAACTACTGTAAACGTATTATATTTCGCCCAGGTTTTATTTTCGCGCTTTTCGCGCAAAACATTTTAGTGCGAAAAATTTATACACCGCGAATAAACCTGTCATTCATTCAGTCTAGCCACGCTCGCCCCTGAGTTGTTACCATAACACATCAAGTTTGAAGACAGAAATCTACGGGAATCTTAAAATGACTCTGTTTGTTTTCACTGCTATTAGTGGCGGCCAAAGAGACAGCTGGCAGTTCCGGCAATTACTGATTGAGCGAATAATTGACCGAGCGATGTAGTCTAAACTGTCAATTCCGCGAAAATTGCACCATGCGAAAATAAGTACGTTTACAGTACTTTTCATGATCAGTCAGTGACTTTCGCCACTAGTAAATATCTCTTTGATCTAGTAAGCTCACTCATAATCCATATTTAGGGGTGGGTATTGCAGAGAATTTTCATATTGCAATATATTGCGATGCGAAAGCATATATGGTGATATGTATTGCAATATATTGCAAGAAGTTAATGCTTGATTTATAAAGCCAAAACACAACAAAATCACTATGCTTGATTAAGCTTTAATAGAAACTTTCAATTTACTTTACCATTGCATATTCTACATACCGCGTTCCTCTTATCAATAGTTCCATCTACCGGGAACTTTTTCAACCCAAAATGCTGCCATACTGAAGCTTTGCCCTAGTATTTGGCACCACAATAAAATATTGTTCGTTGTTGGGGTTGAGATTTTACAACAAACGCATGACTTCCTGAGCGAAAAACGGAAATATCCGAAGATTTCCGAGTGTTACGAAGTTTTCCGAATGCATGTCAAAATACCGGTTTTCAATCAACGTATCGCAATACGTATTGTTTTCATGTCTGAACCGGTAAATACCGGTAAACCCTATCCATATTACAAGACAAAAAGCCATGTTTAGACTTTAGACAAGCAGACCTTAAGGTTTTGGCCACAGTCTGCATAACAGCTTTATAGTTTAATTGTATTCACCACTGCACATGTTCACATGAAGAGTTTGTTTTGTTCACACTACAACAGTTCCCAGAGCAGACACCAGTGATGGAAGTATCATTAGACTGGTTCATTTAAATCCTATTCAAGAAACCAGTTGTCTCAAATGTTTGGTGCATGTGTTGAATTTAACAGAAGGCGGCTACCATTTATTTTTTTGTTGTTGCATAATGCTACACTCAGCAATATTCCAGCTATATGGCGGTGTGCTGTAAATAATCAAGTCTGGACCAGACCACCAGAAATGGGCTTCACACATTGTACCCATGTGGGGATTCGAACCCGGGTCCTCGGCATGACGAGCCAACGCTTTAACCACTAGGCTACCCCACCGCTCCCGATGACAGGTGTCAACCAAGTCAGCGAGTCTGACCACCCGATCCAGTTAGTCACACAAGCATGGGTCTCTGAGGACCAATTCTAACTCGGATCTTCACAGGTTGGTTACCTTTGATCATCATGCTCCTGGTTAATGTTGTTAGAGACTCATTTTTTCTCACCATTACTTCTCAGACAGTTTCCCACACATAACAAGACAAACCCTCTGTAGTAATACACATTAACATTATCTACATGTGAATAGGAAGCTCTGTAATTAAATAATACAGAAAATGGACCCCTAAAGCTAAACTGGTGCCTCTAACCAAACAACAAGTGAGTATCTGTACCTGTCCCGCGTGACGTCCCCTTTGTACACGACGACAACGCCATTCTCAAACCCTACTGCCATGTAGTTGAGATTCTCATGCACACTCACGCAAGTTACCTGCAAAAATTGAAACGTTTGTTTTAGACATAGGAGCGGTTATCATTCAAAGAAAAAGAAATCCGTTGAGGTTAGCTACAAATAACAACAATCTGTTTACCATTGATTGTTTGTTGTTGAACATGTTTAACACAACACTCAGCAATATTCCAACTGTATTGTGGTGGTCTGTAAATAATCAAATCTGTAACATACAATCCAGTGATCAACAACATGAGCATTAATCCACGCAGTTGGGATACGATGACACGTGTCAACCAAGTCAGCGAAGGTGACCACCTGATCCCTTAGTCACAACTTGCAACAAGCATGGATTACTGAAGACCAATTCTAACCCAGATCTTCATGGGGTCTATTTACTATGAAATGACACCAAAAACAGCAATGTATGTATAAACGAACACATCTGTTGGAAAAGTGAAAAGCACATAGTGAAAAAACCTATGTACTTGAATCGACCTTCACGTAAGGTAGACAACTCTTAACTGAAAGATTATGGAACTTAAAGCACTGGAATAACCATTCCTGGCAATATGTCATCAATGTTTAGCATATACTCACCGGTGTTGGTTTGTTTCCAGGTATTGCCCTAGATATCCTTGTACATATAGGACTTCCCCTCTCCATCTGGGAAAAAAATATTTGTTAAGGCTTCAGAGATTTTAGACAAACCAACAATACTTCACTTTGTATATTATACTGATATAATTTTTTCAACGGTTTTAGCATTGTTTAGATAACATAGAGAAGTTCTGAGATTCATTTTCGCATGTATCCAAACAGGAATAGGTCTACAAAGATTGGTAATATCTTTCATAACATTATCCCTGTCCAAGACAAATATGTTTAGATTATCACATAACAGATGTTTGAACCTTTTTTTCAGTGAAGGTGAAGTGATAGAGGGCTGAGCGCCAATTTCATGATTATATCAGTGAGTGATATTTATATAGACATGCCTGCATGTGTATGTGTGTAGGGCTGCTAGTACTCGTTGTCCCATGAATCATACTCAGGATGAACCAGGGATTTGAAACCATCAGTTCATACAAACCGATATCACACATGACCAAATCACAAACAACACTGTGAAAGTATTACTCAATTATAAATTTCAAAATATACAATAAATCTTAATTATAATGATGAACAAGCATTGTCACTAAGGTGACATAATCCCCTGCCGCAAATTATTAAATCAAAGTTATAAAGTATTGAAAGTTTAAGATGAAGTTAAATGTCAACAAAAACATGACCAGTCAACCTCTCTTGATATTTTGCTCTTTAGTTGCTCAAACACACACATATTTTCAAGACTGACTTTGACCTTGACATGAATGTCATAGTGTATGAAATATGCAAAAATAGAAATTAAAGAAATTGCTTATTGAAAAACATTCAAGGGAAGTTTTGAAAGTCTATGAAGAAAATCCAGTGAAACGTTCTTGAAATATCTTGATGACAATTCAGGTTAACATCCTGAAATCAAAGTGCCGTCGTGACCCTGAAAATTATGTGAAGGTCACCAAAATTGACTGAGCCCTGGGCCTTCCCTAGATGAAGCTTGGTGTCAAATATATGAAGAAAATCCATTGAATATTTTTTTGCGATATCTTGCTGACTATCTTAACATGTAATTTAACATGCTGAAATCATCAAAGTGTGGCCATGACCTTGAAAATTAAGTGAAGGTCACCAAAATGGACTGGGCCCTGCGCCTTCCCTAGATAAAGATTGGTGTTGAATATGAAGAAAATCCAGTGAACGGTTCTTGAGATAGCTTAACATGCAGGTTAACATGCTGAAATCTTCAAAGTGTCGCCATGACCTTGAAATTAAGTGAAGGTCACCAAAATCAACTGGGCCCTGCGCCTTCCCTAGATAAAGCATGGTATTGAATATGAAGAAAATCTAGAGAACGGTTCTTGAGATAGCTTAACATGCAGGTAAAACGGTAAAGTCCCCTTGTGACCTTGAAATGAAGGTCAAGGTCACCAAACCTGACTTGGACCTTTCTTATACTATGATGAATCTAGGTACCAAATATGAAAAGAATCTAGTCAACGGTTCTTAAGATATTAGAATTTGGACGGAACGGAGCCTAATACTATATCCCCCTCTTCGCGCTAAAGGCGCGGCGGAGGATAACAAACTAACACATTAATTACTGCTGGTGACAATATATATGCAAGCCTGTTTAACTGACAGGTAACATGTATGGTAACATGTGTGTGCAAGAAATAGAGCTAAGACTGACATAAGTGACACCTGTCACTTAAGTAAAGAAATAGGATTAGTTCGAAAGCTACACATTCTGAGACAAATATCAGACACAACTCTGCATGGCAAATTTTAGTGCTTCATCTTATGGCTGGGCCACTGGTGCCACTTTTAGACAAACAAAAGTTCACATGACAATGTATCATATTATGTCAGTAGTATCAAAAACATTAAAAGAGTTCTGTTCAAATATTATGTTCATATCTTACCTTCTCTAAGTTCCATACTTTTATCAGTGGATTAACACCTTGTTCATCTTCCTGTAAAGCAGAGTCTTATGGTCACAGAACATAATGAGAAATATAAAACATGTATCAATATGCCGCAATATTTGTGTCAGTAAACAGATTTCTTGCCTCAAAACAATATAGATGCTGTGGCTGAATTTCAGAGTGAGTGAGTTTACTTTTACGCAGCATTCAGCAATATTCCAGCTATATGGCAGCTATAATTAAGTTTGGACCAGACAATCCAGTGATCAATAGCATGAGCATTGATCTACACAACGGGATACGATGACATGTGTCAACCAAGTCAGCGATCCTGACCACCCGATCCCATTAGTCGCCTCTTACGACAAGCATGGGTTACTGAAAGTGAAAATCAATTCTAACCCGGATCTTCACGGATGCTGAATTTCAGAGTACATGATACATGAAATAGAAGTCTCAGTGGGGAGTCGCTTTACTAAGGCAACGATGGCAACTAAACAGTTTTGCTGAATATGATTTAAACTGCTTCTACTGACACTGAATAGGGACTGACACTAGTGACAGAATCTTTCATGAAGTGAACTTAACAAACTAAGTTATCATTAAACAAATATGGCGTGATGACTAAAAAAGTCAGGGCTGAAATCATGTTAATTCATGGCAAAACAAAAAGAAAAAGATTGATAAACAATAGATCTGTGAAGCATATTGTGTGCTCTTCTGAAAGAGTATTTGTTAAAGAAAATATTTCAGTATTTCACGGAATTAACTTACCCCTATTGACACCATGATATTGTGCTGTTTCATTTGATGTAGATGGCTGACTCTAATTTCATAACCCTTGAAAGATGACATCTGAAGTTGTCTATTGATGAGGTAGATATTACCATCAAAATCACCAACAATGAGCTGGCCCCTGCCACTGGCACAGACAGATACATTTTTGTCCTGTAAATAGTGAAAAAAACAAAATCATTTTACCTATACATCATTCACTTTAATAAGGAAAAAATTAAGCGTACATGTGACAGCAAATGAATGTAGCACAAATTTTAATCATGAAAGAAAGTTATAATTAGACATTTAGGACTAGTAGTAACTGTTTAAATATGTTTAAATAGGGATGTTTGTTCTAAGGCTAGTTGTCTACAGTGTTGATATGTATATCTTCCTACAGAACCAACTATAATATAACACACAGAACATGCAGGGAAGACATTATAGGTAAACATTTGTCAGAACTTGTCAAGTGAGACATTGGATGTCCATCCTTATTTAACAGAACAGTACACCTGCATTGAAGCATATGACTGAAGACACGTTGAATCCAGTCCTAATATATAAATCATAAAAGCCAAAATCTATGCAATAAAATTACCTTGAGCTGATCAAAATACTGGTCTGTTTCTGGGTCTTTGACTGTTTCCTTCTCAAAGAAGTTGAACCTTCTCCACTGCAAATATGAAACGACATTAATGAGTAATCTAAAATATTTGAATTTATTCTATGATATGAGCTGACGCCGTACTAACTGCATGTACGTCAACCAATATATGGCGCAACTGCACTGGTTTTGGAATCAGCTGTCAGCTTTGTCTTTTATGGACAAGTGATATCGCTGATTCGCGTTTCCTGGTTCGATATTGACAATACCTCCTCCTCATTATCAGCTGTAGACACAATGACGCGCAAAACATGAAAACATCAAGCCATGAGGGATCAACAGAAGTGCGTAATCCTGATCACATAACTTATGTTGCTTTGGTTGTGTCGATATAATAATAAAGCGAAAACGCCTACCTGCAAGAAGGCCATGTTGACGACCTTCACCTTCTACGTATAAGTAGAGCTATCTACAGCCAAACTCGAAACCAAACTAAATATTTCTAAAATGCCAATCCTAGTTTCTTCTCGGCAGGCTAATTGTTATAGAAGATCTACAGTTTTTAATTCACTCTAGTAGCTGGCAAGCTAAGAATATCCTTTTATTCGAAAACAAACACCTTCGCTCTAAATCTTTAACTATTTTCACCACGACTAATCCCATTACAAATGGTCTTGATACGTTCAGCGACCAAGAAGAGTCATGTAATCCAGGATATGACGCATTAAGACCAGCCGACGAATGACTGAGCGTCATATTGCTAGTTCAGTGGATATTTCCTAGCAGAGAATACATTCCATTATCTTTGAAAAAATTATCAGCTCGCCGGGTTTCCAAGCTTCTGGCATCTAGAAAGGGTTTTGTAACAGTTTGCGAAAATGGCAGGAATCTGGCTTCCCCACATTCAGCATTTGACTGTACCATCCCAACGAAGGCAAATATCATTCCATCATCATCTGGAAATGTTATAGCCTCTGTGTTCTGACAGGAAGTGAGGGTATCGTCATGGTGAACTATCTTCCAGGTGGCCAGTCAATATATGGAAAATACCGGATGAAGGAATCTAAGAAATGGTGTGCTCTTTATCAGAACATTAAGTGTGCTAGAGTACCCAAATCTTGCTTGACGGCGGTATAGTGAGTGAGTGAGTTTAGTTTTACGCCGCTTTTAGCAATATTCCCGCAATATCATGGCGGGGGACACGACACATGGGCTTCAAACATTGTACTCATGTGGGGAATAGAACCCCGGTCTTCGGCGTGACGAACAGACGCTTTAACCATTAAGCTACCCACTGCACCTGACAGCGTTATAAGAATCGTACCAAAACACCGTATCATTATGCAATAGAGACGAGGTCATCCATTAAGTATCTTGCCGTTACTGAGAACAATATACTAGTGGCCACAAGTGAGGCTTTTATCTGCATCCACCTTATTCACCAGACCCCGTTAGACTTCCATCTGCCCCAAACATGGAACCTTTAACCTCGAACCCGTTTCGATTCAAATTATAACGCCAAACTGTAGTGAGTGGAATACACTTTGGGCAGACAAGAAAAGGACTGTCTCCAAACGAAAAGCACCTCTGTGGCCCGACACAAGACGGAATTCAAAGTCATCAATGTGACGATGTGCAATGTGGAGAAGATGAAGGAACATTTGGCCACACCGTCACTCAACGTTATGTCGAACTTAAAGTGTCAAACGTACGGTTGTGTCAAAGTAAAAGCTTGGCCTCTGCGTATTCTTTAATAAGTAACCGTTTTGTGGTTGTGTCGAACTTAGGATAAACCGAAGTATTTACGTAGTTGCTTCAACTTCGACACAAGAAGTTGAAAGAGTGAAACAATACCAAAAGTGCCATATTTGTGAGTTTAAGATTGCAAAACTTAGGATTTAAATGTATCAGAGAATTATAGAGGGGTGATAAATCGCCCCAGTCAGCTAAGGCATTAAAATTATATTGATAAATAAATATTGATATGCAACAGAAATATTTGAAAAAATCACCATCGCATTCGACAATCAAATATAATGCATGTCTATGAAAAATAACATTGACTACCAGATAAATAAGGTTAATCTTCCATATCGAATTCATCATGACCAACATACATAACCATACAAACAAAAGGGATTCCTAGACCCGCCAACTCTCCCGAGGTTATGTGGATTCTGTTCGTTCGGGTTCCTGAAGTAAGCAAATATAACGGCGATTTATGCGAATCGTTTCACGTTGCCAGCATAAGTCGCCGTACAAAGACTAGTTGTAAGGAAGGTATTACGTTCCGTTGCCGGTCAACGAGCGCCGCGTTTCAACTTGCTTCCTGTGTGGGAAAAGATGTCTCGAATTTCGTCAACATTTGGAAAACAGGCCGGATTACGGTCATCTGTGAGATCTTTGGGAGGTTTGTAGTATCATAAACAACTAATATATGCATTTTCGTGGAGTATGCATTGTTCATTTCTGCAAAAACAGAACATGTCATCTTGTATAAACAAAGACTTGTGAACAAGGCGGTGTCCTCGAGTCTGGAGCTTTGACAGGTGCTTTTCTCAATCGGATAAACTTGGAATCAGACAGTTTCTAAACCAGTTGGTTCTTTTTCACTTACTGACGACAGGAGATATATTCTGGTGCTTATTTTCTATCATCTTTACCAACTTTACATTCGTTACCACTTTACCACTTCATTTTACCAACATCTTTAGGGTCTAGCATAAACATGTCGAGAATATCGCAACCTCTTGGATCTCAAGGTCCTGCTGTTTATGATTGGAGCCGGAAACTTAGATCAAGGAGTCCATCTCCTTCAAGACTTTCAAATACTGAGTCAAAAGGTATGTTTTTTATCTAGAGTAGCATATGCATGTTAAAATAGTAGTTCACAGATACGTTTGGACAAACTCTATCACATTGTTTACTTTTTCTACCATGTCTACTGTTCAGTCTGTCTAGGTTGCTAAAATGGGCCTATGGCTTAATGGTAAATAGTCATAACATCTTTTTGCACTTTTTCTTAATATTCATAGGCATGACTGTTTCATGCACGATAACAGATTCATGCTACTTGAAATGTTTCAGGATTTAGCTAACAAATATGGAAAATATCACACATATATGAAAAATGCATGTCTGCTCACTGCACAATAAAGGGTGTACAAGAAGCCCAGTCATCTTAAAGGAGGCACGATTCACTGTGCAGGGTTCTTTCCTTTAGGCAGACCAGAAACATGTGATCATGGGTTTAAATACTTGCTCTGATGACATTCCTTGGTTTGTCAGTACCATTCGATTCCTCATCATGCTCATGATAATAACCTAAGTAGTAAACTTCTTAGGCTTGCACACAGGACATTCTTTCCATATGAAGCTGACTTGCTGTGATATAACAGCAATACTGTTGGTGTTTAATCCACCAATCACTGCAAGATACTGGTAACTGAAAGTAAACACTACCACGGTATAACATGGTATAAGGTGGTTTTCTTGATGTTATCATTCAGTTTTGTCACAGACTTCTGAAAATAACCATTTCATTAACCATGTTAACATGCTTTTTGTGTTTTTTCCCACAGTGCTCAAAACATGGGTAACATGGAAATGTCTAATGTTGTTTCACTCATGTACAACTTAAATTCTTAAAAGAAACCCTAGAATTTTGCCACCATGCCTTTCTTAGGCCATGTTTCCTTTCTTTTTGTTGTTAGTATAGTTCATGTCACATGGTAATTCTTGTTAAACATCGGGATCGAGTGGTCAGGCTCGCTGACTGGGTTGACACATGTCATCGCATCCCAATTGTGTAGATCAATGTTCATGCTGTTGATCCCTGGATTGTCTGGTCCAGACTTGATTATTTACAGACCGCCGCCATATAGCTGGAATATTGCTGAGTGCAGTGTGTCACTCAACTCACTCACTCACTCTTGTTAAACATAGATTATTGCTGTATAATATGTGCCTATTCCTATCATTGTTTCTTCCTGAACCACTGACACATAGAGAGCCTAGTCAAGTAAGGCATTGCAATTTGCAGTGCAGAGTTGAATACCTTTGGCACACAAGAAAACCTATGACTAGGGGTTCGGTTGCCCTGATAATGTTACTGGGTTTGTCAACACCATACTCATGGGTTTCACTGAAGTAGTCATGTCTAACACCTGCATCACTTCCCACTTTCCTACCACAAGCTGGCACGCCTTGATATAAATGGGATACTGTTCAAAGTGGCTGTAACCAAACTCACTCTTCAATGTCTGTTTCATGTATGACCCGTGAAGGTCCGGGCTAGAATGAACCTTCAGTAACCCATGCTTGTCGTAAGAGGTGACTAACAGGATTGGGTGGTCAGGCTCGCTGGCTTGGTTGACACATGTCATCGGTTCCTAATTGCGCAGGTCGATGCTCATGCTGTTGATCACTGGATTGTCTGGTCCAGACTTGATTATTTACAGAGCACCGCCATATAGCTGGAATATTGCTGAGTGCAGCGTAAAACTAAACTCACTCACTCACTGTTTGATGTATTATATGTTTGGTCTGATATTCTGATTCACCAATGCTGAACGCATGCAGACTGGCACCAGAAACATAATCAAAATGGGAAGGGGAAGGCTTTAACATGTCTATGCATTTATTTATGAAAGAGTTGATGGCAGTGAAACAGTAACAGAGGATATTTGATTCATCATAAGGCCAAAAAAAATAAATGTTATGGTTCCGATTTCCTACATTTCAGAACTAGGGTAGGTAGGTAGGGTTTTTGGGGTTTTTTGCAAAATATTTTTACATTACTCATCGAGTCATGTGTCAGAAAATAAATTTAATTTATTATGTGGTGAGTAAAATTGTTAGGCTCGGCGGGAATATTTAGGGTCGGTCGGGAAATCGGAACCACAAGCAGCTGAAGCTCTTTTTTTTTAGGCCTAATCATATGGCATTACCTATGTCAGTACACATAAACTATAACTATGTCATTGTACATGTGTACAGTGTTAGTATATAAATGTATATACCATAACATGTTTGTCATCTTTGTGACATATTGTCACATATATATTTTGCTTCCACAAATACTACTATGGTAACTTAGAGTAAGACAGTTTTGAAAGATTGCAAAATGTTTTCTGGAAGTTCTTGTCATACACAAACACCTGACATTATTGCTTTGGTCAATGTCAAAATTCAGTTTTCAAATTTAAATTAATTACTGTGCCCTTACCTTCCTGTGTCATGCAATCTGAAAATAATTCAACCGCAACAGTTTAAGCATTTATCATGTTTATATCTTCATGTTTACCATGTTTACCATGTTTACCATGTTTACTGTACCGACATGCCCTGTATGAAGAACATATTTCATGGGCAAAGGGTTCAAGTTTAGATACTACTAGTAGTCTGTTAGTATATGACTGATAAAATTCTCAAAGGACTACCAGTAGTTTTTTCTCCCAAAATTTAGTGATGTTATAAAATACTTAAGCTGTGGACTATGGTGTAGGGTCAAGAGAATTCTAGGAACAAAATTTTCAGCCCTTAATGCACGTAGCATGTTTTGGAGGATGCCATTTCTCAAAACTATTGATACCCACAGGTACATAGCAAACTCATTAAGCTATGACAAAGTAATATTTCATCAATTTCAGTTTGAATGTTTATATCTTACCAACTTCGTTGAACTTTTGATTCAGCTGATCATTTCCTTGCCAACCTGTTAAAGCAAATGATGAAGTGAATCAGAAGTTCAAAAGCTCTACCAGGTGTCAGGGCATGTTGGTGAGACTAGTTAATGGTATATGGTTGTCAAAGTGCACATGCTATTGTTCCAGGTGCCTATTTAACAGATGTACCCTCCAGGTCACCCAGCATGCTGAAGAAAGACAGTTCTGTGAACAATGCCATGCGGAAGAGCACAGGGAACTTGGCAGCAGCGTTTTCTGGGTTGGTTTCTTCAGTGTTCTGTTACAAGAAAACATTGTGTGTTTTGAATGCATAGTAAATTTACCTGTGGATTTAACCCTGTGAACAATGACAAACTTTACATGCAAACTGAAATTTATTATTTACAGCATCCACAGGGATGCAGCGAGAAAAGTCCAAATACTTTTTGTACAAATTCCAATCAAGTAACAATAAGTTATCACTGAGTTTGCAACTAGCTGGGTTATGGTATCATTTGCAATTTGATTACTGTAACAATGTGATGATCATGATACACAATACAATAACAGTATTAATAATAATATTTAAGTGTCTGGGACCCCCATTTTGTAGTCCAGGACCCCTGAAAATTAAGAATATGAGTCCCAGGGACCCTCAAATACAGGATTCGAGGTAAATCCCTGATTGAATGAAGTGGCATTGTTTGTATCTGGTGTTTTCGGTGTTGTCAATCTGGAAAAAAGTCCAGAAAACATATTTCTTTATCAAAATATCAGATAGTGCCTTTGCTAGGAATACATTGTTAAGGTATTGTTTTATAAACCAGTATAGCAGTAGATTATTGTATGTTGCAGAAAGGTAAACAAGAGCCACAGTGATCTGACTGGTATAGAAGCCGAGTACATCAAGAATCTCCAGCAACAGATCTACTTCCTGGAACTCGAAGCCAACTATCTATATCCTTGACAACTGTCTTAGTGTTTGGAATCTTGAACCACATATTTGGAATCTTTAACCATATTTTCAATATTTAATGTCATTAATATAAAATCATGGTGGTCATCAAAATGTCTGTGGTGATAATGACGTTCAATGTGTAAAGTGGCCATGTGTATCAGGGGTGGAAATAACTTTAAAATTGCTAGTGTACTCCGGTAGAGTGGCACACGTAAAATCACTTGCCCTGATAATTTTTCCACTATACTGTCCGTTTTCTTGTTGATTTTTAAATAAACAACATAATTAACATTGGAAATCAACTGGACACCGGTACAGTGTCATATACAAATTTGCTTACCCGACAGAAAAAAACACTGGACTCGGACGTCGGGCAATGGGTTATTTCCACCCCTGTGTATTGAAGAACATAGTGTATGCCAGGATCTGGTGATGATGATGATGTTCAGTGTGTTTTCCTTGACTCCTGAGTACACGAAACCAGACAAAGAAGGCAACAGACATGCATCCTCAAATGACTGCTGAAGCTGAACACATGCTCACCAAACTGAGGGTATGTTTTTAATGTTTTGGCGTTCCCCAATTTTACTCCAGTTAGGTGCTCAATATTCTTTGAACCAGTTGTCCGAAATTTAATTCCAGAATATCGTAATATGAAAGTGGTAGCATTTCATTAATCAGAATCTGACAGAACAAAACTTGTTGTGAATGGTATGTGGAATACTGTTTAGATATATTTTATCATTATATGATTTCCTATTTAACTGAAATCATTTTTGTGTTAACAAAGCGGACACATGTTCAATGTTGCCTGAGCCATTCCTGTCTTGACATGAACCAGTAATTACTGGTTTGAGTAGTATAATATGACTTAGCAGGGGTGGAAATAACTTTAAAATTGCTAGTGTACTCCGGAACAGTGGCACATGTAAAATCACTTGCCCTGATACTTTTTCCACTATACCGGCCGTTTTCTTGTTGATTTTTTAATGGGCCTTATATCACTTTACCAATGGGCCTTATATCACTTTACCAATGGGCCTTATATCACTTTAAAAATGGGCCTTATATCACTTTACCAATGGGCCTTATATCACTTTACCAATGGGCCTTATATCACTTTACCAATGGGCTTTATCTCACTTTACCAATGGGCCTTATATCACTTTACCAATGGGCCTTATATCACTTTACCAATGGGCCTTATATCAATTTACCAATGGGCCTTATATCACTTTAAAATGGGGCCTTATATCACTTTACCAATGGGCCTTATATCACTTTACCAATGGGCCTTTATCATCTTTACCAATGGGCCTTATATCACTTTACTGATGGACCTTATATCACTTTACCAATGGGCTTTACACTTACCAATGGGCCTTATATCACTTTACCAATGGGCCTTATATCACTTTACCAATGGACCTTATATCACTTTACCAATGGGCCTTATATCACTTTACCAATGGGCCTTATATCACTTTACCAATGGGCCTTATATCACTTTACCAATGGGCCTTATATCACTTTACTGATGGACCTTATATCACTTTACCAATGGGCTTTATATCACTTTACCAATGAGCCTTATATCACTTTACCAATGCTCATCTTGTGTGTGCAGCAAATGCAGTCGGAGATGGATGGTATGCACACTGAGATGAGGCACAGGGAATCTGGGATGGCCGTGGCTAATGCTGAGAAAGAGAAACTTGAAGAACAACAGATGAATGAGAGAGGTACAGACTTTAAATGATATGAAATGCTTTCAAACCAAGACCAGTTGAACACAACAACTTATCTGCCCCTTCAGTCAGTATTGCCATTGGAACCAGTGCCCTTTGTCAGACCTTGACCAGCCACATCAGTGGTAGATAGTATGGGCATCAATCTATGTTCTTGTCAGGCTATGTCCTCCCACCTTGCCAGATGAACCATCAGATTTTATTGATAAATTGTGCCCATCTTGATTTTCAGACACATGGCAGCGAGAAAAGCGCTTGCTGACAGATGAGCTTATCACATTCAAGAAGGAGAAAGATCGCTGCCAGAGAGAGGTGTCTCGGAAGGACACACAGCTTCTGGAGGCAAAGTCAGAAGTAGACAAAAGTGCTTCTGCCATTAGGAATGCAGAGCTTCAGATTACAACTCTAAAGAGCCAGGTTGGTAGCTATGAATAGTCGGTTTTAGTAATAATCCAGCAATATCACAGCAGAAGGGGACACCAGAAGTGGGCTTTACATATTGCACCTGTGTGGGATATCTAGCCCACACCTTTGGTGTAACATTCAAACATTTTAACAGTGAGGCTAACCCACCATTCACCACCTCATTAACTACTCTACTCTTGGATGTAACTTTACATGTGACAATCACATCAACCTTCAGTATGGAGAAACCAACAATCATGAGGGAAGAAGATAAATCACTTTGTGGATATATTTCTCAGTCCAAATTGAACTAAATGTTAAACTTTTCATTTGTTTGATTATGCTTATTGCTCCCCGCCGCAATGCGGAACGGGGAACTATGTATTCAGCGGCGTCCCTCCGTACGTACATCCCGATTCTTGTTAACGTGATATCTCATGAACTGTTGTACCCAAAGTCTTCAAATTTGGTGACAGCATACATTGGGGGATTACGCAGACACCAGTTGATTTTGGGTGACCTTGACCTTATCTTCAAGGTCACCACAATACTTTGACCGCTTTTTAAAGGCGATATCTCATAAAACATTGCACCCAATGTTTTCAAGTATGTTGACAGCCTACATTGGGTGATTATGCAGACACCAGTCATTTTCAGGCATCTTGTATGTGACCCCAAAATAAAAAGTAGTAAATATAGATATTCCATTCTTTAGCGGCGGGGGACATTGCCATATCAGTGGCAAACACTTGTTTTCCTTTGACTTTATGGACAGTTTGACAAAACCTCTAAAAATGACATTAAAAACCTCCTCGGATTATATCGCACTTATGTTAGAGATACATAGAGGCTACTTATACTCAAAATTCAGTGAATGTTTGTCCATTCTGGTTCTTTCTGTGTACATGTGTTTATCATGCACTTCATGTGTATTTAGTTTCACCAAACTACGATCTCAAGGTTATAAGAATGTTGTGAAGAATGTAAAGTGAGACCAAGAACAAATCTATCTTCAGTCACTTATCATTTTTATTTCCCCAGCATGTAATGCGGGGGGATATAGTCGACACTTTGTCCGTCTGTCCATCCGTAATCACTTTGTTTCCGGAGCATAACTCAACAAAAATTGGTAGATATATCAAACAGAACCTAAGGTGGTGCCTTTTGGTGTTTACAGATTTTTGTCATTTTTCTTTTTCTTTGTTTCCATGGAACTTAGACTCAAAAGGGAGGGGTGATCTTTGTTTCCGGAGCACAACTCGAAAACCGTTCAATATCTTTCTTCAAGACTTGGTAGATTTTTATAAACCTCCAGTGACGTCACTCTAATGTCTCGCCAGGTTCTCCTTTTACCAAGTAAAGATATCCCGTGGATTTTCTACAGAATTGCCCACATCCCGGGTATTTTCTGAGGAATAGCCCTTGACTTGAATTATTACTTGCTTTGAAGATTGATCTAACTTCGTCTTGCTATCACTGAAATTGATCGTAAAATATCACATTATTGAAAACTTCCAATGTGCAGTGCCTGCTTACTAGCTTGGCGGTTTTATCCACTAAGCTACGAAAGATGAACCATGTGTTCCTCACAAGATGGGTACTGCGGGCAGCGCACGTGCAGGACACGGGTAGCGCGTGCAAGAGTGCGTGCATGTGTAAGGCAAGGTGTCGGCTGCCAGTCGCATCCCAGTTGATTTCAACAGTAAATACCAAATATCAAATTTATATCTAAAAAATATCTTCGGTCGGTTCATAAGTTGTATCAAAACCACGGAGTAGGTTTTGTTTAAAAATGAAAACCCTTGGCCACGGGAAATTGGGTTGGGGCCTTCGCCCTCCCAATTCCCTCTGCCGCCATACATTTTCAAAATCTTTCGGAGTCGGTTTTGCTCATTTACATGAAACATAAGCTAAAGTGGTGCCTTTTGCTATTTGCAGATTTTTGGCATTTATATTTTTCATGATTTCCATGGAAACGATTTGGACTTCGTGAAAAAAATCAAGTTGGACTTTAAGTAACTGTCAGTTGATGTGTTTATGGGGGCCAGGGGGATTTGTCATCTTCGGATGACTGTTGTTTATCTTAACAATAAGGACTAAAGTTTTATGATACACAAAAATGCAGTGTGGATTGGTTGGTTGTTTAATGCCGCACTCAGCAACATTCCAGCTATACTGCGGTGCAGTGATGAGTGCACTGTGACATATGTAGCGTGTGCTGTACTGATGGCTGTTTGTTCTCCCTAATGCAGCTAGATCAGCGAGTAGAGCAGCACAAGCTGACACAGCTCAACCTAGAGGAAAAGAGGTCTGAGCTGCTGACAGTGGAGACACAACTCCGGGAGTTGGAGGAGAAGTACTACAGCAGCACAATCACGATACAAGACAAGGTCACACAGGACCTTCGGGTAGGTCACAATACAAGACAAGGTCAAACTGGACCTTTATGAAGGTCACAATAAAGGGCAAGGTCACACAACCTCAAAGTAGGTTACATGACAATGTCAAACTGGACCTTTTGGTAGGTCAAAATACAAGACAAGGTCAAACTGGACCTTTTGGTAGGTCACAATACATGACATGGTCAAACTGGACCTTTTGGTAAGTCACAATACAAGACAAGGTCAAACTGGACCTTTTTGAAGGTCACAATACATGACACGGTCAAACTGGACCTTTATGAAGGTCACAATACAAGACAAGGTCAAACTGGACCTTTATGAAGGTCACAATAAAGGGCAAGGTCACACAACATCAAAGTAGGTTACACGACAATGTCAAACTGGACTTTTTGGTAGGTCACAATACAAGACAAGGTCAAACTGGACCTTTTTGAAGGTCACAATACATGACAAGGTCAAACTGGACCTTTTGGTAGGTCACAATACAAGACAAGGTCAAACTGGACCTTTTTGAAGGTCACAATACATGACACGGTCAAACTGGACCTTTATGAAGGTCACAATACAAGACAAGGTCAAACTGGACCTTTATGAAGGTCACAATAAAGGGCAAGGTCACACAACCTCAAAGTAGGTTACATGACAATGTCAAACTGGACCTTTTTGAAGGTCACAATACAAGACAAGGTCAAACTGGACCTTTTTGAAGGTCACAATACATGACAAGGTCAAACTGGACCTTTTGGTAGGTCACAATACAAGACAAGGTCAAACTGGACCTTTTTGAAGGTCACAATACATGACACGGTCAAACTGGACCTTTATGAAGGTCACAATACAAGACAAGGTCAAACTGGACCTTTTTGAAGGTCACAATAAAGGGCAAGGTCACACAGGCCATCTTGGTAGGTCACAATACAAGAAAGGGTCACACAGGACGTCATTAGTAGGTCACAACATTGCATGCACGTAATGATTTTCTTCATTCTATCACAAGAGTCTGACAAAGACATCTCAAGGCTTCAATTATTCTTGATATTTTGTTTGATGTTGGTATAGTGGTATCACTCAGACACCTATATCCATGTCTTGGAGTCTCCAGAAGCATAATCAAGCGTCCACAGGACTCACAAATAGAAAGCGGACGGCTTACTTATTCATCCCATTTCTAGTTTCCTTGGCACCATTCATCATTATATCGTCAGGACATGTCATCAATGAGTTTTGGATCGTTCCAGGATGAGATCCGCTACCTGAGACAGAAGCTGAAGGAGACAGAGCTAGCGGCAGAGAAAGACCGCTACCTGCGCGACAAGGTATCAGAAGACAGTTCCCACCTGGTGAAGGAGAACGCCATGCTCAACCAGCAGATCTCAGAGTTACAAAAACAGATGGAAAGGGTAAGATGCTGTGTGGTGTCTCACTACAAGGGCTTCAACATATAGTTATTATATAGAATGGTATAATATAATGGGAATCAGTACAATTCACTTAAGCAAATAATGGAGAAAAAGTACAGAGGTATATTTACCATGTTAAACATTCTTCATAGGGCAATGCAAGATAGAAAGGATAGGAGTTTGAATTGAACTTTCATTCAGGCCCCAAATCAGAAATTAAAGGGGAGATAACTCAACTATTTTTGTCTCAACATGTGTTCGCAGACGTTAATGATAAGTGGTTTTATCTGAACACAATTTCCCATCAATGAAGTTGAGAAATAGGTCGAAATGTTGATTGTCTGTCATGTATCCTTTGACACTGTGTACTCAAATTCAGGGTGTTGTTATACAAATCAATCTGACCTTAAGGTAACATAGACTTACTGCGGTCATAGCACCAAGGTTGTTTTATACAGTGGCGTCTCAGGTTTTGTGACCTGAGTTGTCTTCCTATTTTCTTCTACCCATAAGAGCTGTAGTAGGTACCACAGGTGTTAATATGGATATCTTGTTGCTTTTCAAGACATGAAATAGAGTGTCCTTCTTCAGATTCTGGGGGGGGATGGGGTAGCTTAGTGGTCAATGCGTCACTCGTCACGCTGAAAACCCGGGTTCGATTCCCAACATAGGTTCATTGTGTGAAACCCATATCTGGTTTCCCCCGTCATGATATGGGTGGAATATTGCTAAAAGCAGCGTAAATCTAAACTCACTCACTCACTCACTCACTCTTCAGATTCTAGGTGCATAATAGTTGCGAAAGTCAAAGTATTATGTCTATTCATACCTTTATCTTGCATTACATTTGGCACATCACTCTTACAAACAAAGTTCTAACTGGAAATAAATATGATGATCAAAAAGCATTTATGTAATGTTTCATCATTGCTGGTGTTGTAGGAACGTGGCTTGAGGGAAAGCAACGACCAACGTCATTCTGATAACATTGCGGAACTTGTGAATAGTCGCGACAAGGAGAAACAACTACAGTTTGAAAGAGAACAGCTGCGGGAACAACTGCGACGAGAGTCTGAGAAGGGTCAGCATTACTTGGAAGAGGTAAGACATAGTGCAGAATCAGACCTTTTACTCCAGTATGGTTCCTCTTTCGTGAAGATTTGACAAAGCTTGAATCATTGTTTATAGGAGGTAAAATAAGGTAAAATTTGAGATTGACAAATAGCGCCAAGGTGTCTGATTCTTGGCTTGAATTAAATAAGCACTCAGAGCAGTGTATCAAATGTCTGTATCTTGAAAAATATAATCAAGGGACAGTTCTGAATGGAAGTAATAAAGGCTGTGATATTTTGTTGGGTGTTTCTGCTGATAATTTAGAGACCCTTGTCTTTCTGAGCACTATGGTATCTACATGAAACAGCTAGGAATATTTGTAGTTTGTCTATATTTTGTTTTGTTAACATCTCAAGATGATAACAAATGAAATCAAACATTTTTAGAAAGCTTTCATTTAGATCTGGCTAGCTATTCTCAAAACATTCGTAGCTCCAAGAACTTCTTAAGCCCATTCTTAACGCATTGGCTATGATCAAAGTTAAGAATTCTTAGGGCTTCAAATGTTTCGAGAATAAGTGCCCTGGCAGTCAAATTATGCTCAGATTTCCTGATTATGACCAGATACTTAGCACAGAAGGACAAGGGTTGCATACATTATCTGAGGCATGCGTGGTTAAGTTGTCTGGAGCACTGCTATTCCATTGTCAGAAGTTTAGGCTTTCAGGGAGTTAAGTAGAGTCCGAATAGATATGGTGGACACGGTTTGAATATGTTTATAGGGTCGTCTGACTGGACGTCACCAAAGTGGTGAATGTCTGGGGTATTCATCATTCAGGGCTTTTTTCCCACATTGAGCTGATGCCCATGATTTGTTAAGTAAAATACTGTTCAAAGAGTTAATATTAATCTCTCATCTTTGTATGAACTATATTGTTATGGTAGGATGTGCCAACTCACACTACATGCACCACATCAGACTGTGGTTTTCCTGTTTCTAACAAAATTCACTCTTAGGATTCCAAACAGGAATATTGGTTGTAAGAGGCAACTAATGGTTTGGGTGGTCAGGCGAGGTACCTTGGTTGATTTCGGTATACCCCAATTGTGTAGATCGATGCTCATTATATCAGTCACTCTATTGTCTGGTCTGGATTCGATAATTTACAGACCACTAGCAAACTGGATTAGTTTTGAGTGCAGCAAGAAACAACAAACAAATTTCACACGATTACATTTGCTATTAATTGCTACAACTACAATCAAAACTCCCTCTTATGGGTATTTTTGAGATTCTAAAACACATTTCAGAAAATGCCTTTCAAAATACCTCTTTTTTTTCTGCGTTTCTAAACTAAAAACATAATACAGTCAAGCTCTCGTTAATCCGACACTTGTGGTTGCAGAGAAATATGTCGGATTAACGAAAATGTCGGATTAATGAAAATGTCGGATTAATGTATTTGTGTGAAAATATCAATGTTTACTAAATGTCATGATCGTCATACTGTTGCATGCATATCAGAAATGGTAGATCTAGTTATCTTCATCGTATGTAAAAATATTCACAGAAATAAAAAATACTAACAATACATACTTGTTTTCATTTATTAACATTCATAGATGGCATAACATACATATACAATCACATAAACGAACAGTTTCATATCTATTTCAGGCGTGTATCATAACATATATAATTTATAACCTGAAAAAATCTTTGATGGTCATTAACATCAAACACATCTAAGTGGTGTGTCAGAAATGTTTGCAAAGTGTTCAACGATGTTTTGGCCTCAGATAGCTTGAAGCATGTCAGATACGGTTGATCGTCCAATCTTCACATCAAACTTCTGCTCAGCAAAAGTGATGACTTCTTGTTGTGTTGTCTGGGGTTTGTCTTTCTTCAAAAGGGGATTTCTTTCTTGATCAATGGCGTAACTTCTACAAGGGGTCGCTTAGCAGGTGGTGTACTCGTGACCAATATCTTGTGATGAAAACTCATGTCGGTTGTATCATAAACATTTTATACAGCTCGCTCCACTGTTATTTCTTGATTAAATCGTCTCAATTAATTATCCTGTGTTCCTAATTAACAAGTTTGATGTTCACTGACGCCGCTGTCAAGCAGCCAGTAAGGCACACGCTAATTATCACTCACGTGTGATTGTTTGTATACGGTCGGATCATCCGACCGGCTGTGTTGATTGTCGGATTAACGAATGTTTTTACACTGTATTTACAATAATCAGCTGCTAGATTGGTGTGTCGGAGTCGAAATGCGAGAATGTCGGATTAACGAGAGTAATTATCACTGTTTTAAATGGTTCCCTAATTTTGGTCGGATTAACGTGATTGTCGGATTAATGAGTGTCGGATTAACGAGAGCTGACTGTAGTTAGTATTCTCATCTCAGATTTATTGAAGTTATATTTCTGATATGCTGGTAATCTTTTGTAACAGCTCACAAAGAAAGAAACAACACATAGCAGCACTGAGCATCAACTGACCTCAGCCCAAAACCGTATGGGAGAGCTGGAGGGCATGCAGGTGGCTGCTGATGCTGAGAACACCCAGCTGAGACGAGACAAACTGCTGCTTGTGGACCATGTGGCTGACCTTCAGGCCAAGGTAAAGTCAGGGAGGGAGCGGCATGGTTTAACGGTCTTTTAACAATATTCCAGCAATATCAAGGCGGGCTTGCCAGAAATAGGCTTCACACATTTTTCCCATGCGGGGAATCGAACCCAGATCTTCAGCATGACGACACTACGGGTTTTTTTAACCAGTCACTTGCCCATGGTGTTGATCACTGGATTGTCTGGTCCAGACTCGATTATTTACCGACTGCCACCATATAGCTGGAATTTTGCTGAGTGCGGCGTTAAACAAATTCCAAACCATAATCCTATGTTTCCTTCCAATTTTTATCCCCTTGATATGGTTTAAGTCGCACTGTGCTTTAAACAAATGTTCACTCATTCACCTCCCACCTTCTGTTACAGCTGGAGATGAAGGACCGGGAGGTGCTGCAGCTGCAACATGAAATCGTATCAATGGAAGCTCGTCTCAACGAGTTCGAAAGTGACAACAACCTGGAGCATACTGTACAGAGTCAGAAGTGGGAGGAGTTCGGGCGGCTAGCCGAGAGTATGCGAACACTGTCTCACACTATGGCAGCACAGTCCGTCACCCCACGCTCCAGTACCAAGATACTCCGATACTGAAGCTCAGCACACAACGACATATACAACACTATATTACTCTGCCAATTATAGTCTGTATGAAGAGTCTTCTTATGGCGTTATGCATCTTGACAGTATAAATGAGGCATTATTTTGAATTATGAATGAAGGAATGAAATAGAGTATTTTCTTATAAAGTGAACATACATTTGTTGAATGTTAAGTATTTCTTGATCATGTTTATATGCCCATTTGAGTGTATGATCTTATTATTGTTGATTTAATGTTATGTGTATATGGACAACTGTAAGTCTTTTGGCAACTTAAGGGTGTCTGCTGTTATACTTGTGTTTAAATTTTAGTGACTCAAAAAGTCCTGAAGCTTAGTTCTGTTGTGACATTTTTAACTGCCAACACTATGGAATGCAGCCAGCTTGTTAGACATCTGATTGAACAAGTTTCAAAAGATTCAGTATTTCTGTTACCAAGTAGTAATGCCTCAGAATTGATATTGTGTTTATTTGAACACTTATCATTGGAATAACTATAAGTAGAATAACCATCTGTTATAATTCCATCCTTGAAAAAGTTAAATACATTCTTTCAGACCAATGGACATAGTGATACCTCTTTATTTTATAAAAACAATGAAATATTACCTCATGTCAACTGTTTATTGTTTTACTCTGAAATGTTGTTTCTAGTTGAACTGGAAATGTTTAATCATTTTCTTACATTTGAAAATGTCTCAGAGAAACCCTGTGTAATTGAGATTACCAAATTTATGGAATCATGGGTACTCAGTTATCTCCCTTAAAATATACATGTATGTCTCTATTTTCCAGTAAACAATGTGTTGATATTCCAAGATTCCAGATGCTTTTACCGGTAGTCAGGTTCTGTCTCAGTTAAATTTTATTTAACTGCATATTTTGCAAATTCCTGTCTTTAAGTTTACTGTGATAAAAAGGTCTGCTTGAATGAAAAAATCAAAGATAGAAAAGATTGGCATGTTTGTGTTAAGTCAGCATTTTCTGTACCAAAGATAATCCACTTGATGTCAGAAAGATAGCCAACAATCAGTGCATGTAAACCATAACTGTCCTGTACGCTCTACTGCTAGGCAACATCCACTAATGTAATTATTTGATTTTTTAATATATCATTTTTACATTTTTAGTTAAATGAAGCTCAATACAAGAGAGAGCATTCACTGATAATGTGTATTTTCAGCTGTTCGTTTGAGGTTTATGGGCCAGCTTGTTAGAAAAAACAAACTAGTGACACATGTTCTGGGAATGTTCTCTTACAGTTCTTAGTTGCAGACATGCTCTGTTTTAGTTTCTTTCTTGGTTATTATAATCAGATGTTCCTGTCCACTGTTGTTTGTATTCAGTATCCGTCCATTATTTTTATTTATTCCAATCTCTGTGATTTTGCTCGATATTACATTTTTATTTCATTCAGTCTAGGTGTTACTCAAATATTTATCTACACTCTCTACTTTGTAACCGAATGCCATGACCATAGAAGTGAATATACTTCTTTGAACTTAGTGGTTTTTCGAGCATGATAGAATCCGTAGTCTATGGATAAATCCTATATATTTGTTGTAATTAATATAACATTAGTGCGGTATTCATTGTATTAAGATGTAGATTTAATTTACAATCTAATACTGATTCCAGATATTCGATGTAATGAATAAAAAGCATCATAACAATCCATGACTTTCATTTCAACGTCAGCAAGAATATCAAGGTAGTCATGATTATTTGTCACTACTATCGTGACAGCAGTGGTCTTACCATGGTCATGTTTGTAGAAACAGTTGAAACTATGTCTTGAAGCTAGCTCACTGTTATGTCAAGTGTGTGTGTCCATGCACTGCATGATAAAGGGAGAAACCCACTGCCATCGAAAGAAGAGTGAGTGAGTGAGTTTAGTGTTACGTTGCTTTGTAGCAATATTCCAGCAATATCACTGAGATACCATGCCGCAGTGAAGCATGGGACACCAGAAATGGGCTTGTTGACACATTGTGCCCATGTAGGGGAATCGAACCCGGTCTTCGACGCTGTCGAAGCTAACTCCTAACCACTAGGCTATCCCAGGCGGTCTCCATTGAAAGAAGACATAACAAGACAGGTCACTATATAATATTTATCAAGTATATGTTTGTTTTGAGACAAATACACATAGTCAATATGTGATGCTGACATGCAAAATATAAAACTCCATACTGATGTACACCTGTACACTGGGTAACATGTAGGTCTTTCCGTCTTTGTGTTTGACTCCATTACTCTCTTTCAATAATCAATATTTCACATTCAACATGCACAGATTCTATACATATCAAAAGTAAGTTTTGTAATTGCTGAATATATATTCTTACGTCATGCAGAGATACAATGATTGCATATCATGCTTATCATTTCAAGTATGTCAAGTATGCCATTCTCTGCTTACAAAGTCCTATGATCACCATAATACTGATCTACACAAGTGGAGCTATGGACATGAAAGACAAAATATCTTCCCACTATCGACAGTCACTCTGGTTTGTCCATGGTATGTGTCCATTTGGGTTTTCGCTTGTCAATGAAAGCTCTAATTCCCTCAATACCATCATTCAGTGACAGGTTATCCACCATCACTCCTCCAGCAATTCTGGGGGGTAAAGTAACATTATTTTCATTATTTGTGCATGTACAAAAAAGGAAAAAACAAAATACACATTGAAAACATGGTGTTACAGGTATCATCATTTGGTAGTCATTTATGAATATCAAACAAGAAAGAAAGTCACACTTTTGTCTCACAGGCCCTCGTGTCTTTGCGAGGATTAAAACAATAACCCCCGACACAGTACAATACATCATGACAAGGCTGGACACACTACGCTACCATCGCTTGCAATCGATTAAAACTGTAAACATAAACATGGATGATTGGCCTATTGATCACCACTCATGACACTTATACCAATTCTTTATTGTTATTTTTGCACGTCGGTTGAAACCCGATTTTGACCCTCAACTAAACGATCTAGTCACAAATGGATGATAATATCTCTGCACAAAATTTGGAGGGGGTTTCGAAGCAAGCCCTCTGGTTGGTCGGTGCAATTCGAGTTGGGGGTCATCTCAATTTTTTAAGATTTTTTAAAAAATCTTTAATCCTCACAATGACACGAGGGCCTGTGCTTTGTCTACCAGGAACAGTTTGAAATGCACATACAGACTTGACTATCCTTTTATCTGCCTTAGCTGAAATAATGTGTGTAATATTTCAGTCTGTACATAACCGAGTCTGGACCAGACAATCCAGTGTTCGACATCATGAACATTTATCTCCACAACTGGAATACCTGGACATGCATCAACCATGTGCCCACCCTGACCTGACCTGACCTGCCCACCCAATCCTGTCCGTTACTTTTTTCGACAAGCATAAGTTGGTAAAGATCAATTCTAACCAAGATTTTCATGGGCCAAATTCATGTACAATTCAAAGTCAAAGTCAAATATATTTATTGTACTTAAGGCCTCCGGCCCATATACAAGTAATACAAGTATATATACAGCACATGTTACAGACATTTCACAAAGAAATTACAGTTCAGATAAGATGTTGCTTCTAAGGAAAACAGCATGTTTTACATAAAGTGCAAGATTACGTATTACATTTTCATTTTTGGAGGATAGAATGGAAGCAAAGGCAGATGAAGGATATTTTAACAGGTAATTATTCGGGATATATTTTTTTCTTAAATCAGCATAATGTGGGCATATAAAAGCGAAGTGAATTTCATCTGCTATAGCCGAGATACATAATGGACATATCCTTAAACGTCTCTCTATTGAAAATCGTCTGCCCTTATTTACTGATAAGTCTAACAAGCCAAATCGAAAATTGACAAGTGTGCGTCTGATATTTCTAGATGTCAATACAGATAGATATAGTTCTGGTTGAATTAAGCTCTTATGTGATCTATACAACTGGTATCTTGAACTATTGTCTAGACAGGAATGCCATTCTTGATAATACATGCTAACAGATTGTTCTCGAAATTGCTTAAGAAATTGATTAATATTACCAACTGTTTGATTTAGCCACACAAATCCAAAGCCATGAGAAAATAAAAGAGTTCTAATATGAGACGCCCATGTTGTCTTACCCCTATCATCTAAATGTACAAGCATGTTATAAGCTAGTTTGGGGATTCTTTGTTCGTGCATTCCAAGGATCTTTAACCAATATTTTAAACATCTGATTTGTGAATTTATATATACCGGATATCTACCGCATTCTCCATAAACCATACAAGTTGGTGCTGCTTGCGCAACATTTAAAAATCTTTTACATGCTAAAAGGTGTAGTTTCTCTAGACATTCATGACGTTGAAATCCCCAAATTTCAGACCCATAAAGCATAATCGGTTGGATTTGTGCATCAAACAATTTAAAATATATTTTCGGGGTTAAGATTCCAAAATTCTGGGAAACTGGCATAACATTAATAAGAGCCTTCTTAGCATGTGATTTCAGGTCTATAACACTCTTTTTAAAGTTCATGGTATGGGAAAACAATAGTCCGAGATATACTGATTAACAATAGATAAATTTTTGCCACTCAAAAACCATTTTTCTTTAGAGGCGACAGGCCCACCTCTTCTAAAGATAACTATGTTTGCTTTTTCAAAATTAACAAATAATTTCCATTCATTTGTATAATGTTCCAAAATATTCAGTTGGTTTTGTAGACCGACGATAGTATCAGACACTAAGATTACATCATCGGCAAAATTCAAGACTGCAACATTCATGCATGTTACAGCTGTTAACAAGTAGTAGTAACAATTTAGACATATCAACATATATACAGGAAAATAAATGTCAATTAAAAGAAGTTTCCTTTTTGAAATATTTCAGCATGACATAATATCCACTTACTTGTAGGCTTTTCGTCTTTCCAGATTCATCTGAGCATAGAAAGTAGCTTTCCCTAGGGCGGTAACACTTCTACTTGTCTCACAGATCCTGTTGGCAATCTTCATCGTCTGGAATCAAGTCATACAGAGATGAAACAATGTGCGTGGTCAGTCTGAGTCCAGACATCATTTCACCTCCTTAGCAGTGTCCTGCCTCCTTGCTCAAACCCATTTTCAGGTGGAATAGTGATGGTTCAAGTGTCTGATCCAGTCTACATATTTCCAACTTATTACACATAATGATAATAATATTTGTAATATAACTAAATTTAGGCTTTCACAATTAGCACTGCATAGAGCGGTTGACATTTTGTTGTTCCACAAAGAGCAATGTTACAGCTATACAACAACGGCCTACAGATACAAAACAGTCTTGAACAGACCTATCTTTAATTAATACCCATTTCTGGTGTCCCCCGCCGTGATGTTGCTGGAATATTGCTAAAAGCGGCGTAAACCAAACTCAGTCAGTCAGTCAGTTTAATTAATAATAATATTTGCAATATAACTAAATTAAGGCTTCCACAATTAGAATTGCCTACAGCGGTTTACATTTTGTTGTTCCGCAAAGAGCAATATTACAGCTAAAGCCCAACAACCTACAGATACGAAACAGTCTTGACCAGACGTATCTGTAATTGATAACATGCAACCATACATGTTTAAAGTGCCTTTCAGTGTTGGCTTGAGATCATTTCTACAGGGTAGTAGCCCATTATATAATCCCCTGGAACTTGGGATGGGTGGCTCAGTGACCTTTAACATAGCAAATGCCTATGTTGTCCCTGTATATAATCCATAGTTGTGGAGTGTCAGGCCTGCATCATTGTCAGCTTTCCTCCTCATTACTTTCTGATGACTGACAAACTGCCAAACACAATGGAGACTGCTGCAGAATATATTGCATGTATCCTCTGGACGTGAGGACCCAGTGGTCTCAACCATCACCGGTACAGCGTGTCTATAATTTGAAACAGTTTCCCCCAAATATGAAACTAGTCAGCAGATTAAGTGTGACCTTGGCCTTCACCAAATTCACTTCCAGGTTTCTTCCTTCAGTTCTGAGTGGACTCAACTCATACCTGCTAGATGTACTAGATGTACCAGACGTAATGTAAGTAAATGTAGCTGATGTACTGTCAATTCTTACCTCTTCATCAAGCTTGTCCTCTGGAACCACTCTACTCACAAGACCATGCAGCAACGCATCTGGAGGTTAAACAAGAAAACAGCCTTACCACCATACTCTCCACAGGGCACAGTAGCATTTTGTTTGTTGATGTACTAATGTAGTGTATGGCACCAGTTCAGTTCAGTTATGGCACGTATATCATATAACCATGAAATAAAATAAGGATCAAGGACTTAACTGTATAGAAAGGATAATTTATGTCAATAATTTTCTAAATCAGTCTTGACAATTATCTCTTGGATAGACAAGCACACTTTCAGCATGTTATTCATGCATATTTCAGAGACAAGCTAGCCATATTTCACACGCTTTCAGCTGATCTGAAAATCCTTTAGCAAAGACCCTAACTCTGCAAAGAGTGAACTTGTGCAACAATTTCTGAACAAAGTGAGATTATGACCAGTAACATCTGTATGCTATGATGATTTGTGGCACTTATACTGGTGGGTTAGTTAATGCTTCACTCATCACGCTGAAGACCTGGGTTCAATTCCCCATATGGGTACAATGTGTGAAGCCCCAGCCGTGATATTGATGGAATATTGATAAAAGAGGCCTAAACCATAGTCACTCACTCACTTATACTGAAAAATGTAATTTTTTGAGTAAAATTGATATTTTATACTTATCCTGACTCATGCTCTTTTTGCTTGTCTCCTTCCTCTTGCGAACATAGTGGAACACTTGTATCTCCTAATTGAAGTTCCCTTCAATGTAAAATCACTCAATTAGTACACCACGAAAGCCACCTCCCTTCCACAAGCTGAACCAGGGGCCACCTCTACCCATGTGCCTCATACCTCTCTCCTCATATACTGAGCCCAACATTTGAATTTACAGGGAAATCCAAAGTGTTATTTGGGAGGATGGGAGGAGTTGATTTCATGAGTCAGGATAAGTATAAAATATCAATTTTACTCAAAAATTACATATTTTTCCTTATCCTGACTCATGCTCTTTTGCTTTGTAGAATCCAAACAGAGCCGGAGGTGGGAATATATAATACTTTGGATTTTAATAATTAGTGATTTGAACTGTGATGATTGTAATAACCCTATGGGAACTTCATAAAGGCATTGAACTGATGATTCCTGCTGCCAGCTTATCAGCTGCCATATAGAGGTTATTACAATGTACTTCTATTATGATAAGTATATATAATATTAATACAATGCTTAAGACTAATAGACTTAAGCTTGTTAATATGCTAGTATAAACTCCTTAGAGTTTGTTAGCTAAAATACTTTAAGATATAAACATAGCACTAAGCTTAAAAATATGATTAATTTTAAGCTAATTATATAATAACAAACCCTTTAGGGTTTGTTAGTTAAAATATTTATATGATATAGACAGTGCTGAGCTTAAGATATGAATAAGCTTAGCTATATATATAACAGCAAACTTTGTAGAGTTTGTTAGCTAATACATTTTACAATATGAGTATAGTATTGTGCTTAAGATATAATTATCTTAAGCTACATATATAATAGCCAAACTTAGTAGAGTTTGTTAGCTAATATATTTTTACAATATGAGTATAATACTGTGCTTAAGATATAATTAACTTAAGCTACATATATAATAGCCAAACTTAGTATAGTTTGTTAGCTAATATATTTTTACAATATGAGTATAGTACTGTGCTTAAGATATAATTAACTTAAGCTACATATATAATAGCCAAACTTAGTAAAGTTTGTTAGCTAATATATTTTACAATATGAGTATAGTACTGTGCTTAAGATATAATTAACTTAAGCTACATATACAATAGCCAAAAACTCTGTAGAGCTTATTAGCTAATAGATTTATAATGTAACCATAGTACTAAGCTTAAGATATGATTAGACTTAAGCTAAATGTATATAGCAAAAACTCCTTAGAGTTTATTAACTAATATACTTTTTATGTTATAAACATAGTACTGAGCTTAAGATATGATTAAACTTAAGCTATATATATATAATAGTAAAACTCTCGTAGAGTTTGATAGCTAATACATTTTATTATGTTGATTTAGACCTAGTATTGAGCTTAAGATATGAAGTAAACCTTAAGCTAAATATATAATAGCAAAAAACCTTTAGAGTTTTAATAGCTAATATAATTTATATGGTATCAACATAGTATTGAGCTTAAGATATGAAGAAACCTTGCTACATATGTATAGCAAAACCCCGAGAGTTTGTTAGCTAATACATGATATAATGTAACCATAAAGCTTAAAATATGATGAAAACTTAAGCCCAATATATAATAGCAAAAACTCTTTTAGAGTTTTGATAGCTAATATACCTATATGCTATAAACATAGTACTGCTTTTAAGATATGAATAAGCTTAAGTTACATATATAATAGCAAAAAACTCCATAGAGTTTGTTAGCTAATACATGTTATAATGTAACCATATTGCTTAAGATACGATGAAACTTAAGCCAAATAGCAAAAGCTCTTTTAGAATTTGTTAGCTAATATAGTTATATGATATAAACATAGTAATTGAGCTTAAGATATGAATGAGCTTTAAGCTACCTATATAATAGCAAAACTCCAGAGTTTGTTAGCTAATGTATTTTACAATATGAGTATAGTACTATGCTTTAAAATATACTTGACTTAAGCTACGTATATATAATAGCCAAAAAACTCTGTAGAGTTTGTTAGCTAATGCATTTATCATGTAACCACTGTGATGATAAAAAACGAGCTTAAGCAAATTATATATAGCATGAAGCTATTTAGTACTGTTATAAGATAAGTAAAAATCTGTAAGATTGACTTATCTTCTCCGAGGAACTGTCAACTGTTGTGCAAGGACCATGGGATCAAATTGGTGGATACCTGAGATGTCCTCGGTGGTGATATCTCTCAGATAATGGTTGGCAACCACCATATCGGATCTACAGTAATAAACCCTCCATTATTTCAAATAACATTTGTGTAGATGAAATTGTAGAAGTTAGCGCTCTAATATCAAGAGTATTAAAGCTCATGGAGGGTCGGATTAGGTCCATCTGTCTTGTATGCACGTAGTATGACAGTTCTGATCCAAACGGAGATATAGTACGTGAGACTACACTCTGCGTAAGTTGATGATAGAGGAAAAAATCTGTTGTATTTTTCCTTCCTGTTTGGTTTGGTGGAGATAAATTTACAGTGCTCTTGCTGGCCAGCGTGATAGCATCATCGTATCATGGAGTCCAAGTATGTCATCCAGGCATGTTCATAAACCTCACTTGTGAGGGTGTTGTAGCACCATATTCATATCCCCAAGTTGGTACGTGAAACTTCCGTTTATTCTCCAAACAGAAACTTAGTAGGTTTACTAACCATCTAGTTGTGTTAGTAGCTTGATGATGAATTCAGGTGTAGTCTGAAACGCTGTGGATTTCGATCCACTTGTATCACGTCGTCTAGGTAAATCGTTGCGATGTCCTTGACGATGTATGTGCACAACCGGGAGTTTGTGTCCTCGATGAACTTTATGTAAAATCGCCTGACTGCTGTGCCCTTGTCTAAACTTGACAGGGGAGGTCTCTAACCTGAAGAAAGCAGCCTAATCCTGAAGGTTCAGGTTAACTGGGCTGTAAGGAGGCTTGCTCGTTCATTGATATAAAGTTGTCACTTGCAACCTATGTCTTGAACTGTGAACTATGCTCGACCTCTGTGTAGGGCGTTGTTCATCGGGGTCCAATCAGAATAAGGCATTTTGATTCTGTAGAGTACCCGCGCTGTGATGTCACCGGTGTAGCAGGAAAAGGAACCTTGTATAATATAGTGCCGTCGTTGATATTAGAACAATCGTCGGTCTTCATCGTAACTTCCCGAAGTTACCCGAGTGACCACGTGTTTCGAGGATTAATGGTAAACGCGCGAAAGCTTCGGCGCAAAATACCTCGCTCTGTAATATTAATGCTGGGTAGGTTATTTTCCTGGCTGTCGAAAGTGCTTCAGTTTTGAATATAATTCCGACTTCTTTATATATAAAGGTACAATAACTTGTAAGTTGTCAGCTTGTAGACTGTATACATGAATGTATCGTCATAATTGTAGAATTAAAGCTGAATTTGTTGTACATATTTCTTCTCAGAAATGTTGACGATTATGAGTTATACTCGCTGTAACAAGGCTGCTGTTCAATTTCGATATTGAATTGTCTGCAGATATGCGTAATGGTCACGCATGTAGATAATCGTATCGTCGTCCGGGATTGCATATACTAGCAATTTATACGGAATAGTTGATTTCTGTGAAGATCTATGAAACGTCGTTGACAAATTAATACAGCGACGTTCTGTGTTGTAAATAGCCTGTGCAATTGTCTTCGCGTAGGCTTATAGACGGCATCTGGCATACAGTTGATAGACAACTTATGCGATGTCTTGAACGGACTGAGGAGTAGCTATATATGACGAGTGGCTAGTATATGGAGACCTTGGAGGAGACTTCCTCGGTGAACGCCGGAGACTTCACGAAGCTCGAAGTATCCCTTCTAGATCTACTGGTGAAGTAGACTTGGAGTTAACCACTTAGCCTTCGCGACCTTCGCGAAGGTATCGAGTCAAAGTCCGATTAGAATATATATATATATATATATATAAGAGCGCTTGCTTCGCGAATGGCCTCTGTGTTTAACAGGATGTGGGGTCGGCGAAGCGCTACTCCTCCGCGACGTCCCTTGTAGCTGGTGAGGCTCTAGCTCCTTCGCGGAGGCGGCCTGGGACTTGCTGGTTCTGCATAAGTAGGGCCGAGTGGATCATCTTATCATTTTCAGAAGTCGTGTTACGAAATCTGGCGATAAGTGTCTCAATGATCGTTCTAGATCTATTTAGGCCAACGAACATACGTCTCGTCATGGATTCAACTGAACCAATTTACGATTGTAGTTCTTATTGTTGATATCGATGATCAACTTGTAGTTTTCATCGATGTCTTAAGCATTGAAGAAGGGGTCCATGTTGTGCGTGGAAAACTTCTAGGCGTGAAAGTTCGGCAATTATGGTGTCTGAACTTTTGTGGCTTTATGGGATGCTATGTCTAGATTCTGTGCTACCGCAGCAATCGGGTCGATCGGAGGTAGGGTGATAGCATCTGCGTCGTCTTCCTTCATCAGGTATGTCTGCGTCGTACTGCCACTCTAGGAAGGTGATGTAGACTTGTGTGCAGACTTGTGTGGTAACCTGTGAGGCGATCGATGTGGTGATGTACGAGGAGATCGGAGACTATTGACAGCTTCGCGAAGCTCTTGAGTAGTCCCTTGACTCTGTTAAATGACGATCTATATTCGGGTGTCCTTCCCGAGTGCCTTCGCGAATGCCTTCGCGAACGCCTTCGCGAACGCCTTCGCGAAGCTTCCTCTGCGTTCGGTGCTGGGGAACGGCGATTTGAGCTTCGCGAAGGCTTCCGTGAGGTCTGGTGGCTGAGTCTGCATCTAAGGATGAAGCCGAGGAATGTGATGATCTATCCCGCCTTCGCGAAGGCCTTCGCGAAGGCTGTACATCTGGGTCCTTCGTCAAGGTGGTCTGCGACTTCCTTCGCGAAGGCTGCATCGTCTTGGCTGCTACGTTGACTGGAGGTGCCTCTAGAGTGTTGTCTAAGTTGGAGCCTTCGCGAAGGCTCGTACTCTGGGCTGGCTGCTTCTCCAGTTTGTAGTGACCCTCCATCACGACCATGATTTGCCGTAGTAGCTCGTCTGGGATGGTCTGCGACGAAGTAGTCGGTGCCATCTCTGCGCTGTTAGTGGTGGGGCCCTCAGGTAAGTCGTCTGACATCAGTGTAGAGACATCAGGCTGCATGACGATCTCTGCTGATGTCATTGTAGCTGTCACCGGTCGCTACTTGTCTCATACGTCGGGGATGATGATCGGCTGATCATCGTAGAGGCCAAGTTCAGCGGCTGGAACAATCTCGGTTGAGAAAGTCCTAGTAGACTTCGTTGAATTCCCCTCAGAGGTCGACGCTGCCCTGGGGGTGCGAAGTCTGCGTTGAGTGTTGGTAGCGACGGGACCCTCAGGAAGATCATCGAATGTTGATCTGCGCTGACATCACTGTTGCCGACATCAGTCATTCTTTGATGTACATCAGGAATGATGATCGGCTGATCATCATACAGGCCCAAATCTGCGATGAGAACAATCTCGGCTGAGAAAGTTCTAGTAGACTTCGTTGAATACCCCTCAGTGCGACGAAGGGATGTCTGGGGAAGCAGGACGCTTCTTGGAGGCGGCGGACTACGTCCCACGCCTCTCCACCATTCTAGCGGAAAACCAGACGGGAGGGGGGTCGACCAACAGCAGTAGACTGGCGAGGGGTTCAGGTGTATCAGTCATGCTAGACTCTGCATACGTGACCTATCTGCTGCGCGTCTCAAACGCAAAGTAATTATTTATTAAAGGTAGAATTGGATAAATTAGTATCGCAACTGCAACGTGAATCACATGAAACATGGCGCAGTACAGCTAGGGCATATTAAATGCGGATCAGCAGCAGAATAAAAAACGTAATGTGCAACAGTACAGAATTTTTATCAACGTAATCCACTGCAACAGCACGGCGTCCCGTGCATAAACAGTAGAAACACGACTAAATATCAATATATAATTGTTGAAAGATACTAGCTAAACCTCTATAGATCTCTATACGAGGTAACTAACTAAATATAATCAAAGGATATAGTGTGTCGGGAGACACAGGCGCTCTCACGTCCAGCTCACTGGGCGAAGAAGGAGAGAGTGAGGCACATGGGTAGAGGTGGCGCCCTCGTTCCCGCGCTTGTGGAAGGGAGGTAACTCGTGGTGTACTAATTAGTGATTTTACATTGAAGGGAACTTCAATTAGGGAGATACAAGTGTTCCACTATGTTCGCAAGAGGAAGGAGACAAGCAAAAGAGCATGAGTCAGGATAAGGAAAAATATATTTTCAGCTCGTTTAGTTTGGTCCAAAGCATGTGAACGCTATCTTTACAAGCCAAACGTGCATGTTTCCCTCTGTTTCAACTGTTCACCAAGCATCAAAGTATGTCTTTAACTATTGCTAATAATATATTTGTCAGTAAGATCACCAATTCTAACCTATGGAAGTGAAATTTTGGGCTATACTTAAAGAATGTGTATTGAAAAGGTTCATAGTGAGTACTATAAAAGATTTCTGTCACTCAGTAAAAAAACTGCATCATGTGCTGTACTTGGAGAAATTGGCAGATATAACTTGTGTGTACATTACCATTAAAGGTGTATTAAATATTGGTGCCGAATTATTTGTATGGACCAAAATAGATACCCGAATGCCTGTTATAAGATGATGAAAGCCTATGATGATAAAGGAGGCACAAACTGGGTTTCACATGTTCGAATGCTTCTATTTGCTACAGGTTTCTCCTATGTCTGGTTAGTCAAGATTGTGGCGATGTAAATCACTTGTCCCATATAAAGAATTATCTAACATGTACTTTGAATCTGCCGAAGATCTACACTTCTCTAATATGTCCTAACCGATCTAGATCCCAATGTATCTCCCCTGATCTACATCTGAATTCTCCCTGATCTGTCCCTGATAAAGGAATACATCTGAGCAAAACCTAAGATCTACATCTATTATCTCCCTGATCTACACCTGAATCTGGCCTTCCTGATCTACATCTGAATCTCCCTGATCTACATGGCACTGAATCTCCCAGATCTACATCTGAATCTCTCCTGATCTACATCTGAATCTCCCAGATCTACATCTCCCTGATCTCCTGAGATCTCCTGATCTGATCTATCTCCATCTACACCTGAATCTCCTAGATCCTGAATCCCTGATCTACATCTGAATCTCCCTGATCTACATCTGAATCTCCCTGATCTACATCTGAATCTCCTGATCTACATCTGAATCTCCCTGATCTACATCTGAATCTCCCTGATCTACATCTGAATCTCCCTGATCTACATCTGAATCTCCCTGATCTACATCTGTATCTCTGATCTACATCTGAATCTCCCTGATCTACATCTGACATCTCCCTGATCTGATCTACATCTGAATCTCTGATCTACATCTGATGATACATCTGAATCTCCCCTGATCTACATCTGAATCTCCCTGATCTACATCTGAATCTCCCTGATCTACACCTGAATCTCCCTGATCTACATCTGAATCTCCCCTGATCTACATCTGAATCTCCCTGATCTACATCTGAATCTCCTGATCTACATCTGAATCTCCCTGATCTACATCTGAATCTCCCTGATCTACATCTGAATCTCCCTGATCTACATCTGAATCTCCTAGATCTACATCTGTATCTCCCTGATCTACATCTGAATCTCCCTGATCTACATCTGAATCTCCTAGATCTACATCTGAATCTCCCTGATCTACATCTGAATCTGAATCTCCTGATCTACATCTGATCTACATCTGAATCTCTACCTGATCTACATCTGAATCTCCCTGATCTACATCTGAATCTCCTGATCTACATCTGAATCTCCTGATCTACATCTGAATCTCCTGATCTACATCTGAATCTCCCTGATCTACATCTGAATCTGAATCCCTGATCTACATCTGAATCCCTGATCTACATCTGAATCTCCTAGATCCTGACATCTGAATCTCCTGATCTACATCTGAATCTCCCTGATCTACATCTGAATCTCCCTGATCTACATCTGAATCTCCCTGATCTACATCTGAATCTCCCCTGATCTACATCTGAATCTCTCCTGATCTACATCTGAATCTCCCTGATCTACCTGATCTATCTACATCTGAATCTCCCTGATCTACATCTGAATCTCCCTGATCTACATCTGAATCTCCCTGATCTACATCTGAATCTCCCTGATCTACATCTGAATCTCCCTGATCTACATCTGAATCTCCCTGATCTACATCTGAATCTCCCAGATCTACATCTGAATCTCCCTGATCTACATCTGATCTACATCTCTCCTGATCTACATCTGAATCTCCCTGATCTACATCTGAATCTCCCTGATCTACATCTGAATCTCCCTGATCTACATCTGAATCTCCCTGATCTACATCTGAATCTCCCTGATCTACACCTGAATCTCCCAGATCTACATCTGAATCTCCTAGATCTACATCTGTATCTCCCTGATCTATGGAAGAAGTCACTCACATACCCTGGGGTGGCGAATCTGGAAGTGTCAGTGGCCACACCTATATCACAGGAGGCAACAAGCTGACAGCCTGCTGCTGTGGCAAGCCCTGGGGAGGACACAAGTACATGACACGTGAGGTTCAGTGGGATAAACAGACCATAATCGGATTGAGCAACTAATGCATTCAGTACTCATAGAAAATGGAGTGGAAGTTGTTGTTAAGTAAAATGGGAAACTGTTTTCAATTTCAGTTATATCTAACCTCTAACATAGTCCTAATATAAAACAAAACGTATCTCTAACTGAGGCCAAATAATAATCTCCAAAGAAAGGTGTTTTTTAATCTGTTCCAGGACATATATTAAAGCTACAACATTACTTTACATAGCAGACAAATGAAAAATGTGAATAACGTAAGTATTAAAACAGAAGCCTTACCATTCACTTTGGCAATTACAGGAACAGGAAGATCCTGCGAAATAACAAATTAAACAGAACTAACATAAACAGATTTCGACATGATCAACATTGATCAAGGACAGAAACATTAAGTAAATTTGTTCTAAAAGTGCTTTTGATGCACCTATGAGTTTATTGCCAGTCACTTTCTTACGTGTGTGATAGATGTCAAAATGTCAGAGGGTACAGAATTTCAAGGCTTACATTGTGGCATTCCTTACAACAGGCCTATGATTTGACAGAAAGAATAATGATTTATATAAATTCTTATAAAGACACACAAAAAACAGTGTTTTCACATACATCTTACAATTAGTGACGCATTCCACAGGAAACCTGAGAAAACAAGTACTGGCAGCCCAATAATAATGTTGTTGGATTTCATTCAGTAAATAAAGCAGTGTAGAGTGAGTCAGTCTTACATATATGAGAGTCGGTTTTACCTGTATGAGAGTCAGTTTTACCCGTATGAGAGTCAGTCTTACCTGTATGAGAGTCAGTCTTACCTGTATGAGAGTCAGTCTTACCTGTATGAGAGTCAGTCTTACCTGTATGAGAGTCAGTCTTACCTGTATGAGAGTCAGTCTTACCTGTATGAGAGTCAGTCTTACCTGTATGAGAGTCAGTCTTACCTGTATGAGAGTCAGTCTTACCTGTATGAGAGTCAGTCTTACCTGTATGAGAGTCAGTCTTACCTGTATGAGAGTCAGTCGGTTTGAGAGTCAGTCTTACCTGTATGAGAGTCAGTCTTACCTGTATGAGAGTCAGTCTTACCTGTATGAGAGTCAGTCTTTACCTGTATGAGAGTCAGTCTTACTGTATGAGAGTCAGTCTTACCTGTATGAGAGTCAGTCTTACCTGCATGAGAGTCAGTACCTGTACATGAGAGAGTCAGTCTGTATGAGAGTCAGTCTTACCTGTATGAGAGTCAGTCTTACCTGTATGAGAGTCAGTCTTACCTGTATGAGAGTCAGTTTTACCTGTATGAGAGTCAGTCTTACCTGTATGAGAGTCAGTCTTACCTGTATGAGAGTCAGTCTTACTTGTATGAGAGTCAGTCTTACCTGTATGAGAGTCAGTCTTACCTGTATGAGAGTCAGTCTTACCTGTATGAGAGTCAGTCTTACCTGTATGAGAGTCAGTCTTACCTGTATGAGAGTCAGTCGTACCCGCATGAGAGTCAGTCTTACCTGTATGAGAGTCAGTCTTACCTGTATGAGAGTCAGTCTTACCTGTATGAGAGTCAGTCTTACCTGTATGAGAGTCAGTCTTACCGGTATGAGTCAGTCGTACCTGCATGAGAGTCAGTCTTACCTATATGAGAGTCAGTCTTACCTGTACGAGCGTCATGACTTCTGTACAGGTATCAAACACCTTCTGGTGATATCTGCGGCCTTCTTTGGGAGTCTGGACAGAAGAAACACAGCAGTATAACTAGCCACTATGACATAATGGCCAGTAAAATGGCATCTAATGGCACACACAATCCCCAGGGCAAGTGGATCAATATCAATATAACTCTGTCTGCAAACACAATGTACAGAGTCTATTCCATACATTAAAATAGAAGTTAAGTGATATTTGTATTTCAGGCTGTCATACTGACTTCATATGCTACAACTAACTTATTGTCATTATTTTTTTTAACAGTTCTGCCAATCCCTAATTTCATACATATGTACAATGCAAATAGAACTGGAAGAAGTGTTTCTGATCTTCTTCTTGTCATTTTTGTTCGGTGATAGCCTAGCATACTGGAGCACCTAGTTACCACAGAAACACATCTATTAAGGAAAGACACTTACACTTTTTAGATAACACATGATTGTGAGCACAATCCTAGGGGTAGTGGATGAGGGAGAATACTAAGATGGGGGACTATATCAAAATGAAAACATCTATTTCAGATCAATATTGTTCTGTTATTCAAAATATGATATGAATAGGCTGTCATGTGTTTCCAATAAATCAAACTGGTTTTGTTGTTTTGTCTTACAATGTAACATACTGTACACACAAATGGGGGGATCAACCTGCTTTTAAAAGTCTGCTTTTAGATGAACAGAAATATATTTCTTTTCAAATCATCTTATTTGTTTAGGGTCAGCATGTAAACCAATTCAAAACATTTAGGAATGACATCCGCACCAGCTCTTTCAGGTCATGCCCTGCAGAGAAGACTGGCCCTGTATGTGTGATGATGATCACTCTCAGGTCCTCCTCGTAATCGTCAGTTGTCAGGTCATCCTCCAGGGCATGCAGCATGGCCAGCGACAGGGCATTCCTGATGTAGACACAACATGTATTGAGAGATTTCTGAATAGGACAGCAGATACTTAACGCTTTAAGTGAATGAAAGAGTTTAGTTTTACATTGTTTTTGACAATATTTCAGCAATATCAAGGCAGGGGACACCAGAAATGGACTTCACACATTGTACCCATGTCTGGAATAGAACCCAGGTAATGAGCAAACGCTTTAACCACTTGGATCCATTTGTTGCCATGACAGACCAGCTACTCAAATTGATATCATTTATATTTTCTTTACATCAGAGAACTGAACGGAATCAAACCCAGGTCTTCAGCACGTCAAGCGAACGCTTTAACCACTATGCTACCCCACTGCCCCTTTTCCTGGTAAGAGTGATAGAGTGATACCAAACACACTGAAGGAGGTAGAGACCCAAAAACACCAAAGTGGAAGAATTCTGTTTCTACACCGGACACCATCTCTGCAGTGTTTGAATTAAACGTTTGTCACATCAGCAGTTTTTCAGCCATATTGTACAACAATCAGTGAAGACTTACACCACAGTTCCCTACCAGGAGTCACCTGATTCCTTCCGCAACTGGCCATCGTTGACAATTTATCAATTTTATCTCCAATTCATAGTATGAATTACAATCTTTACTTCGAGGACAAGGGAGAACAGTTAATATACAGTGAACTCAAAGAACAACTAATATTATCCTGCCTCATGAAAGAATGTCCATCTCTGATTGGTTCACAATTACCATGTATGCCCGGACGTACATCACCCAAGCGGTGTACATGTATACATCTTTGCGAGGGAGAATATATATACCCCGCACCATGGAAAAAGCATGCATTCTGATCCATGGCAGTTAGTGAACCATGAACCAGAGGTTTGGATCGACTAGTCAGTACCATGTTAGTAAAATATATGATTGAATTTCAGTTTGTTTTAATAGTATATTTACATAATGAGAGATTCAAACATTCGGTAAGATAAATTTGTTGTAGGTATGCCAGAGACTCGGTTGATAAAACCTAACGAGGGATGCATAAAACCCTGTATAATCCTCATCACAATGTTACAACTTACATTAGTTCATATTAACCGTAGTTCGTTATACGCATTTTAAATAAAATATACAACAAGTGGCCTCGACTAAAAACATGGTTTGTCAGTTCTTTCAGTTTGTAATAAACATGTTTGTTATAAACGTTGTTTACTGTAAATCTTAAATACATTTATCATGCAGTTTCAAACCTTTTCTTTGGATTGTTGAGACAGATCGTCCTGATTCCATTTTCCTGTGTAGTCTGAGTGAGTTGTTCTCTTAATGATCTTGGTGTCTGGGAAAACTTACGGACAAACTGAAAAAACACACCTAATGTTGGTAAACACAAAGTGTACTCCAGCAAAACATCCAAACTCTAAAGCATTCAAAATAGTATCATTTAAACTCTTCAACATTCATGGTGATCACACATTTGCTGATCCCATAAAATCAACCACAGAGATAGTTTATGCATCAGCACATTGTCAAAACGTTATTTGCTGTTAATCTGTTGTGAAGATTGAAGCATCTAAACTCTTTTACACTGATAAGGAAGTTGCTATATATAATCACATTGTACAAATTGACAATATCAAAAACTTATTACCCATATGGTGAAACATAATCAGTGTCATATTATACATGTGCACATATCACTTTTGCCTAGCAACCATTGTTTCTCTATTTCGTCATCTGTGACGTCATTAAACAATTGAACGTGACGTCAATGAACAGGGCAGTCATACTTGCTTACCATATTTTACTGCACAAATGTACATGAATATAATGGATAATAAAGAAATTATTACACTTGCAAGTGTGCCACACAACTTATACGAAACTCGAGCAAAATTGTGTATTGCCCGAGCGAGAGACAAAATACAAAATTTCACACTCGTTTTGTATAAGTCGTACGACACACTTGCTCATGTGATAATCTCTATATATGTCATGAATCAATATCATACAGAGATGATTCCAGATGAGTGTCAGGCCCCACAGGGTAGTACATTGTTGCATACATGAACTATATAGACAAATATCAGGTAAGAATCAAGACAGTTTTAAATGTTCATAGATTGGTCCATGTACACTGACTTGTAGTCTGTCTCACAGTCCCTGAAACGCAGTATTTTCCCTTCTGCCCAGCCCTTTCTGCAATGCTAAAGCCCTAAATAAAGCAAGTTATATTATCCACAGGTTCTGAAAATCCCTTCTCACTGGGGCTCCATTCCCATTTAAAAGGAATTATTTGTTTCTATCACAATCTAATATATTCAGAGACTAAGCCTTCAGCTAACTGGCTCGCATTTAGTCTTCGCCACAGAGCTACTATACAAATCAAATATTGGCTTACTTTGTTATAAACACATGTGAACAGGCCTTTGGCCAAATGAGTAAGTTTAGTTTTTATTCCAAGAATATCACATCAGTGGACACCACAAATGGGCATCACAAATTGTACCCATGTGTGGAATTGAACCCGGGTCTTCGGCATGATGAGCCAACGCTTTAACCACTGGGCTACCCCATGGCCCTATGGCCAAATGGATAACTATACTTCACTTGTGTCTAGATGGAGAAAGTGTTTATTGTCTGAACTACATACAATAGACTTTATAGATGTATGTCCACATTTTAAACTAGAAGGGTCTTTGCTGAAAAATACTACTGAGTCTCAATAACTCAATAATTTCCTTAACCCTTTTACGTCTTAAAGAAATGAAATCCATTAGAAGTGCCATGTTTGGAACTTCTGCAGGGAGTCTGTACACTGGTAATCAGCGTCAGCAAGGACGGATACAGCTTTTATAGAAAGGGGTGGGGGGTGCACAGTTAATTTTCACCCGTCTTCACGAGAGTTTCAAGGGTAATTTAATACCTCCAACGACACCCACCCCACCCCACCCTCTGGAACCGCCTATGGTTAGATTGTTATCCTTCATACAATCTGAGCTGACAAACAAAGTTGGAACTGAACGACCTGAATAAGACTATTAAGAGGCTCTTTGGCACCACAAGCAGGGCATAGTTCCCCTTTCAACCAATATTATGCTCCAGGTTCAGGGCCCGTTGACCTAGATAGACACTAAACCCATTTACCAGCTGATAAGGATCACTTCCCTATGTTGGACAACATTGTGTTTAATCATTCGGTTTCAGGAAATGAGGAAGTGTCTCTCTTGTAGAATGCACAACACACCTAGTGTGAATACTGCCATTGGTCTCTTTCTATGAGGATTTTACTGCAAGGAGATCACACGAGATTTCGACATTTGCAAGACTTCGCACTTTCCATAGACGCGCAGATGATCATATCATATTTTTAGCAATATCATATTAGCTACATTAAATGAAAATAATTACATTTTCAACAAAGTTTGCCAAAGTACCTGTCGTTTACATTCCCCTTGCACTGCACGTGCGGAGAGCACCTGAAAAATACGACTTGTCAACATTGTCCGGCCGTTCCGCTCTGTAACGGCACATACGATTGGTTTGATCTTCCACCAAACGGACCAATGGCTTTGCGCAACTCATTAACACCATAATACTGCCCTGTCAATCATTTTCATACACTGTCCACAGCAACGGGCTGTTATGGACCGGTATCGACGGACGCTATATGTTATTATGTTGTGCTCTACCAAGGGTAACATGTCGACAGATCAGGCATACACCATACCCCAGAGTTCAAGCACACCCAAGAAACCATCGCCTCTGTAGAAATCGGATCTCTACTGGTATAATGTGAAATTGCCGAGGGATTTTTATCAGGTGTTGTGATCTACTGTCTGATTGTGAAGATGTGGAGCTGCCAGTATTTTGCGTGGACAGTATTGGTATTGGGAGGAATTCTTGGGACTGAATCGGCCTCGCTATCAGGTAAAAGTGTGCTTTAAATCTGAATTTGGATTCATCGCAAAGAAAACCCATTAGGTTTTGTGCTAAATCCAAACAAAAGCCTTATTTATTAAATATTAAATATCATATCGATCGGTTCCCCGGAATATACTGTGCATATAAACAATAACAAGCACTAATTGCACCCGAAGATCAAAGAATTCCCCGATCACGCAAATGACGGAATATCAATATATAATCAGTTTGTCCTGTATAATTCATAGTGTATTTGAAATTGTAACTGCAAAAAAAGAAAATAGCTGAATTAAGTCTCATGAAAACTATACAGTTCCGTTCTTTCCCACGCGTTTTTTTTATGTATTATCAAATTTCGACATATGTTTGTATAATTTGTACTAATCAAATATATGTTTTTTATTTGATTAAACAAAGGTTGGAATGTCAAGAACATATTTTCATATGTGATTAAATAAAGGTTGAATCTCAAGTACCTATTTTCTCATTTGATTAACTAAACGTTCGAATCTCATGTACATGCTATTTATTTGATTCGAATCTCAAGTGCTTGGTTTTTTATTTTATTTTATGAACTAAAGGATCTAATCTCAAGACCATGTTTTCTTTTTTTTTCTTTCTTTCTTTTTGGATTAAACAATGGTTCAAATCTCAAGGAAATGTTATCTTCTTTGACTGAGTGAGTGAGTGAGTTCGGTTTAACGCCGCACTCAGCAATATTCGAACCTATATGGCAGCGGTCCGTATCCATGTACTTAAATTATTTCATTAACTGAAGGATCGCACTTCAAGTACATGTTGTTCTTTGTTATTTGATTTACTAAATGTTCGAATCTTACTTGTGGTCGATATAAATACTTCTTCATGCCTCGATTCGGTAATGTCGATTTTTGCAAAAGAATACCATAAACAGAACAGAACAGAAATATAATACCCTTTTAAAGTTGATTCAGGGGCCTTTAGAAACGACAGGATGTACTGACTATCCATAACAAAATGACAGCGCGAAATTAAGTTTTTAACAATTTGAATTCCTAGATTGTATTCGTTTGCGAGATATTTAGAAATCAGACATGAATTTGAATGCATCACTCAAATCGAGGTTATTTGGTTTGGTGAGTTGCGCCTTAAGATGAGCTGTTCGTGTTCCTAGATTAGCCCCTATCACTATCATGGCGGGGTCTGCAACATCACACCATATGACTTTGGCTGGGTAGCCTAGTGGTTAAAGCGTTCGCTCGTCTTGCCGAAGACCTGGGTTCGATTCCCTGCATACATGGGTACAATGTGTGAAGCCCATTACTGGTGTTCCCCAGCTGTGAGTTGCTTCAATATTGCTAAAAGCGGCGTAAAACTAATCTCACTCACTCACACCCGAGCTCGTTGATTTCACCGAAGTGATACACGTGCGAGACCTGAATTACATTATGCATTCCTTTCACATCAAGACAACTTTGCTATAACCGAAATACTGTTTGAAACGACGTTAAAATCGACCACACCCAATATTTATCACTACCGTGCCCTTTAGATCATGTTTGAATTAATATAATTAAAATCAATCCTTCGCTTGGTGTCGGGCGAGCTGTTGATATCCCATATAGAATGTATTGGACATCTTTTACACCACGGTGGGGTGAGGTGAAATTGGGTTTAACGTCGTGCTTGAGAATATTTCGCTCATATGACGACGTGCATGCGAGTGTATGTGTATGTGCGGCTGCTTGTACTAGCCCAGACTTAAGCTGGTTTTATAGTGCTAGCTCACTGAGATACCATGCCGCAGTGAAGCATGAATACCCCACTCAGACACATTATACTGACTCCGAGCCGACCAGTCCTTGTTGTACCCATTAATGCCGAGCGCCAGGCAGGGACCAACAAGTACCATATTTTAACGTGTTTTGGTATGACGCAGTCGGGGATCGAACCCGCGACCTTCCGCTCTCCGGGCGGACGCTCTAACCACTACACCACGGAGGCGGTCTTTTACACCACGGATGTCCATGTATTAGATAATATGTATCAGCAATATTTCGAGTTGGAATAGTATCGATATAACTACATGTGCAGTCAAACAGCGTTGTCTCGAATCATGATTGTCTCGGAATAATTTATTTTGTCTGAAGCCATCATTTTGTGATTGTGTCGGACCTTAGATAACTCGAAGTATCTACGTAGGTCTCTTCAACTTTGACACAAATATGTTTAACTGTATGTCGATTCATCGCCACAGCGACAGTACACAGAGTTGAAAATATATCGTCGAGATTATACAGAACATTATTCAGACACCATTACTCACGAGTATAAGCCCTGGATACAAATAACGTTCATTGTATGGCCCATGGAAACCTTGTACACGTGGGAAACATTTACATAACCAGGTGTGGATTAGCTAGCGATTTATATCTCAATGTATACCTTTGTTAAATCCAGCTTTAACAATTCCTAGGGGTGACGTCCATGTTGATGTCCATAACAACGTCGTTTTCTCCTGATCTATGTTAGTCATAAATTAGGCTTTCCCTACTTACACCCCCACGACTCTGTATAATGTGTTAATGGAACGCTACAGGCACAGAGCAGACTGTAGAAACTGTGCGCAGGACGAATTTGCTTCTGTAGCCAGAGTCTAAATAAATAAAGCCTGCCGTGATATAACATTTAGTGTATGAACATCTCAAATATTGTCTAATGAAACATTTCAATAATTACTTTTATTATCTATGTCAAAGTGTTTTACTGTCAGAAAATGAAATAAATGTTTCAAATGGGTATGTGTTGATACTGTAATATAGCCGCAGGCAAAGGTAACAATGTTGCTACACTATTTATCATGTGATTCAAAGAAAGAAACTAAAGTTGAAACGATAACCTTCGGCATTAATTATTTTTGTCAGTAAGTTTAGACAAATTCATTATTTCGTGTAATATATACTCATGTCAATTTTTTATCCCTTTCAATTTTTTAATTGGGTGGGTGTGGGGTTGGGGTGGGGAGGGGGTAGACTAAGGCTTAGTCTCTGAATATATGTAATTTTGATAGTAACAAACAAGCCCATTTATATTGAAAAGGAGCCCTAGGGAGACCAGAGATTCAGAACCTGAACCTGAGGAAATCTAGACTTGCTTTATTTAGGGCTTTAGCACTGCAGAGAGGGCTTGGCAGTAGGGAAATTAATGTGGTTCAGGGACTGTGAGACAGACTAGGGAGGGGGGTGACAACCATTATTGGCATGAGTATATATTCATTGTAGCCATGTGTTCTTCACGCACGTTATGAGGGGCGGTAAGGTAGCCTAGTGGTTAAAGCGTTCGCTTTTCACGCCGAAGACTCTGGTTTGATTCCCCACATGGGTACTATGTGTGAAGCCCATTCTGCCGTGATATTGCTTGTTAACATATGTTACGTTTGGGATTACACTTTCTCAGTAAAGTACATATCCTAGTACCTTTTGGGGGTTGAATCCCATCCGCCGGATTCGAACCCATATGTGATCTACCAGTTGTCCACACACTTATATTTTCATGAAAGTCGCGGTGGTTAGATGGGTTGGATCGCAGACCCTCGACAGGCGGTTAGGTGCCCCACTTTGAAAATGTGGGTTCGAATTTGACTACACCACAAAAAGTAGTAGAATCTGTACTTTGCCGAGAATGTGTAATCCCAAATTGAACATGTTACGTTTGACCACTTTCTAAAATGATATGTTTGTTATTCAACGGAACACCCATCAATATTCCAGCAAAATGTGACGGCGGCGATGACTTGCATCAGCTTGGTCAGCGAGCATGATCTATTTTTAAAGCCATTATTTCATATAAATAAGGTCAGATAATAACACATCTTATTTTATGCTTTGATGAAGTCAGCTTGCTTAAGTATATGTTGTTAATGTACGCATTTTACATATTTTAAGGGGCAGTGGGATAACCTGGTGGTTAAGGCGTTCACTCGTCACGCCGAAGACCTGGGTTTGATTCCCACATGGGTACAATGTGTGAAGCCCATTTCTGGTGTGACCCACATTGATATTGCTTGAATATTAGTCAAAGCGGCGTAAAACTAAACTCACTCCTATATTTTATTGTGTTTCAGCCGAGCAACAGTCAGAGGTTGTTTCTGTCACTCTCTACAGACTTGAACCAGACGACGTGAGTATATTTACAAATCTGTACGAAAATAACCATAGCTTAATGACAATCATTATTCATTACGTCCTTTAGAGTGAAACTTCTACTTTCATGATTAACCCCCTGTGGCAGCCAGGGGGTTAAGCTTCATCGGTGTCCCTTCATCAGTAAACTTGATCGTACGTAGATAAGGACAGTTTTTGGTTCTTGTTGTTGTCGCATTGAGAGACATTGCGCCCTGTGTCCCTTCTAAGATTCCATAGTGTCAGGTACCTCTCGCGTATTTTCAATTCCATAGTGACAAGTCGCGTATTTTCAAAAGTAAGTGGTCTGGCAGCCTTCAACATTTTATTTGTGTTGTACTCATTTCATTGTTGTTTTGCTTATGGACCCATTGGTAGTTGGGTCAGAGTATATGTATGGCCTCAGCAACCAATGCTTGTCCCCAGTTGTGCAGACCTATGCTCATGATGTCAGTCACTGTATTGTCTGCACCAGGCTCGATTAATTACAGACCACCGTCGTATAGCTGGAACATTGTTCAACAACAAATACACAAAAACACTTAATGACTAAATAAATCTTGTGGTCAGGTTCGGTAAACTGTTAGATGAATTGTCATCGTAACCGGATTGTGTACATCGATGCTCATGATGTCAATCACTGGATCGTATAGACCAGAGTCGACTACTTACAGACCACCGTCATGTTCCCTGGAACATTGCTCCCTGTGGCAGTAAAGAACATGTAAACAAAACGTTTTTAAAGCGAAAGGAACAAAAAGTTAACACTTAAATATTATGTTTATATGTACAGCAAGGGTTTGAACTCTTAAGATTTGCCCATGTGATTAATTTAGATTAAGATCGTAATCCGTAAAGTAAACATATTTGTTGTTTTCAAGTGGTCAAGCAAAACCGCAGCCTTTAAAACAGTTGTGGCCGACGGCGCCAATGTCTACTGTGAAGAGTATCCTTCGGCCTGCGGCTTCCTCTACTGGGACATCAATGCAGCGTGAGTTATCTTTGAACTGAGTTGCCTCCCTTGTTTTTGTCATTTATTATTTCTCCCGTTTTCTTTTTTTGTGTTTTAGATATTCTACCACGATCATCAACTCGCATAGTTATGTTATTGCATGTGTCAGTACCTCGCTTGGACAGTGCAACCATCATGAAACACTCACGAATGTGATCAGCTTCAGATAACCGAGAACCGCATGTTACCTTCATCACAGATGATGAAGCGGACATAAAATCATCTACGTTGTATAAACTAATTTTGCTTCGGGAATGTGTTTTACAATGATCTGAGAGAAATATACACGTGTTTTACAAATGACGTGTTCTTGGTAGTAATACCTCAAATACGATAGAAATCTCTATAAAATTGTTTAGAGAGAGAAATTTTATGGATGTCATCGTCTGCATTATAACCGACGTTCGGAGTATATTCTTACATCTTCATCACTTCTAATATAAATGCCATTCACATTTTTCTTTATGTAATGTTCTTTTTAGGTTTGCGGGTTCGTTGGTGGGAGTGAACCAGGCTGTCACTGACAAAAAGAATCTCAAGGTCTACTTCCATATACAGTTCAATGCTCTTGCTAATATCTCGTCAGTCTCAAAGACACAATTTGTCTTGAACTCTATTGCATTTAAGGGTAAGTAAGTCGTCACATACCATATATGGTCACAACCTGATATAATTGAAATACGAAGATTCGGGTTAGAACTGACCTCCAGACCCCATGTTTGTCGTAAGAACTAACAGGATTTGGTGGAGAGGCTTGCTGACTTGGTTGATGGTTTGTCGTAAGAGGTAACTAACAGGACCAGGGCCCCGTTCCTGAAAGCGATCGTAGCGCTACGACAGTCGTAAGGCTATGTTAAAGTATGGGAGTTACGATCATCTTAGCGCTACGATGGCTTTGAGGAACGGGGCCCGGGTTGTCAGGCTGGCTGACTTGGTTGATGGTTTGTCGTAACCGGGTTGTCAGGCTGGATGACTTGCGATTGATGCATGTCATGAGAGCGGTGCTGAGTAACAAACAAACTGGCACGTTTGTTTGTTTGTTTGTCGTTTAACGGTATACTCAGCAATATTACAGTTATATGACGGCAATCTGTAAATAATCGAGTCTGAACCTGACTATCCAGTGATCACCACCTTGAGCATCTATTGCGCATTTTGGATACAGAGATTATTACTGGAGCAGGTGTGTCATACGAAATATTGTATTGCCCGTGCGAGAGCGAGGGCAAAACAAATTTTGCACGACTTTTTGTATAAGTCATATGACACTTTGTTCATTGTCCATTTTATTCATGTACATTTGTGCAGTAAAACACGGTAAGCAAGTGTCACGACCCTCTTCAATGACGTCACGTTCAATTGTATAATGACGTCGAAGAAATAGAGATAGGCAAAATAGATATGTGCACATATGCACATATGATATATATGACACTGGTTTTGTTTCACCATATGGGACATGTGTCAACCAAATCAGCGAGCATGACGACAAAAGTCTTGATCCCGTTAGTCGCCTTTTACGACAAGCATGAGTTGCTGAATGCTAACTCTAACCCGGATCTTCACGGGTCATACTGGAATGCTATTCAAAGCAGCACTCCCACATAATCATGTAAAGGATATTGTCACCGGTGCCATAAACCATACCGATGAACGCAAGACTTGCGCAATATAATTTGTATTTATAAAATGTGATACAGTCAAATACCGACCGTTGTATCGAGCTTTAATGTTTCGAACTTACGGTTTTCTCGAACTAAACGTCTATTACTTCTAAGTTCATCATTTTCGATTGTGACGAGCCTCGGATAACTGTAAGTATTTAAGTTGCTCCCTTCAACTTCGACACAACGGTGTTTGACCGTATTTATGATAGGGAGACACACATAATGATTTCAATGTAACGTATATACCAAAGGATCATCTTCATCATCATCATCATCGATTCATCATCATCATCATCATCATCATCATCATCATCATCATCATCATCATCATCATCATCATCATCATCATCATCGATTAATCATCGTCATCATCATCATCATCGATTAATCATCATCATCATCATCATCATCATCATCGATTACTCATCGTCATCATCGATTATCATCATCATCATCATCATCATCATCATCATCATCATCGATTAATCATCGTCATCATCGATTAATCATCATCATCATCATCATCGATTAATCATCATCATCATCGATTAATCATCACCATCATCGATTAATCATCATCGATTAATCATCATCGATTAATCATCATCATCATCATCATCATCATCATCGATTAATCATCATCATCATCATCGATGAATCATCACCATCATCGATTAATCATCATCATCATCGATTAATCATCATCGTCATCATCATCGTTCTCGTCGTCAGTGATTGAAGTCACCTGAAGATCTCTCATTGCAGCCATTGTCCAGGGCGTTCGCCTTGACATCGGTTCGGCAGTGGGTGTGCCTGTGACGTACGTAGACGAGGAGTTTTACGGCATCCCTCCCGCTAACCTCGCCAACAGGGTCATCATCCCCGTCGCCATCCTCGTCCTACTCATCATCATCGCCATTGCCATCGGTCTCCACGTGTGGAAGTAAGGGTCCTACAATCATGAAAAATTGCCATGCAAAAGAAAGTACACACCGGTGTTAGATCTTGGTTAAAAATGAGATAAAACAATACATGATGTATTCGATGGGGATGTATTGGATGTGGGCATCATACAGTTGGGAATTGGGCCTTACATTTGACGTGTTCCTGCCACTATTTTCAGCCTGATAACGTTTTGAATACGTTTGTATTTATTTACTGAAATCCAGTTGTTAAGTGTACGCTTTCTTGTTCTGGTTACAATCTATGCATTTGAATACATGACATGTTTTATGGATAGCAACTTCTTTTTAATTCTTTACACGATGTTTCAGATGTAATTCTTGCTCCTTCATCAGGTGAATGCTGAGTCAGTACAAAGAGTGAATATATATAGATTAAAACATGTTTACACAATACAATGGGGGAGTATGAACAAAGATAACAATACAATTACTTTCAAAAACTTCAATCTCTGTATTGATCATGCCGGATGTATTGATGTGTTACGTGATCTGTGCATTGTTTCTGATTCATATCGTAAGGCCATTTCTCTTTGTTGATCAACATGTGTCAAGTGTCTCTACTTTTCACGTTCCTACCACCTTTTCTACAGATGCAACTGTTAAAACTACTTCTGCTGTTGTCTTATCCGTGCAACGTCTACCACTAGCGATGTTACATCTACCATTGCCGCTACTATCCATGCAACTCCTACCAATGATACCACTATCCATGTTACTCCTACCAATGATACCACTATCCATGTGACTCCTACCAGTCACACTACTATCTTAGTTATATCTACCACTCACACAACTACCCATGTTACGTCTACCACTGACACTAATATCAATATTACACCTACCATTGATACTGCTATACATGCTTCTCCTAACAGTGACACTACTATCCATGTGACTCCTACCAACGATACCACTATCCATGGGACTCCTACCAGTCACACTACTATCTTAGTTATATCTACCACTGACACAACTACCCATGTTACGTCTACCACTGACACTAATATCAATATTACACCTACCATTGATACTGCTATACATGCTTCACCTAACAGTCACACTGCTATCCATGTGACTCCTACCATTCACACTACTATCCATGTGACTCCTACTATTCACACTACTATCCATGTTACTCCTACCTATGATACCACTATCATGTGACTCCTACCAGTCTCACTACTATCTTAGTTATATCTACCACTCACACAACTACCCATGTTACGTCTACCATTGACTCTACTTTCCATGCAACTTCTACCACTGACAATAATATCAATATTACACCTGCCATTGATACTGCTATACATGCTTCTAACAGTCACACTACTATCCATGTGACTCCTACCAGTCACACTACTATCTTAGTGATATCTACCACTGACACAACTACCCACGTTACGTCTACCATTGACACTACTATCCATGCAACTTCTACCACTGACAGTAATATCAATATTACACCTACCATTGATACTGCTATACATGCTTCTAACAGTCACACTACTATCCATGTGACTCCTACCAGTCACACTACTATCTTAGTTATATCTACCACTGACACAACTACCCACGTTACGTCTACCATTGACACTACTATCCATGTGACTCCTACCAGTCACACTACTATCATAGTTATATCTACCACTGACACAACTACCCATGTTACGTCTACCATTGACACTACTATCCATGCAACTTCTACCACTGATACTAATATCAATATTACACCTACCATTGATACTGCTATACATGCTTCTCCTAACAGTGACACTACTATCCATGTGACTGGTACCAACGATACCACTATCCATGTGACTCCTACCAATGATACCACTATCCATGTTACTCCTACCAGTCACACTACTATCTTAGTTTTATCTACAACTGACACAACTACCCATGTTACGTCTACCGCTGACACTAATATCAATATTACACCTACCATTGATACTGCTATACATGCTTCTCTTAACAGTGACACTACTATCCATGTGACTCCTACCAATGATACCACTATCCATGTGACTCCTACTAGTCACACTACTATCTTAGTTATATCTACCACTCACACAACTACCCATGTTACGTCTACCATTGACACTACTATCCATGCAACTTCTACCACTGACACTAATATCAATATTACACCTACCATTGATACTGCTATACATGCTTCTCCTAACAGTCACACTACTATCCATGTGACTCCTACCAATGATACCACTATCCATGTGACTCCTACCTATGATACCACTATCATGTGACTTCTACCAGTCACACTACTATCTTAGTTATATCTACCACTGACACAACTACCCATGATACGTCTACCATTGACACTACTATCCATGCAACTTCTACCACTGACACTAATATCAATATTACACCTGCCATTGATACTGCTATACATGCTTCTCCTAACAGTGACACTACTATCCATGTGACTCCTACCAATGATACCACTATCCACGTGACTCCTACCAGTCACACTACTATCTTAGTTATATCTACCACTGACACAACTACCCATGTTACGTCTACCATTGACACTGCTATCCATGCAGCTTCTACCACTGACACTAATATCAATATTACACCTACCATTGATACTGCTATACATCCTTCTAACAGTCACACTACTATCCATGTGACTCCTACCAGTCACACTACTATCTTAGTTATATCTACCACTCACACAACTACCCCTGTTACGTCTACCATTGACACTACTATCCATGTCACTTCCACCACTGACACAACTACACATGTTACGTCTACCATTGTCACTACTATCCATGTCACTTCCACCACTGACACAACTACACATGTTACGTCTACCATTGACACTACTATCCATGTCACTTCTATCACTGACACTACTACCCATGTTACGTCTACCATTGACACTACTATCCATGTCACTTCCACCTCTGACACTACTACATATGTTACGTCTACGATTGACACTACTATCATATTGATCTTCAGTAACCAATGCTTGTCATAAGAGGCGACTAACAGGATCGGGTGGTCAGGCTCGCTGACTTGGTTGACACATGTCATCGGTTCCCAATTGCGCAGATCGATGCTCCTGCTGCTGATCACTGGATTGTCTGGTCGGGACTCGATTATTTACAGACCGCCGCCATATAGCTGGAATATTGCTGAGTGCAGAGTAAAACTAAACTCACTCACTTACTACTATACATGTCACTTCCACCACTGACACTACTACCCATGTTACTTCAACCACTGACACCACTATCCATGTCACTTCTACCACTGACACTACAAGCTATGTTGTCCCTACTCCACTAACTCCCATCTCCCCCGAGTGGTTTCATTTGTCGTCAGTAGCATATTCTGAACCTTTGAGGCGGCCAAATAAATACGATTGTCAGGCTTAGTTACTTGATCTTTGTCATGACTGTATTATGTCACCATTTCTTTACATGTCGGCGTTGTTCCTGATGTCACTGTTGTTGTTAATAATGCTGCTGCTGAATTGATGATTAAAAAGATGACAGTGGGATTACAAGCATCTCGATTCTTTCTGAAAACATTCTCTAACGTCGATATGTTTTCTCATATTTTTTCAGCAAACGCCAGAAAAAGAACAAAAAGAGTCACGCGAGACGTGACCTGACGTCGGCGAAGGTGACGCCAATTCACACCACCCACGGCGCTACTGGTAAACTCGTTGACACTCACAACAACTTGAAGTGAGTGCCTAGATGTGCAGCACTTGTTTCTAACATTGAACCTTCCTTTCAGCGAGGGTATAGTGAGTGAGGGAATTTGGTTTAACGCCCATATAAACAGTATCTTACTATAGATGTATCATGGCGTCCTCGGCTATAGCTTATTTTATGAACTTATTTTATATTATGAACCTCTTCATTTACTTTTGTATTATCATTACTTGGGATATATTACCGTTTAATATATTATATGGTGGTGAGGGTGATGTAAGGGAAATAACGACTTATGTTCGACATTTGTAGGTGTGTAACATGTAAGGGAAATAACGACTTATGTTCGACAGTTGTAGGTGTGTAACATGTAAGGGAAATAACGACTTATATTCGACAGTTGTAGGTGTGTAACATGTAAGGAAAATAACGACTTATATTCGACAGTTGTAGGTGTGTAATGTGTAAGAGAAATAACGACTTATATTCGACAGTTGTAGGTGTGTAACATGGGAAATAACGACTTATATTCGACAGTTGTAGGTGTGTAACATGTAGGGGAAATAACGACTTTTATTCGACAGTTGTAGGTGTGTAACATGTAAGGAAAATAACAGCTTATATTCGACAGTTGTACGTGTGTAATGTGTAAGAGAAATAACGACTTATATTCGACAGTTGTAGGTGTGTAACATGGGAAATAACGACTTATATTCGACAGTTGTAGGTGTGTAACATGTAGGGGAAATAACGACTTATATTCGACAGTTGTAGGTGTGTAACATGTAAGGAAAATAACAGCTTATATTCGACAGTTGTACGTGTGTATCATGTAAGGGAATTAAATTACATTTGTGACGTCATTCTATTGTCTGCTCGCTCAATTACTTTTCAGGAATGGAGCGATGTGTACCAGTTTCAAATTAAAGCCTTCATTTTGTCATTTTGACATTTAATTTTGATAACAGAAATATTACCAATACTTTGAATGTAATTTAAGTAGGGTAATATCCTCGTAACTCTCCATTCCTTAAAAATAATGTGCCTTGGTCACTCCGGGGCTCGGCTCCATTATTTTTAAGGAATGGAGAGTTACTCGGACATTACCCTCTACATAACGACTTATATTCGACAGTTGTAGGTCTGTAGCATGTAAGGGAAATAACGACTTATATTCGACATGTGTAGGTGTGTGACATGTAAGGCAAACAATGACTTATGTTCGACATTTGAAGGTATGTAACATGTAAGGGAAATTACGACTTATATTCGACAGTTGTAGGTGTGTGTAACATGTAGGGGAAATAACGACTTTTATTCGACAGTTGTAGGTGTGTAACATGTAAGGAAAATAACAGCTTATTTTCGACAGTTGTACGTGTGTAATGTGTAAGGGAAATAACGACTTATATTCGACAGTTGTAGCTGTGTAACATGGAAATAACGACTTATATTCGACAGTTGTAGGTGTGTAACATGTAGGGGAAATAACGACTTATATTCGACAGTTGTAGGTGTGTAGCATGTAAGAAAATAACAGCTTATATTCGACAGTTGTACGTGTGTATCATGTAAGGGAATTAAATTACATTTGTGACGTCATTCTATTGTCTGCTCGCTCAATTACTTTTCAGGAATGGAGCGATGTGTACCAGTTTCAAATTAAAGCCTTCATTTTGTCATTTTGACATTTAATTTTGATAACAGAAATATTACCAATACTTTGAATGTAATTTAAGTAGGGTAATATCCTCGTAACTCTCCATTCCTTAAAAATAATGTGCCTTGGTCACTCCGGGGCTCGGCTCCATTATTTTTAAGGAATGGAGAGTTACTCGACATTACCCTCTACATAACGACTTATATTCGACAGTTGTAGGTCTGTAGCATGTAAGGGAAATAACGACTTATATTCGACATGTGTAGGTGTGTGACATGTAAGGCAAACAATGACTTATGTTCGACATTTGAAGGTATGTAACATGTAAGGGAAATTACGACTTATATTCGACAGTTGTAGGTGTGTAACATGTAGGGGAAATAACGACTTTTATTCGACAGTTGTAGGTGTGTAACATGTAAGGAAAATAACAGCTTATTTTCGACAGTTGTACGTGTGTAATGTGTAAGGGAAATAACGACTTATATTCGACAGTTGTAGCTGTGTAACATGGGAAATAACGACTTATATTCGACAGTTGTAGGTGTGTAACATGTAGGGGAAATAACGACTTATATTCGACAGTTGTAGGTGTGTAGCATGTAAGGAAAATAACAGCTTATATTCGACAGTTGTACGTGTGTATCATGTAAGGGAATTAAATTACATTTGTGACGTCATTCTATTGTCTGCTCGCTCAATTACTTTTCAGGAATGGAGCGATGTGTACCAGTTTCAAATTAAAGCCTTCATTTTGTCATTTTGACATTTAATTTTGATAACAGAAATATTACCAATACTTTGAATGTAATTTAAGTAGGGTAATATCCTCGTAACTCTCCATTCCTTAAAAATAATGTGCCTTGGTCACTCCGGGGCTCGGCTCCATTATTTTTAAGGAATGGAGAGTTACTCGGACATTACCCTCTACATAACGACTTATATTCGACAGTTGTAGGTCTGTAGCATGTAAGGGAAATAACGACTTATATTCGACATGTGTAGGTGTGTGACATGTAAGGCAAACAATGACTTATGTTCGACATTTGAAGGTATGTAACATGTAAGGGAAATTACGACTTATATTCGACAGTTGTAGGTGTGTTACATGTAGGGGAAATAACGACTTTTATTCGACAGTTGTAGGTGTGTAACATGTAAGGAAAATAACAGCTTATTTTCGACAGTTGTACGTGTGTAATGTGTAAGGGAAATAACGACTTATATTCGACAGTTGTAGCTGTGTAACATGGGAAATAACGACTTATATTCGACAGTTGTAGGTGTGTAACATGTAGGGGAAATAACGACTTATATTCGACAGTTGTAGGTGTGTAGCATGTAAGAAAAATAACAGCTTATATTCGACAGTTGTACGTGTGTATCATGTAAGGGAATTAAATTACATTTGTGACGTCATTCTATTGTCTGCTCGCTCAATTACTTTTCAGGAATGGAGCGATGTGTACCAGTTTCAAATTAAAGCCTTCATTTTGTCATTTTGACATTTAATTTTGATAACAGAAATATTACCAATACTTTGAATGTAATTTAAGTAGGGTAATATCCTCGTAACTCTCCATTCCTTAAAAATAATGTGCCTTGGTCACTCCGGGGCTCGGCTCCATTATTTTTAAGGAATGGAGAGTTACTCGGACATTACCCTCTACATAACGACTTATATTCGACAGTTGTAGGTCTGTAGCATGTAAGGGAAATAACGACTTATATTCGACATGTGTAGGTGTGTGACATGTAAGGCAAACAATGACTTATGTTCGACATTTGAAGGTATGTAACATGTAAGGGAAATTACGACTTATATTCGACAGTTGTAGGAGTGTAACATCTCTCATTCAAGTGATGCATTATTTTCGGTAATGAAACAGCCTACACTTGTTTGCAACTGACAGTGTAACCTGAGTCACCATTTCTGAGAAACTCCTTTTCTAGCAAAAGGCGAAGGACATTGTTTCGTAACTTGGTATGGAGTGTGATGGGGTATCGTTGATGTGGAGTCCTGCTGGTCAGTAGAGTAAAAGACCGTTGCATCTGCCGTTGTTTTTTCACATTGTGTGTTCCTGCATGGAGTTGATCTTATGTGTTATATTGCACTGCTTGAATATTCTGGAAACCATTCACCGATTGAAGTGCTATTCCCGTTGGCTATGTCTGCTGATTCTGACTGATGTGAATTATTTTTTACAGCTTGGTTATCAAGATGGCATTAAGTTGATACAAAATATTAAACCGGGTGGATATCTTTCAATCATGATTTAATCAGTAAGATATAGACTGCGGATGGGTATTTAATCACCCTTTTTATGCCAAGTGCGTTTGTCATACTTTCGTAAAATTTACAGACATTTACTATAATAACATTTCGTAGAGCCATTGGCTTAATTCTATGGTTATTCCGTAGAAAATGTTCCAGTGGTCTGCTTTTGAAACCCGCGCACTGAAGGTCGGGATATGCTGGTTAATCATAGTGACCTACCTTGTATGAAGCAATGATTTGCCTAGTGAAAACTTCATTGCAACAAGTTTCCTTGATGTAGCTTGAACATTGCTGATAGCGACGTCAATAACAACATTCAACACACAAGCTCTTCTCATTCATGTTATACTACATGTTATACTACGGGATACGGTTTATACTCTAACATTAATATATTGAGTTTACATTCATGTCACCACTTTTTCAGCGCAAGTAATGTAAACCGCACGGACAAGGGGGTGCACCAAATGAAGGACATTTTACCCAACACCACACAAACGCACCCGAAAAAACTCCCCCCTGTAAACGGGTTCATGGAAGATGAAACACAGCACCGCAACGCAGCACGAGGCACATCTGTAGAAGATACTGAAGGTGAACACCGGAAGGACAAGAAGCGGAGGAAGAAGAGGAAGAAGCGACATCATCGGGATTCCGAATCTGGTTACGATCCCAATCAATCGGACAACGAAAACAACAGAACACAAACGATAACGTCGCAGGAGCGACAGCAGTATGGCAACGATGCTTACGACAGTGACCCATGTTAAATACAACGTTATTACAAGAAGTTGGGAATGACACGTTCCTGGTAAAATCTGATATGTTACAGAACCTGCTATCGTAGCCTGTGTGCTGAATATTTAGGATAAAGGAAGCTAAGATAAGGGATGAAATGTTCTCTGTCATGCATATCAGATCCATTCCATTTAAGCTAAATGATATGAATTGGTTGGTTTGTTGTTTAACACCGCACTCAGCAATATTCCAGCTATAAGGCGGCGGTCTGTCTAAATGATATGCACAAGGCGAAATAGGTAACATAGTGAGTGAGCGAGTGAGTGAGTGTGGGTTTACGCCGCTTTTAGCAATATTCCAGCAATATCACGTCGGGGGACACCAGGATTAACACTGTTCTGTTATTGAAGTGCTTTAAATACCTTTCGCTTTGGTTCAACTTCTATACACAGCAAAGATATATTTATGTATTAGCCATGTATACTCAAAACATTAATCATAGCGTTAGGCGTTATGCAAACTCATATTAACCCGTAGGTTTATTAGTAGAACCATTAAATATATTGTATTTTTTGCCTTTCTGTAGAATGTTTTGTTCAATACCGCGAATGATTGGTAACGGAAATAATTAGCTAGTCTGTAAACAACATCTGTAACATTTTACTCAGATTAAAGTAAGGAAGAACCTAATTGGAAAACCTACTGCAATCAGAAATGGCATATTGACATTTTAATTCTATGTAAAAATCTCGTGTTTTTTAACATTTTGGAGTGGTTTACAAAACTGTGGAGAGATGACACTGGACTGTCGAGGGTGAGAACCTTGTGATTTTCATCACAAACAACCAGAAATGTTAGGTAGACGTATACGGTGCAGTTTCGGTAATCATAATCTTTAATATCAGGAAGGTCAGAACTTGTGCTAATTTATGAATCTCACAAACACGAATCAATACTCATTCTGAGACACACTGCGCACCGAAGTCGGTATCAGACCCGAATATCAAGGAATCATGGATATCAATGTTAAGAAGAACAGAGGTTTTACGTAAACCATCATTCAATGTGTTTGCGTGCTATTACCTGTGTAAATACAATTGGATTTTTTATTTCGTGCTTTTTAATATATTACTTCTCCGTTAGATCACGATTTGTTTTAAAACCCCTTGCTTCGATAAAGGTTGTTTGTCGTCTGTTTGTGCAACCTTACCATCGTCAAAGCTGGTTTACGATTTGTTCACAGTGTATCCTAATCCTTTGTTATATATGTAACGATATCATTACCATCGCTAACTTCCTCAACACCCATACCACGCTGACCAGTTGTAGCGATGCCGTTATATGTTGTCTGATACGTCTTGATGTTCAGGCCACAGTTACTTAAATTGTTTACGGATACATTTCCTTCAGATGCCAAGCGAAAAAAAGGTGTTTTTTTTAAAGAAACCTCGTGGATAATAGAATCACGACCCTTACCAATCGACCTCATCTAATTAAGATCTTTTACTAAGATACGCTACCTCTTCCCATCGAGTGAGAGATCTGATTTTATGAGATCGGTTATTAATAAAAACGAATAAGGAAAAGGATTAAGTCGTTATTGGCACGACATTTAAATTTCTTTCCTTATTCGAATAAGTGCCGGACAAGGATTGAAGCTTTCAGTCGTTACACTTGTTTTTGTTTTTTCTAAAGACAGCGACATTTGTGTCATACTGACATATCCGTTACTAAGACAACCTGGTGACGTCAGTAATCACATTATGCAACATGATTATTGAGAGTCAGTATTACCGATTATCCTTAATATTTCATTGGTTTTCTTTGTTATGAAATTGAAAGTCTGTGTACTTATGAGCGTCTGTTTAACCATAAATGGCATTGTCACTGTAGTCTAGTCGGTATCTAGTCGTAGAGTAGCTGTACTTTGTTGTAGATATTTTTTAAACACATATTATACACACATTTTGATGAAATAAACTGCTCTCTTCCACGCCTTGCCTTGGTTTTAGATTGCATTGAGGCTGCTATTTACTATCAGAAATATACTGCAAGCCCGTTAGTGCGGATGAAAAAGCCCTGCCTGAAAATTGTTCTGTTCGACATATTTTTATCTTCCCGAGACAACTGAATACATGCCACGTTTTATCGATAACAACTTATCTATATTCTTTATACGACGTTTCAGAGCCAATTCTTACTTTGTCTTCAGGTGGACGAAGAAGGAGCAAGAATTAGCTCTGAAACGTCGTATAAAGAATATAGAGAAGTTGTTATCGATAAAACGTGGCATGTATTCATGTTCGTCCAACTTCTAAATGCCTTTTAAGAACTTGAGACAAGTGAAGTTCAGTTTCCATCCTTGACGACCTAGGCTGAAGTCACAGTCCAGTCAAAAAAAACCTTTAAATATCGACAACCGGTCGATTGTTCGATTTGCAGAGCATGTGTAACGTTAGCTGGACGTCCACAGATATTTTTCGAAATGTTTTCATATTTTAGTCAAGGTTCTCAAACGATCTTTCTTGGCGGGGAAAGAACTGTTTCCTTACGATAAAGATCAAGATCCAGTGATCGTGACGGGGCGCCGCCATGTTATTTGAAGTAAATGGAAGTGATATGAGACGTGGACTCTGATTGGTCAGTTGGAAGGACATAGAAGGGACATAACTCGTAATAGCCACTAGTGGGCATGATCCAACTTAGCAAGGCTGCAAACTCGACTTTGCCTCGGGGAGATGATATATCAGATTATAGGGTTATGGGTACTGAGTCACTTGTATTTAAGTAATCGGGTCGATTGTTCACTCCCGACGTTTATGAATCACTGTCAAATAGTGACGATACAAGGTGTTCGCGTAAAGGTGAACTTTCTGAAGGCTTCGGCGAGGCTTTGAATGGTGTAACTTTGGTCGAACAACTTTTTTGAAACTTGCATGACAAGAGCATGCTCGACTGTAACCCAAAACACCAAAGCTGCCGTTGTTTAAATGATTCACAGAAGTTGTTGTCATGAACATTTGTTTCGTAGTTAATGAGGTTTTACTGTAGTGCGACTGCATGATGCACATTTCTGTCAGGTCCCACACGGCGAAGATCTTCAACAACCCATGTCGTATCCAAATTATGTAAATCGATGCTCATGATGTTGGTTTGTTGGTTGGTTGTTGAACGCCGCACTCCGGCTATATTGCGACATTCTGTAAATACTCGAGTCTTGACCATCCAGTGATCAACAGCATGTGTATAGTTCTACGCAACTGGGATAAGATGACATGTGTCAACCAAGTCAGCGAGCCTGACCAATCGATCCCGTTAGTTTCCTATTATGCTGAAGATCAATTCTTACCCGAATCTTCACGGGTCGCTTATGATGTCAAGCACTGACATGATAATCACACCAGAGACCATATAATGAATAATTTATTATATGGTCTCTGATCACACGTAGTGTCATGCACTAGATATGAGAGAATTAGAATATGGGAGGCGGGGTGTGGATGGATCTCTTCCTGAGGTAGATGGGATGTTGAACTGAGAAGCCAAAACATAGTTCTAATTACAATCTTGGTGTAATTCTAATGACTGATTAATTTTTGGTCCGAAGATGGTCGAAAACGCTAATACCATACACGCTGAACTTTTATCGATTATCCTAACACGCATGCAGGGAGATACAAATCAGTTGAAGTATTGTGATAAAACTAAATAAACCGGTTCCTACCGGTTTAAAGTAGGTCAAGTGGGGAATTTGTCAAGACTGCGTGTCTGTTTGCGTGCGTGCGTGCGCGCGCATGCGTTTGGTTGTTGTGTAACGCCCTCCATTGTAATCAGTAGTTTGATAGTTTTTCTCAGTTAACACAGGATAATATTTTCGTGCCCTGTTTCGATCAGCATGTGTTGCTCAGGACTAATCTCTCTGGTTCCTATCTAGTCCCTGTTGACCACTAGCTATGGGGACACTTTCTGCGCTGGACATCCCCAGAAAATAACTCCATAATCAGAACATAGTTTGTATAACATAATTTTTAGCTTTAAGAAGACCTACTTCCCTCCAAACGATGTATTTACCTGATCCCATATATCTATACACCGCTATTTTCACTTACACCCAATGGACTTTGTATCAGCGGATGAACGAGATTGATTCTGGTTTGGCCTTGACATTTAATATATTTGTCTGACGCAAGGGCTCATCTATAAAGGACTGAGAACACTAAAACGGATGTTTCTATATTTCTTAGAAAGTACATTAAAGTTGTGGAGTGCTATTTATTCTGACAATAAATAGATGTGTTTATTGGTAACAGTAGGGAAGATCAGGCGACTTTCTGTAGAAAAGAACATCAGAATACTGCTTACATTTTTTTGTAACAACCAGGAAGTTATAAAACCTAACCTGCGAAAGCCTAATGCTGCCACTTTTTATTTTCTCGTTTTTTCAATAATTTTCTCGTTATTTCAATAATTTTCTCGTTACTTCAAGTTTTTCTCGTTGCTTCGAGTATTTTCTCGTTACTTCAAGTATTTTTTCAAAACTTGAAATTTCAAGTATTTACTCGTTACTTCGAGTATTTTCTCGTTACTTCAAGTTTCTATCAAAAACTCGAAATTTCAAATATTTTCTCATTACTTCAAGTTTCAGTCAGAAACTTGAAATTTCGAATATTTACTCGTTGCTTCGAATATTTTCTCGTTATTTCAATTATTTTTTCGTTGCTTCGATTAATTTCTCGTTCCTTCAAATTTCTATCAAAAACTTGAAATTTCGAGTATTTACTCGTTACTTCAATTATTATTTCGTTGCTTCGATTAACTTCTCGTTGGGAGTACCTAAAGCTCGGGCCAAGAAAAGTCGGGCCCGGTCGGGTCACCGGGTACTACTAAAAATGGATTGCAGAATATTAAAACGAAATCCACACATTTGGGGAGAAACACTTCCCGCCATCACAAATGTATAGTTTGATTGAAAATGTATGTTTAACGATGAAATAAAAAGAAAACTATGACTACATACTAAGAGTCACGTAAAAAAGACACCGTCTTGTTGTTATGTGTTTCCCTTGATATGTCTATGTGAGAAGGTTACTTACTTCTCTTAGCGTGTGACGCCCTGGGCAGGAAGTGACAGTGTTTTGACTTCATTTCTTTACTTAATTAAAATATTGAGGTTCCCTAATTAACCTTTAAATTATTACCTCATGCAGAATCAGCACAGGCCGTTTATGTTAATGCGAAGTGGATATTGGCTAATGTCAGCGGGTAAATGTGACATGTTTAAATACAGGTTAAAGCTCTTACAGCTATGTTAATTTTCTAGAGTTACTGCGTAGTGATTGAAGCAAACACGTTGCGTAAAGTGATGCCCCCTTTTCTATATCCTCAAAATAGTTGCTATATGATATCGGTTCCGTCTTGCCCGGGCTCCCAAAAGCACCTTAAACCTTATCCAGCATTGTATTTATATCTATAGAATGGTATTGCATCTGCCTAAATATCAATTTGTATTGTTACAAAATGCCACATGTAAAGATGATTGGTCCGTTAAAATGAAGCCCTATTCCCTCTCCATTCCCAACAGAGTCAATCAAAAATGGCTAGTCTCTGAAATACGCCCATTTCCCCTTGCGAGATGTTGATTTGTTCTTAAAACCATATCTTCTTCTTTCCTGTCCCAACTGACAGCTGCTTTATCTGCCACCACTAAGCAGTCGGTGAAGGTAAGATACTTGCATCACAGAAGGTAGCAAAATTCTCAAAATGTTTTGCATCAGTGACAAATGGTACACGTTGCAGTTCCCTATTTAGACTTGTACCATACGTTCCCTAATCGTTCCCAGGTGAACAATTCCCTAGGATGTCCATATAGTGGGACAGGATACCCACACCTTTTCGAGAACACCTGGTATCTAGTAATTCATAAACATATGCTCTGTCATTATGTCCACCAATTGATTGTCTGGCCTAGACTCGATATTTACAAATACTCATAATATAGTCCGAACGTTTACTATCGACTCTGCTTTTCTAAGAGATTTCTTATGGATATGGAAGGCGCTTTGTCGCTATTATTTCATGTTTGTTTGCGTGGGCAATGTCTTTTCTTTCTTTACTTTTAAAAACTGACGCAACGGACGAACTGAGTGCATCCATACTACATATATATGTTGACAACCATATCGGAGTGTGAATGATACATAGTATTATGATTCGTACGTGAAAGGGGTTAACAAAACAACAACACAACAATACTACCTTATATTAGGCAGGTTGTTCGCCTGTGTTTCTGGCATACTTTTTAAATGGTAACATTCGATGGGTATCGGTTTGATATTTGCCATGGAACGCTACAGACCAAACAAATATGAGAAAAGGGATTCATATGACAGTGGTCCGATGACTTGTGACATGTGGAGAATGAGGCTAAGGGCCCCGCTTGAGCAACGTGATCGTTCAAATTACTTCAATCTGAGACTTCATAAAGAGGGTTTAGGTAGCTATAACTAGATATATCTACAATTCAGGATCCATGTGTGATGTTTAAGTTTCTTATTATGGCCCGGGACAAGTCAGAGACTTAACACTTTTGATAGAGGCTGGATATGTTTGGAATGGAGGGGGAAACGGGCTTCACTTTAATCTTTACATGTGGCATTTTGTAACATTGAAAATTATATTAAGGTAGATATAATACTGATCTATGGATCTAAACAAAATTCAAGATACATGTGTGTGAGATCTATGAAGCTTTTGACGGCCCGGGCCAAACAGAACCGAACAATTGTCAAAGTGTGGGAGAAAGATCGTATCATTTACCTGTGGGCATGCTTTAAATACGATGAACAGTGAACTGAGGTAGTATTTGTAAAATCCTTTGCAGGCCGACAGAAATGTATATAGGGATTGACTGAAGTATTTATACGTTTTGAATCCTGTTTCATTTAACGACTTCTCTTTTAGACGTAACCTTGCTTGGCCACTTTCACAGGCCACTCG